AGAAACTATTCAGTCTCTGTTTTAAAGATATAAACGAAATTTTGCAGCTCACGGGTTCCAATAATAGGTATCAGAACCGAGATAAATGTATATATAAAACACAAACATGTGCATAAATAGGTAAAAAACATATCAATCTATGATAAAATCATAAATAATATTTTAATGGAGCTTGGATCAAAAAATTTAACACCAATTAAAAGAAATAAGGTATACAAAAGTACATACGCATAGAATAACTTGGTTGACCTGCAACACTGACGTCACATTTAATCAACACTTACGTTTTATGCTTTGGCCGTTTTTGCTTGAACCCTATTATCTAAACAATCCCATTAAAACTAGTTCTGAAAACTAGCCAATCCTAAACCAAATTTATTGAGGAATCGGATAAAATAATTTTTTTAGCGCTGAGAGGGCCAACTAGCAGTAATATTAAACTGAATATCAAAATTGACGAATTTCATATCACAAAATATCATGGTATGGCAGCCCACTGCAACTACGAATTGCACGAGTCTGGCAACGCCACAAAAACGACGTCCCATTCGTTTTATGTTGTTTTTGCTTTAACCTTAATATGTAAATAATCCAATAAAAAGGACTTCTGAAAACTTGCCAATCTTATAGACAATTAATGTATCTATCGGATAAAATTATTTGTTTAGGGCGGAGAGGTCCAACTAGCTAGTAATATTAAATGGAATATCAAAATAGATGAATTTGATTTTCCTCGGTATATTTACGGTATATTTGGGTATATTTTTGAGGTTCCGGTATATTATTTCCGCGGTCACACTGAATATGACGTGTACATCTTTTTGCGCTAAATAAAACATAAAAGACACGTATTTGTAAAGTTAATTCACAAGAAGCATTGATTTCATAAGCATAGCCGGAAGGAACCCATCCGAACCCACACACAAGATATAAGTAGATACAACTTAGAGACACGTAGCCAAGACCGGCATATTCTATAGGCAGAAGAAGCAATGAGACAGCTGTGTAAGTACAACATATTGGATATCATTATCATTGCTGGATATCATTAACATACAATGTATACCCACACAGCGAGCCTTTTGTTGTTGGCATTCATTGCCGGTGGCAGTGTTAATGCCTTCTATTCGCCCTCCGATGGCGTCGTGGAGTTGACGCCCTCCAATTTCGATCGCGAGGTGCTACAAGATGATGCCATCTGGATTGTGGAGTTCTATGCCCCCTGGTGCGGCCACTGCCAGTCGCTGGTGCCGGAGTACAAGAAGCTGGCCAAGGCACTGAAGGGCGTCGTCAAGGTGGGCTCCGTCAATGCCGATGCCGACAACACCCTGAGCGGCCAGTTCGGAGTACGTGGCTTTCCCACCATCAAAATCTTTGGCAGCAACAAGCGTTCGCCCACGGACTTTAATGGCCAGCGCACAGCCAAGACAATTGCGGAGGCGGCTCTTGCCGAGGTGAAGAAGAAGGTGCAAGCTGCTCTGGGCGGTGGAAGCAGCGGCGGCGGTGGCGGCAGCAGTTCATCCAACGATGGTGATGTCATTGAACTAACCGAAGATAACTTCGATAAGCTAGTGCTCAACTCCGATGACATTTGGCTGGTGGAGTTCTTTGCCCCATGGTGCGGACACTGCAAGAATCTGGAACCCGAGTGGGCCAAGGCGGCCAAGGAGCTCAAGGGCAAGGTGAAGCTGGGCGCTTTGGATGCCACTGCCCACCAGAGCAAGGCGGCCGAATACAATGTTCGTGGTTACCCCACAATCAAGTTCTTTGCTGCCGGTGCGAAGAAAGCCAGCGATGCCCAGGAATATCAGGGCGGACGCACAGCCTCGGACATTGTCAGCTGGGCCGCTGACAAGCATACGGAGAATGTGCCCGCTCCCGAGCTGGTGCAAATCACTAGCGAAGACACACTAGATAGCGCCTGCGAGGGCAAGCCCTTGTGCATTATCTCTGTTCTGCCGCACATTCTGGACTGCGATGCCAAGTGCCGCAACAAGTTCCTCACCACACTGCGCACCTTGGGCGATAAGTACAAGCAGAAGCTGTGGGGCTGGGCCTGGGCCGAGGGTGGTCAGCAGCCCGATCTGGAGGAGTCCCTGGAAGTTGGAGGCTTTGGTTATCCCGCTCTGGCTGTGGTTAATTTCAAGAAAATGAAGTTCTCGGTGCTGAAGGGCTCCTTCTCCAAGGACGGCATCAACGAATTCCTGCGCGACATCTCCTACGGACGTGGCCACACGGCTCCCGTGCGTGGCGCCAAGAAGCCAACGATTGTCAGCGTCGATCCCTGGGATGGCAAGGATGGCCAGCTGCCCACCGAAGAGGACATCGATCTGAGCGACATTGATCTGGATGATGATGTCAAGGATGAGCTGTAGAGCGGTTTCCTCTCGCTCCCCACCCCATCAAGACTGCAGCTTCAGCTCAAATTTCCACACCTAATGAACACACATTTCTAAAGAAATACTGCATTTTGAAATGATATATTATGGAACTTCATAAGTCAGCCAGCGTATCTTAATATTAATAATTATTATCTATTAGCTTTTTCTACTACTTTCCTCACGTCATAGATCGAAATGAATTGAAACCAGCGAACATGTGAATTGTGTACCATGAAGTGAATAAAAACTGTGCAACAAAAAACACGACACACGCGTGAATTCTAGGCGGGTAATGATGATTGTACGCAGGTCCCTAAAGTAGCATCAAAATATTTATAGTTGATAGGATGTAGAAGAACAAATTGTATTCTAATGAAAACTAAGATTTTTAATCATTTGCTCTATAGAATCAAATATATACATGTTCTGTCATGTACAAACATGCACACGACATGTATTTTGTTTTAGCATTCTCTTTTGGACTACTATTTTAATTATTTCTAATAATATTTCTCTTCCCTCTTCAAATCTAAAGTTATTTAGTTATTATTTAATCCCCAAAAATTTAATTCAATTTTTTTTTATGCAATCTAAATATTGAATATTCTGCTGCGGCTTTATATTACTTCCATATCTTTCTTTATTATAATAGACAACTGTTGCCTGACCTCATTCTGTTCGATCTTATTCATAAACCAGTTTTTTATCAGAGTCAATTTCCTTTATACTTTTTGCTTGAAATTAAACTAGATTTAATAGTTGAGACCTTTAAAAACAATTCTACCAAATAGCAAACAATTCTGAACAATTCCCCAGAATTAAGAGAAATAACACACAAAAAAACATTTCCTTCTTTACACCATACAATCCGTGGTTGTTTATTTTTTGTAAAAATTCTCATAAAATGTCCAAAAAGATTTGTAAACTTTACTTTTAAAATTGTTTGCGCTTACACTCTACATGACGTCTAAAAACGTACATAATTTGACACAATTTATAGTTTAGATGCAGTGCTAAATGCAGTACAAATGGTAAATACTCGTATCTTGGTGGCATATTGATTGGCGCTTAAACTATGATTGGCATGACATATAATCTATTAAGTACTTGGTTTCGATTTAAGTACAACCTGTGGGCAAATGCTTTAATGAATGGGAAAAATTCAAGCATCACAAAGAGTTCAATTCGAGCAGGAGGTTTTCGTTTCGTTTCGTTTCTTAGCAGAGATATGTATGAGATGAGATATATGCGATTCGTTATGTAAATTAGGCCGAGAGAGAAGTTCGTTCACACAGAAACAGACAGAACAGAGACTGGCTTGCCAAAATTTAAAGATATTTCAGTGGAAACAACGCCGCGCAACGTGACTCAATTGCCACACTTTGGCTTTGTCTTGGGACAGGCAGACAGACGACTCTGCCAGCGCTGAGTGTAAACGTTTTGGACGGGACGGGGCTGAGAGACTACCTGCATAAAAAGAAATAAAAACTGTTGGCCTCAGCATGAAAACGGCCAAAGAACGGGGCCCAGACGAGCCCGAGAAAGGGAAAATGAGAAGGAGGTGGGGGTGGCGGTGGCTAAAAGGGTCTCTCAGGGCAGGCAAACTTGTTGCGCTGTCGAGAGCCTGCAGTAAATGCACACGCATGAACGAAACAACAGATAAACAGAGAGACAAAGACGGAGAGAAACAGACACCTTGAAGAGGGATGGGGGATGGGGATGTGCATGTGGGATCCGTTGGAAACCCAATTTACAATTATGAATGATTAATTCCCATTCGTTCTTCGGGCTCAACTGGTTATTGCTATGTTAATACTAAATATTTGTAAGCATAATTATTGTTGAATTTTGTTTCTTGCTGGCGTGGAAAAGTCTTTTGCATCCGAATCGATTCGGAAAACTATTCTACGATACTCTGCTAGGGCGGCTAATCAATCAATCAAATTCGGGGAATCAGGCAAGTTGATGGTGATGCTTCTGCTCGGGATAGTTCTCTATCGACTGTATCGAGCGCGATGTGGCCGCGGTGATTGTCGAGGATACATCCATAAAGCGATACTTTTTCTCATCTCGACACAGCAGCGGATAGCAGATGATGCCGTAGTAGAAGATCAGGCCGAGCACGATGACCGTGAATATGATAAGGATGATGCCGAAGGTGCTGATGCCCGCCCTGCTGTCCAGATACTCCTTGGGCGTCTGCGGTGGCGGCGTAGTGGGGGGCGCTTCTTCTACCTTGTAGCCTCTGTAATAGCTGTTGCGCGATGCATTTACGGTGGCAATCAGGCAAGTGGAGGCTGTGTACGTGCCCCAGAAAGGGGGTGAAAATGAGAACGAGAACATGCATTTCAATAACTCTCACACACAGCTTTAGCGCCTCCACAACTCACCCAACACAAGCAGACACGCGATATAGGCACTGCGCGACATTTTACTAACTCAATTTGAGGCTTAAACCACGCACAGCGAGCAGATAACGTTAGTTTTTATTTACGCGTTCGACGCAGACGCAGCAGCGACACAAAGCAACCTTTCGCTAGTGGTGACACCAGCGTATCGCACTCTAAATGCGATACATTATCGGTATTCCGTGAATCGAAATATTTTTACCTTTCCGTTAATAAAAATTACTTAAATCTAGTTGCATTTGTACCAAATTCTTTGGATTTAAGCTTACAAATGTAGTAATAGTTCATCTAGGGCTAGGGTTTTCTAGGACCGTGGGTAAAAGTAGCCATCGAAATATTCGTAAAAGTTGTCGTCAAAGCCTAGCTGTGGAGGAATTTGTTAATATATTTTTGATATGTCCAATCTACTTTCTATACCCAATCTTCGCTTTGCATAATCTTACCCGGCTGAGCGTCGCCTGGGTGAAGAAATGTGTGGCCAGTGGAGTGTCTGACAACTGCCAGCGCAAATTGTTCATAGCTTTGGACCTCTAAATCCTTGTCATTGCTGTTCTTATGGTCGTTTGATTTATCTGTAGAACACATTTCGTATTGGGTTAACAACGAACCAAGCAGGCAATAATTAAGCTCGATTCCCTATTCTTGTGATTACCTCCTTTAAAATCCATCTCGCAGGGAGCTAATCCGGTGGAGTGTCCGGCATTTATATTCAGCTTAAATTGGTTATAGCCTTGGACCTCAAAATCACTGATGCCCAAAGTCTTCACATCGTTGCCTATAGGAGATACATGCATGCATATTCTGGTCTGCAATAGCTACATAGTCTGGTGATTACCTCTTGCAAAGTTGTGCAGCCCGGGTGAATACGATGCGATGGAGATTCTATCGTTTATATCCAGCTCGACTTTTTCACACTTTTGGGAGACATTCAATTCAAATTTAACATCGCAATATTCAACAGCTAAGTCCATTTCGTCGTTGCCTGTGGGGAACGTACAAAGTCTTGCAGGTGGGCTTTATCGAACGAAGCGCGTCCTAATATTTCAAATCGTGTGCTTACCGCCATTCTTATGGCCATGCCGCTGTGACATCTGACCGAACCTGCTCTGCAAATATTGCATGTAGTCTTTCTGTTGCTTGAGCGAGACCTCTGGGTAAATCATTGTATCCATCCTGGGAAATTTGCTACAGAATTGTTTCTCATTTTCTTCCTCCGAATCGTCCAAAACTAAAACAACAGTAAGCGTTTCATTATATGGAATGCGCCGGCGTGCCACCGGCGACAGCCATAATTTCAGTTTTCATTTTAAGCTTACTCATTTTCCTCTTCAGTCCGCGAAATATAGAACCCATTTTCGTACAGAAAAATTTCACGCCGAACGCACCAAAAAGTAATAACAAAAAGTGCAAAGAAAAATATTCCAGTGTTGCCGCTGCTATTATTTATTCTTATGGTGTCACAGTTTTGTGTGGTCGCGATAGTGTGACATCTCTAGCCCTATCGATAGCATATTCCACGAAAAATTCGACGAGCGTGTGTGCGCTGTGCTGTTCGTGTACATTTTGGTGAAAATTGTTACAAAATACGCAAGAAAATATGTGAAAATTAATAATTACTGGCATTTTTACACTCCAACTGGGCGTGCGAACTGTTTTTGCATAGCCAGATACACAGAAAATAGCTGAAAACAACTAAAATAACAAAGGCGTATACGACGAAACGAAGGCAATAGACGCTCGCTCTCTCGCCTCTGTTCGTCTCCCGATAGTTGTGTATATATTTAAAATTGTAACTAGTTAGTTGTACGCAGGTGAATTCAGTTAAGTAATTGAAGGCGCTGACGAAGAAATAAAGCCAACGCGAAGCGAGCTGACAGCGAAAACAGCGAACAGAAGTACAGTGAAAAAATTTCGATTGTCGGCAGCGAACGGTGGAGAAGAAGAAGCAGCACAAAGTGGAAACGGTGATACTGCATCTGCATGTGTGTGCGTGTGTGTATGTGAGAGAGTGGTGGAATATAAACAAAATATACGAAAAAACAATACAGCAGTAAAGAACAATTGATTAGCTGACTGAACAAAAAGAAAATATGTCACATTTGCCTTTGGATGCACGGGCTATACTGCAGCATTTAAATGAATTGGGCTATAGAAATATATCCGCCGAGCAACTACGTGAATTTCTAAAAGGTAAGCAACCCACAAAGTACCCAACCCACCCCCCCTCCCCACCCCACAAGACTGACCGCAGTTCCCGCCATTGCAGTGGATTTGACATTTCAGTTGTGTCGTTTTATTTTATGCAAAAGTTTTAGTTTCGGCTTTTCGTTCAGTTTCAAACGATTCGTCACCATTTTTATTTGATTTCTTATTTCTTTCCTCCCGTTCGTACGACCGTGTGTGTTTGTGTTTTACAAAAAAAAAAAAAAGAGAGCAAAAGAAATACGGTGCAATGAAATGAAGAAAACAAAAACGAGTATTACTCGGAAATTGTGAATAACACACACACCACACGACAGAAAGTCCACACACAGCAAAAGGCAAAAGCGGTGGCGGCGGAGGTAGAGACAACAGAATGGCACAGTGGTTGAAATAACTAAATTGTTGGATATGAAACAAATAAACATGATTGGATGAGCTAGAAACGCCGGTCCCGTCACAGTGGGACAAAAGCCATTGTTTGTGGAACCAACAACATCTGGTCAAAGCATATTAATTTTCATGTGGCACAGAAGAGCTGCAACAACATGTAAATGTTATAAATATATTAACACATGGCTGGAAGCGAGCAGTTGACGTGGGAGACCACTGTGCACACCGTTGTACAGGCCGATTACAAACGCCAAACAGCAACGATTGTTTTTGTTGCTGCCCTGGGCCTGCTTTTCTGCCTGAGTGGTGGCTTGTATATCTCTTGAACGGTGTGTGCTCTCTCTGTGTGTGTGTGTGTGTATTTCGGCCTCCACCGCATTGTCAGCTTCATCCGCGACTTCACATGAATTTTTATATACGCACGTACATGCATACAAATGTATATATATGTTTTGTATGCTCATGTGTTTCTCTCTCTCTGTCTCTCTCTCCGTGTTGCAGAGTTCAAATTGTGCGTTTTTCTGTTTGCTCTTATTTGGTGTAGTAGTAGTGTTTTTGTGTTATTTTTTTCGCTCTACTCTTTGTCTCCCCTGTCCTCTTTTTCATTTGTGTTGCTGCTGCCGCTGTGGTGAGTATTTTTTCGTTGTTGTTATTCCCCACCTTCACCGCACTTGGTTCGTCATGTATTTTTCTTTACGTTTGGTTTCGTATCGTTTCGTTTATTGTAATGGCGCACAAAAAATGCCAGCGCAGCGTGCTGCGTGCTTGTTTTTCAGGTTATATAAAGGCTTTTCTTGATAGCCAAATACTTAGCCCGGCCCAAGAGAAGTGTCGTCGCAGTTTGTATGTGGGGGGGGAGGATTAGCTTAGCAATGTTGCCATACTGTTTTGCCAGACCGTGTTGAATATCGGTCGTTGATTATGCCTGTGCCCGCTCATTCGCATTCTTTTTGCTTGGCTAAATCTGCAAATTGCATGGCAACTGCAATAAAGACAAGTTAGCAAAAATTCTCTGTCTGCTCTGTCGTGGCTGCCTCTCCACCCTGCTACACACACGCACCAAAATATATTTGTGCGCTGCTGCTGACGAATAGATACATAAACATGTTACTCAGGGCAGAGGCAGCCAGAAAGCAGACTCACTCGCAGCCGCACGACAACGGCAGACGACGACGACGACGAACGAGAAAGCAAATAAGACTTTAGTTTTGTGCTGTGCTGTGCTCTGTGCTCCGTTCCGTGTGCTGTGTTTGCTAAAAGCATTGCCCTACACACTCCAAAGGGGTCCGCCGCCGACGAAGACGACAACGACGGGGGAAAAAGCTAGTTTTTTTGTTGTACAAAAGGGGACGAACGTGGCGCGACTTGTTTAAAATCGATAGCGATACATGTGACCGAAAAGGTATCGTATTGGATATGAGGATCAGGTAATGGTGTGGAAAGTTACCTCGAGTCGATTGAATCATCAGACGATTTTATACCATATATTGCGCATAAAATAAATAAATTGAAATGAAAATGATAAAACGGGTTTTTAAACTGCAGCTGCAGCAAAACAGCTGTGGCGGCCAAACAGTTTTCAGCTGGGTGGCAACGCCACACTCGTAGCGTCGCAGCAGCAGCTGGCCGCGGTCGGCCTCTCGTCGGCCCCATTTTTAGTTTTGAATTAAAATAAATTAACTCACACTTAATTGTGTGGTGCACTAACTTATACATACCCGAAAGTGCTGCAAATGCAAATTATTGATTCAAAATGTGTACATCAAAATGCAGAATTGCATAACGCGCGCATAGCACATCTGCACACGCACACGCACCCCCCTTCCCATCAAACACACACACATGTGGTGCAGAAGCAGAGCAGGGAAAAAGGAGTCAAATTTAAGCAAATAGAATCGAGGAAATGCGGTTGGTGGCCGGGCATATAGACTAAGTTGGACTAAGGATAAGGACGATTTGTACTTGATATTGTGTATGCATTTTCTCAACTCTCCCTCTCTTCTCTCTCTCTCGTTCTTTTTCTCTAATTCTTGGTCCTTGTGCGGACAGCTAATCTGCGCCTGAAGGTATGCAACCGCAGTCGGATAAGCAAACCGCTAGCAGACTCGCACCAACAACACCAACCACAGCAGCAGCAGCAGCAACAGCAACAGGCACTACTGAGCGGCCCAAAGTAAAGGTCATCAAGAGCAAGCGTCCACTCTGCCATTTCAAGTTTTACTTGGACATTTGCGACCATCAGCTAGCGAAGCGCATCGAGGCGGACATCAAGGCACTCGGCGGCAATCTTGAGTTTTTTCTCAGTGACAGCATCACACATTTTGTCACCGATAAGCCAGAGGCGAGTCTTCCGGGCACCCCCCAACCACCAAAAACACCTGCCACACCAGCCACACCCGGGACACCGGGCACAGGAGGGAACAGCCATCTCTGCCAGGATGATGGCCAGCATCAAAGGAAAAGCAATAGGCAATCCCGTGCCGATGCCATTTTGAGTCGTGTGCGGCGACAACCCAGCACCACCGGTAGCACAGCGGTTGGGGTGGGTACTGCCAACACACCAACATCCACATCCACTGCCTGCGGCACAAGCAGATCCTACACCATCTGGCAGACGGATCACGCCCAACGTTTCTTCAGGCGCATCCAAACCGAGCTGCGCCAGTACCTGGAGGGCAACGGAAACAGCAACAGCAGCAACAAGAAGGAGGGATCAGCAGGAGCAGGAGGAGGCGGAGGAGCATCCAATGTTAATACCCATCAGATACAGCTCAAGAAGCAGTATGTAAAGATCGAATCGGTGAAGCGTAACTATAGGCCCTACTACCATTTGATAAAGCAGCCCGACGATTGGCCAAAAATTGATTTAAGCAGCGACGACGGTGCCTTCCGTTTGCTAACAAAAGTCAAATCGAAAGAGCAACAACAACAGAGTATGACGCGCAAGTCGCTCGGCTCGCGTACATCCCAGAGAGATAAGCCAAAGGAGGAGCAACAACAACAACAGACAGTCCAGCATCCGGCGCTGAAGCAGCTCAAAAAGCAGGCAGCGGCCATACCCAACAGTCCGCGTTCCCATTGCCGTGGCGAGCCCAAGGAGTCCAGCGAAAAGCAGGGTGGCGTTTGTGAGATCTGCAAGCTAGAGTACGACATTCTGGACATTCATCTGAAGAGCAAGGATCACGAGTTGTTTGCCAAAAACTCGGACAACTTTCTGGCCCTGGACACGCTCATACAGTCGTCGGCGAATGTGAATCGGTTTCTGGAGCAGGAGCCAGACGAAGAGAGCGAAATCGATATGGATGTGGATGAGCAGCAACAGCTATTGAGTGCTTCCACGGCGAACGAAGATGCTGAACCGCAACGCCAGCCAAAGCAGCCCCAGCCCAGTCCCAACAGCAGCAGGCAACGTCCCTCGCCGGCGCTAAGAGAGAAGTCCAAGCGCATAACCAAGGGCAAGCATTCATCGGAAAAGTTCCAGGCGACACCTCCAGGCGGCGGCTCCCCGATGACACCATCTCCGTCGGCCAAGAAAAGCGGCGGCGGCAACACCTCGCAGGGCAGTCTCACAGAGCTGCAGCGTCAGGAGCAGCCCAACATGGCAGCGGCCACGCCGACAACGCACAACACAACGCGACGGAAAACGCAACAGAATTCTGGTCTATCGCCACCCATCAGAGCCATGCTGCCACCCTCCTCGCTCTACAAGGTCGTAGAGACGCGAGATGAGTGCGGCGCCACACCACCAAGACGCAGCGGCATCGCCGGACGACAAGCGAGCAATGTGGACTCGCCCTCGCTGATTGTCAAGTTCCAGAAGGTGCGACAGTCGGAGCTGCAACGCCTCAATGGAGAGGCCGAGAATTTTATGTTCCCCCGCACAGCATCAACGACAACGACGACAAGGAGCAGCAGCGAACTGCTGACGGATGTGGATCGCCAGACCACATCAGATGTGAGGGGCAGGCACAGTATATCCTCGGCCAGCCTAGACACAAGCACCAGCGAGGCTGAGACCCAGCAGCAGCAGCCACAGTCACAGCCACAGCCAGCAGAAAGCAATGTGCTGCGGAAACGTGCCCAGGCCGTGGGCAGGCGAAGGAGACCAGCCGCGGCAGCCGAGCAGCAGCAGCTACTGCTGCAACGTCAGCTATCCACGGGGAGCAGCAGTAGCAACAGTCAGCAGCGCTTTCCGAGCGCCCCCATCCAGCCAGACGACGACGAACCAACGCCGGCGACGGAGCCAGAGCTAAAGGTAAAACTGAAGCAACCGCCGGCCACCAGGAAGAGCAGTCGCACTGCCACCGCCATTGTAACGGCGGCAACGACCAGCAGCCAGCAACAGCAGCTGCAGTTGCGCCAGACGAGAGGCGCAGGCGGAGTCAAACTGGAGGATAGGATGGGGGAAGCAACAAAAGCAAAGATCAAAATCAAACTAGAACCAATCGAACCCGAACAAGACGTCGAGGAAGAGGACCTTGATCTCGATGATGAGGAGGAGGAGGAGGAAGAATTCTCTTGCTCTTCGGGCAGTGATGAAGACTATGTGGCAGACCGAAGACGACGCCGTCAGCTGGAGCCCCAAACAGCAGCAGCAGCAGCTGTGGCGGTGGCAGCTACAGCGACGCCACCCACCCGTTCCGATACCCGAGAGCAGCGTGCGGAACGACGACGCTCGCGATTGACCATTAATCGCAGTGCCGGAGAGATGGAGCTGCTCCAGACGGAGATCAAAGAGAAGAAGCCACGCGGAAAGAGCCAGAAGCCACCGACAACACCAAAGTCCAAAGGGAAGCAGAAGAAGGGTCCGAAGGGTGGGCAGCAGCCGTCGGCCATGGATATGTTTTTCGATTGCAGCAAGAGCGAGCTGCTGCGAAAGATGCAATACACATTCGAGTCCCTGCCGAATGGCGAGCTGTGGAATCGTGTGTTCATGCGGCAGGACGCGGGCGAGGAGAATTACTACACGTACTACGGTTCCACGCGGTATCGCAAGCTGCCCTACGAGATGGGACCTATACCCATGGCTAGGACGCTGCCGGCACACAGTTGCGCCCTGTGTCGGGCGGAGCAGGCACAGAAGCAGGGGCAGGAGCCACATCCCCAGAAGATTGAGAGTTCAGTCAAAAAGGAAGAGGAGATGGAGGCGCAACCGGGAACGGCCTCATCCTCGTCATCATCATCCATGTACAAGCACAAGAAGATGCATCTGCTGCAGCGATACCAGCAGGAGCAGCAGCAGCAGCAGCAGCTGCAGCAACAGCAGCATGAGACACAACTAAGCACTGCCATAGCCATAGCCAAATGTGATAGCAAGGCCAGCACTCCGGAGCTTCTCGAGCGTGAATTTGCCACCGATCGTGTCCAGCTGATTGAGCGCGTGAGGAGCACGTCCAGCTCCAGCTCGGGCATGACGTGTCGTAACAAGCAGCTGGCACGATTGGCCGAACTGCCGCCAAGAAAGTCGCCCCGTGAGCATGCCTCCACCCTGGCTCTGGTCAGCTGCATCATACGTCAGCGTCAGGATTCGCAGAGTAAAACCAATTCGGAGGCAGAGCCGGAACCACCACCCCCCGTTATAGTTGCTCCCAAACTGAAGACGCCCCTGAAGCAGGAGCCCGCACCACCCGCCTCGCCGAGAAACACACGCTCCCAGGCAGCCACCCCTGTGGAGGAGCTGCGTTTCGCCACCGAAATCAGTGAGACTGTCAAACGGATGCGTCGTGGACAAAACAAATACGATCATTCCCCACCTGCTCCGGCACCAGTTGCTGCTCCAGTTCCAGTTCCGCCCGAACCGCCCGCAGCCGCAGCAACTGAATCGCCTGGCAGAAGTCGTCGCCTGCCGCCAGTGGCCAATGCCAGTCTCAGCCACAGCTATGCCCGCCGCTTGCAGTTCTCCGCGCGACGTGAAGCGTGCTCCGCCAGCGTGCTGCTGGGCAAGCGCAAAAGGAAAAACCATCCAGCCGTGCGTCCAGCACCGCAGCAGCCGCCTGGAATGATGCGCGGTGTGCGCAAGCTGCCCAGCAAGAAGGGTCTGCTCGAGTACGAGATGGAGCCGTGTGCCTTCAAGGCTCTGGACAAGGCCATTCAGCATGAAAATGCTGGTCTGGCTGCCTGGCAGCTGGACAGGTATCTGGAGTTGGCTGGAAAAGAGTTCGACCTGGAAATAGAGGACACGCAGGAGGACTCGCAGGAAGAATTACCGCCGCCAGCAGCAGAGCGCATGCAGCAGCAGACGCCACCACCAACAGATTTCTACTTCACGAGCGAATTCGATCTTTGCGACCTGCTGACGGGTAGCGCTGCCAGCGGCGATGATGAGGAGGATGCGGGCCGAGGATCAGCAGCAGGCAACCAGCTGTCGGGCACCAGTCGACGCTTGGGAAGCACGGCCAACCTATATACCACTTACTATCGCAAGCGGAAGAGCCTCAAGTCGAAGACGAATCGAACGGGTTGGCCCAAGACGCAGCACAGGAGGCGCGGGGGCGGTGCTAATGGCGGTGGTGGTTGGGGTGCTCGATCCATGCCCGATGAGAGGATTAACTTCAAGAAGATGGGCCTGGGGGAGATGTCACCCATCAAGCAGGAGCCCATGGAAACGGAGGAGGAGCAGACTACAACCACCACCACCACAACAACAGCCACCATGGCGGAGAAGCTGCTAAGCAAAGAGGATGAAGATGATGACGAGGATGGGGAAGGGAATGGGGGTGCTGCTGCCCGTGAAGAGGCTGTCATGACACCACCAGCCACAGATGTCGACGAGCAGGGAGGAGAACGCCAGGCCGAAGCGGATGCCGATGAGAATGAGAGTCTGCCCGATGACGATGAGACAATGGCGGATTCGGTGGATGAACAGCAGGACGATGAGGCGGAAATAGAGGCCACCGATGCGGACATTGAAGAGGAGGAAGATGAGGAGGAAGAGGAGGATGTCTTTGAGGATGCCTTCGAAGAGCAGCAAGTCCCTCAGCAGGTGGAGTCAAAGCTCACACTCGATGATGATGATGAGCCCCCGGAAAAGCGTGCCCGCCTGCCCTCCATCTCTGTATCAACTCCAACCGATGATCCACAGCTGCTGAGTCCCGGCAAGAAGCTGCTGCTCACGCTCCACAATGGCCATCGACTGCATCCGACCACATCCACCCCGAGCACCACCGGCCAGCATCAGCAGCGACGCGGCACTCCACAGCTAAATGGCAGCCTGGGCAGCTGCATCTCGCCCAGCGAAAAGCTGGGCGGCGACAATTCGGACATCTTTACCGTCTCCTCGGATGGCCTGGACACGGATCTCGATTTGAGCAACACCCAAGCGGGGGACTCGCACGAGCACTGTCCCCACCAGCAGCAGCAGCAGCAGACGACGCCCAAGCGGAAGTTTGACATTTCCAAGTACGCGCCACCGAACAGTGGCAAGGCGGCCAGCAGTTGTGCCGCCGAAGCGGCAACAGCGGCTGTAAAATCGCTGGCCATCTCGCAGTTTCTCAAGAAGGAGGTTCGTGTCACCTGTCGTCGACTAAGGGCGCCCTTTAGACGCTTTCGATATCGTCGCTGAGCAAGCACCAATCCACATCAATCATCCATAAACATCCAATCACTTTTAGCTTTTAGTGTGTACAGAAAGAAACAGAGGAGGAGCCAACGAAGATGAGAAAATAAGTTTCATTTGTAGGATATATATTTTATAGGGCCATTCACCATCCACCAACCACCAATCATCTGTTTAACCTGACCTCAAACCACCCATTTTTTCGCTAGCATAATTCCAACTGAAACAAACACAAACACACACACACACACACACAGAGAGACGCATACGTACCATCATAAGCCTTAGTTTAATCTTAGTTTAGCTCAAATTCCCCCCAAGCAGACCCCTCGAAAAAATCAACAACAATTTCGGACTATTCCAAACAACCAAACAACAACAAACCAACTCTCATTTCAAACTCTAGCTCTTAAGTAGTGAACTTTCCATTTATCGTTTTGAAGAATAGTTTGTTCGTTATATTAAACGTCGGCTGTCGCTAACGCTCAAAAGAAAAGAGAATTTGATAAAGGGAAAATCACAAAACAAACCAATCAACTATTATGTAAAAGTGAAAGAACTAAACTAAAACTAAAACCAAAAGCAATTGTAAAAAAAAAAATTAAAACAAAGAGTAAAATTAAATATAAATATTCAATTTAAACAAACAAACAAACAAAATACGTACAATTTTTGTGCTGCATTTATTGTAGAATTTCTAAAGGTATTCTTGATGAAGCATCAATAGAACAGTTCTTTATTTAGTTTTATTGTATTATATTCAATTTTTTATTTCTCTGTAGAAATATATGGCTCAGAATTACAGATATTTTTTTTAAAACTCTCAGAAAAATAATTAAATGCTTTAGGATATATTTATATATTTTGTTCACTGTATTCTTTAAATTAAAAACTCTGCACTAGAGGACAATCAATAAATTTTCGTAGGAAATATGTAATTAAATAATTTTTATAGATCGTTTTAAAATAATTCTGATCATTTTTTGCCATATGAGAATTTTTTCTTTTAGGAATCTCCTGTTAGTAAAGACGAACACGACTTTTACGTTATAACTGATATGAAGGATTAAACAAAATTTGCTTTTAAATTAATAATAATACATGTTGTTGAAAAAAATATTTTAATTAATTAAATAAGGGAGCGATAGCATCAGGACTATTATGATTTCAAAGAAATTATTAGTGTAGAAATCTACTTTCGGTTTACTTTCGGTATGGTTTAGTTGTCATATGATTTAAGAAACCATAGTTGATGCATTTTCAAGCATGCTCTGCTCCCTTTGCAGCTTCGGGGCTATCGAATCGTTTTAGATTGGGGGGTCACCAGAATACACCCGTTCCACCCGTTCATCATCCCGCACATGCAATAATCCCTAAGAATTCCCAAAATTTCTACGATCTGATCCGAAACCCATCCCTTCCCCAATTTAGACTTGCGCAAACTCATCAAGTATGAGGAGCGTATGGCGGAGGGCCCAAAGGACGACCATTTCAGCAGCCTGCATAAACGGGGCACCGTCAGCTCGCGTGCCAAATTAGGAGGAGAGAACGATAAAGACAAGGACAAGGAGAATGCCGCTCCATCACCGTCAGCATCAACAATAGAAGCAGCAGCAACAGCAGCAACAGCAGCAGCAGCAGCCGCCAAGGAGAAGGATACCAAGACTGATGAGATTGAGAAGCGTTTAAGTGGCGGTATTGGCATGGCGGAAATTGCTCGTCTGTTTCGCAATAATCTCTTGATAGGTGGCACTTCCAAACCCGGTCCTGATGCCAGCCCAGGCTCAACTCCGGTCCAGAGCTCAGCTCCGGCCAGCAAGCGTCGCAGTCGCAGCCGGATACGCAAGGCGGCACCAGACGCACCTTTCCTATCCAGCGGAGAGTCCGAAGCCAATCTGGATCATCCAATAACGCGTCCACGTCGTGCCACCAAATCGCGTCCGCGTAGTGCCAGCCTTGGCGCCTCTTTGGGTAACATTAAATTTGCCATTTCCCGCTCTCTATTATGTTAATAATACCTACTTTTACCTCCTTCAGGTCGCCGTCGTGGCAAATCGAAAAAGGAAGGACGCATGACTGATCCGGTGGCCCTGTATCAGTACTACCAGAACGAGTGGGATCACTTTCGCAAACAGATACCCGGCAGAGGTGCCCAAAAGAATTCCCGCTGCGGTGTACGCCACTACTAGCCACTAGCTACTGGTTCCCAAGTACGAGTAGAAGAGAAGATCATCAATCCACTATAGTTATTATTTACATTTTTTATACATACATACATTTCTTGCAAAAGTTTTACAAATTCTATGACATGACTCAATTGTTGTACTCGTAACTTTCTAAAAGATTCAGCAAACGAATAAACTACTTTTATGATTCAATTAAAAATGTTGCAACTTTTCGATTTCGGGGCTGCTGTGGAGAATGCCTCCGCACCTATTAATTTGACCAGTAGTGTATATGTACCAAGGATAAATATATCCCATGGCTATATTTTGTATAGGGCATATAGAATAGAATATAAATTTGTGATACTGTTTATGAACAATGAACAACGAAATTTCTATCAAAATTATATTAAAATTTCCAAACAAAATTCGAAAATTCCAAAGTTCAAAAATCTAAATTATTTGTTTGGCTACTAGAGCAACTGCTGCTGCTTGAGAATGATGAACAGATCATTGGCGATGCTAGAGGGACGCTTACGTTCGCAACGACTGGAGCCAGCAGTCTCAAGGCCAACCAGAACCACGACACTGCGACGTCAGGTCTGTGTTAATATTGAGGCTAATGGCTCTAGTCCGTGTATGAGACAGCGGCGGCGAAGGAAAAGGGAATTGCAGATGCCTTACCCATACCCATACCCACCGATTTTAATGCCCATGGACGACTTTGAGTCGCAGACAAAGCGGGACCTGCACTGTGGCTATCCAGTTACAGGCGGTTTCTTGTTTCAGCATCCTCATTGGGAACAGTATCCCATGGAGCGCACAAAATCCGGCCAGGAGTATGCCATGTATGCACCCACTCTAGAGCGAAATAATCTCGCGCGCAGCCTCTATACCAACGTCAATAGTACAGGTTCCATGGACGAGCTGAAGGGCATTGCGAGCACACTGGAGAACAGTCTGCACAATTTTCTAACAAATGCAGAAACAATAGAATCGGAGCCAGTCCACGATGGTTCCTCCGCCCCTGAGGAGTCTACGAGAAGCAGAAATTATGTGTCAATAGGTCCGCAAGAGAGCAAGACGCAGCAACTGACGGATCTGATGTGCGACACCATCCACAGGTTGAACAGTTTCATCTGCAGCCAGACACAGATTGGGGAGCCGCAGCCAACATATAACTTTGGCCTGGGCCCGGAAGGATTGAAGAGTCATAGCCATCTGCTGCATCCCAGCATAATGATGATGGTGCCAGCAAAAAGCAGTCATCCCATTCAGCCGCCAGTCGAGTCCACTGAAGCCAGCACTCAGACGAGATCTAGCGTTGTGCGGACGCCCTGGCTGCGTGAGCGAAGGCGAAAGCGTCTGGTGCGACCCACCTATATACAGCTGAAGAACCGAGGCTGCAGCACAGAAGATTTGGCTATGTGGCCAAGGATTTTAGATGCCATAAGCAATATCAATAGCAGAGGTAATGACTGTAAAATTGTTTCCAAACCCCATTTAATACTTACATTTAAAACTTTGCAGAGAATCATCTTCAGACGCAACCAAGCAGGAAGAGCATGCGAGACAGTGGCACCACCATGTGGTGTCCCATGGAGTGCTGTCGCGGCTACTGTGGGTGTGCGCAGCTGGGCCAAATCTGTCATAAGAGCAATGAGGAGAATGGTGCTAACCTGCCGCCACCTTTACCCACAACACCACCGCCAGCATTGCCAGCACAGGACGAGCACGACTACGAGGTGGCCAGTAAATGCCTTTACATTGCAAATGCCGACTCTCAGTCCACTATTGGCAGCAGCATCGTGTCATCCAGCTACACATCTGATAGCCGCAGCGAGGGTGGAATGCAGAAAACTCAGTTGTCTGTCTCCTACATCGAGGAGGAGGAGCAAAGGGAAGAGCATCCGAAGAGAGCAGACAAATTGGATGACTGGTACAAGAGTGCCAGCAAGAGTCTGGCCGAACTGGAGCAGGAACAGGAGTGCTACAAAGCCATCGAGGAGCAACGAAGCGCGCAAAGCACCCGGAACAAACGACTGCAAACCGAACCCGTTTCTAGCTCAGCCTCCAGTGAAGTTAACATCAGAGTCACCGCCGATATGGCCGTCAGCACCAGCGATCTGAATGCCTGCAGACTCCAGCAACCAATCAAGCCCGCCCTGAAGTCGGAGCGTGCAAAGAGCGGCCAAGAAATTATGAAGCCAGCCCCAGGAGCATTTGGGCAACTTTCAAAAGTAAAGTTCGAAGAGAAAGTTCCACATAATTGGGAGAATATAATGGCTAAGCCCAGCACGCGAGCAGTGCGTTCAACCGTGGTTCAACAGACACCGAAAGGTTTCGAAATCAAGACAAGATTCCTAAAAGAAACCCCAACCCCTAGGGTTCCATCCACACGGCCTCCGAGACCGTGTCCGCTGATCAAGAGAAAGTATCTGCAAGATGTCCCAACCAAGAAAAAGCGCATCACAAAAAAGTTTGACTGTTCTCCGCTGATTGGTCCACCGTCCAACATACGCAAATCTCCGCCTGCATATCCCTCGGAATGGTTGCTGGATTAGCTTCTCTCTCTCTCTCTCTCTCTCTCTCTCTCCTTTTGAGCAGTCTCTGCCAGAGGTGTCACAAGCACTTTGACATCAAATAACATCAAATTTCAAATGACAAATTTCGGCCGCATTCATCATGATACACATGATGAAACCTAAATTGGGCTATGTTGTGTGAAGATGAACAGGAACCAGAGCAAGTAATTTGTCGCTGTCGTAATTGCGTTCTACGCAACCCTGAAGACGTTCCCTGGCCGGAGGCATTGGAACTAGAGGCAGAGACACAAACAGAGTCAGTGGCTGCCCAGAAACCGGAGGCACAAAAAAAGGGGAAGAAACAGAAACAGAAGGCACCGAAGGCACCGAAGGCACAGAAGGCACAGAAGGCACAGAAGGCACAGAAGGGACAGAAGGAAGAACCACAGCCGACGGCTCAGGAGGAGGAGCCAATAGAAATGGAGAAACATGAAGAGAAAAAATTTGGGAGAAGAGGCTCCGTTCGGACCATTGAATCCTTGCACAGCAATGCCACCATGCTGGAGGCGGATCGCGATCTGGATTTCCAAAATGGTGAACGTCTGTCGGGGAATGTGTCCGCAACTGACGCGCGATCTGCTACGCAGCAACAGCCACAGCAGCCCACCATTCTGCTGATTGTGGTCAAGTGAGTACTACGGGCCACCATAAACTTAAGCCACTTGGTATTTTTTGTGTTTTAGCAAACCGCCCGAGAATCCGCTCTATCCACCGCCAGGAGCGCCAGGTTACGGTCCAGGTCCAGCCAGAGGACCCCACAAGTATGAGACGACAGATACTCATAGCATTCGGGAACTAATATTTTACTCCACCACCTGCAGCTATTATAATCCACCGCCTGGACCTGGATTTGGACATGGACGAGGACCACCTGGTTATGGACCTGGTCGAGGACCACCTGGATATGGACCTGGACGTGGCGGACCTGGTTATGGGCCTGGTCCAAACTATGGCCAGTATCCTGGCTATGGACCTGGTCCAAACTATGGCCCCGAACGTCGTCGCAAGTAAGCTTTGGAACCTTCTATGAGTACAGTCCCTTCCGTCTGTTCAACTGTCTGAAGGGTCTTTAAGTTTGAAGATCTCTAAGAATATCTTAGTGTTATCGTAAAGTCTTTATTCATGTTTTGTCCGCTTATTTTTATAAATAAGTGGTTGGCACGTCCTTTTCATTGATGCTCGACTCGAGACGCACAAGCGAATGCTGCAAAAGAGAATTTACGAGAAGTGCACAAACATCATAGATACATATGCATATGGCGTGTTTAAATCGGTTAGATATGTTACATATTGTTGTAGATCAGTATCTTATAAATGGTATCGTTACCATTAGCCATTACCATTAGGAAAATGTATTAAAATTTGGATATTCCAAATGAATATTTTCAAATTAATTCGTAATAATATTTAATACAAATATGAAAAATATTTAACTATTATTTAAATATACATATTCCATTTATTCTATGCTTCTACATTGATTAAATATTGGCCATTTATGTGAATTGAAAGTGAATTCATTTTAATTTAATTTCACTATGTTTGTATTTAAAAACCGCATATTTAATTTATTGTAATTATTTATTGTAATATTTCATTGTCTATTCTACTATTTATTATGTCTTATAATTAAACTTTTGCAGCGACGGCTATCGGGAGAATCGTCCGTATCCACAGCGCAGGTTAGTCTTTGTTGATTCACATTTAAATCCACCGACTATTAATTTAATTTGTATACATTTTAATTTATTTAAAACAGAGGAGGAGACCCTCGGGAACGCAGAGACTCATACCAAAACGATGGCCGGCAGCGACAACCTCCAGCGTCGCAAAACTGGTAAGTGTGTGGGCATCCCGGCTGGGAAGATCATTAAAGCATATCTTTATATACTTTGGGTGCAGGCGAGGAGGACCTCCTCCTCAAGGGTAAGATGTTACCTGATTGAAAATAACACTAATGTCCATTGTTGTTGCACCCAAAAGAGGAAAAAATAGTGGCGGTCCTCGACGGTCAAATGATGGCGAAGACGAACGTGACGACGACGGCGAACAACCATCCCGATGTCGATGCGGACAGGCCGATGGTCGAAAAAGAGGAAAAGCAGGAAATGCAGGTAACACTGGAAATGGCAGGGACCAAAACAACAAACGATGTATGTGCGTAAGTGAAGACGGGCGCTATACGCAAAGTAATCCACCAAGTCACAGGAACTGCCACTGCCACGATAACGGCGACGATGCGGCAACTACAACAAAAGATGACAAAACTCAGGGATATCAACGCGATGGAAACGAACGCGAGGGAAACGAACGCGAGGGAAACGAACGCGGCGGAACTGCTCGCAGCGGAAATAAACGCGTCAAAAATAATCGCGGTGCCAATCGCAATGCAGACGAGCCCGAGAGTCCCGAGAGTCCCCAGAATCCCCGTCTGCCGTTCAGCAAGGAAACGACCTGCTCCCACCAGAAGGAGGAGGTGATCATACCCGGCCAGAAGACCTATCGCTATGTCACAGTGCCCGTTTGCATTACCCATGGCAATGCAAAGTCCTGTGTGTGCTGCGACTGCCGGGACGAGCCCGATGACGATGACGATGACGACGAAGACGAGGACAATCCAAACCGCGTATGCGATTGCAGCCCCAAGGGCCATTGCACCTGCATGGATGGTCACGGTGGCAGCCATTTGCCCAATGAACTTCTCTGCGAGTGCGACATGACCAATCTGGAGCGAACGCTGCAACATCTCATACCCAATACGGACTGTATGTGCTACTTCAAGAGCAAGAAGAAGCGACGCAAGAGGAAGCCAATTCCATTTAAGCGATACGATCGCTTTGCGAGTCCCCCCTTTGTGCTGAACCCCCGGCCGCGTTGCCTGGAGTATAGCTGCAACAGTTGCTGCTGTCCGGTGGGCAGGAGCTGCTACTCCCACGACTTTAGTCATGCCTGCTGTCGTCCATGTTGTTGGTGATGCTCTGGTAGATTCCACAATCATAAAATAAATCCAGTCATAGGCCAAGGCCGAAAGAAAAAGACAAATGGAACCTTTTTTTTTGTATACCCTAGATAAAAAGGGGTTCTAGGGTGGCTTTTCCTTTGTTGGCTGTCATCTGTTACACAATCACACTGGGAATGTGCTGCTGCTGCTCCTCTGGCCTCCTAAAATGGCTGATAAAAGCAATTGGGAACACAATCCCTACAATTCTAGTGGATCTGAGGGGAGTCTGGGTAGCGCAGTTCCAGCAATTAATTCCGTTTACAGCTGGGAATACAAACAATCCAATCACGTTGCAGTCCCCGATAACAAGCCATTTTTGGTGGTCGAGAGTGTTAAATGTGCCACTTGTGATGTGTGCCTACGCAGACCAAGCGTTTCCAAGGAAACAGAAACAGATCCACCAGAAACTCCAGCAAAAACTCCAGCAAAAACCCCGCAAAAAACTCCAGCAAAAACTCCAGCAAAAAGCCCGCCAAAAACTCCACCACGAAAGGGTAAAAGCCAGGCCGGTAAGATCTCAAACGGCAAAAAGAATAATCAAGTCAAGTCCAGGGGTTCCAGCACAGCGAAGAATAACAAAGAACCAGAAGGAGATTTGTTTAGAAACAAGGATCAAGGGCGCAGTAAATCGAGTGAAAATTTCAAGTATGAAACTAAACGCAACTCAGCGAATATACAAAAATCAGATGCGAGTCTTAAACCAATTGAAAATTGCGAGGAAAAGCGTTGCGTGTGCAACGAAGAAAGATGCAAAACAAAGAAAAAACTCCAGGATTCCCGGGATGGGCGTTACACACGCGAAATGAAAGAAGTCAACTCAACTGAAAGCTTCCAGGACTACAAGTATGAGCCTTACACACGCCAAGCGGAAAAAGTGAACTCAACAAAAAGCTTCGAGAATTACCAGTATGAGCCTTACACACGCGAAGCGAAGGAAGTCAAACCAACTAAAAATCGCCAGGATGTGTGTTGTTGCCTATACAAAAAGGAAGGATTCAAAACATCTGAAAATTCCCAGGAGGATAGCTACACACGCGAAATGGAAGGAGTCAAACCAACAAAAAACACCCGAGATTACCAGGATGGGTGTTGCCCATGCAAAAAAGAAAGATTTAAAACAAATCAAAATTCGCAGGAGGATCGCTGCTCACGCGAAATGGAAGTAGTCAAACCAACTAAAAACTCCCAGGACTACCAGGATGATCGTTGCATATGCGAATTAGAAGAATTAAAACAAAATAAAAACTACCAGTGTCAGCGTTACACACGCGAAATGGAAGTAGCCAGGGAAGGACAACGGGCCCAGAGCATGCTGCCCGATGTATCCCACTATATTATGTTCTGCACAAGGACAGGCGGAAAGACAAACCAATTCATCAGTTGCAAAAGTGGCCAAGTCGGCCAGGGGAATAGTCAAGTCAACGATTGCCGCAAATCAAAGGCTCCCGGAGAGAGCCGCAGACAAAGCCGGGAAAGATTTGGTGCCTTAAATAGAGATACGTCATGGGATGATATTGAAGGAGATGGCACTGCGAAGCTGGGCAAACAATTATCGGTTGCCAGTACCCATTCAGGCACTGAGATCTATGAGCAAAATGCTGCCATAGGAAGAAAGCATATAGATAAGTCGGGCAAAAGAACAAGCCAGGCAAGAGGGTCCTCTGTTAGTTCCGTTGCGAGTCAAAGCTTCGACCGGGAGCGTCCCTCAACTGCTGGCAAAAGAAGACCGAGCGAAGCCGCCGCCTCCAGAAAATGTCCAATGTGCAGGGGTCCGAAAAAGGAATTATGTACAAAGCACAACACGAAGTCCCGCAAGTGCCATGAATGTTTGCCCAGCGCCAACATATGTGACGGGCCAGCAGATGGGACCAGCCAGGCGCCTTCTAGGTTGGGCAGTCAGATATTCGACGAATGTCCATTTGAGCGCACAGCTGAGTGTAAAATCCGGCAAGGAAATAATTCAGAAATGCAATCCTGCTGTGTATGTGTCGAACGGGAAAGCAAACGGCAAAGGGCATGCCATTCCGGGAGAGACATTGAAACACACAATTACAGGAGAGCGAGTGAATCACACAATTCCCGAAGACCGAGTGAATCACACCATTCAAGGAGACCGAGTGAATCACACAATTCCCGAAGACCGAGTGAATCACACAATTCCAGAAGACCGAGTGAGACTTGCAGAGCAGATGGTTATCGGTCCAGATCGGACCGGACCGGATGCACAAGGCAATCAAGCAGCCCCCCCAAGAACTCCAGGAGAAACCACAGCTACTCCGAGATACATAGGGAAAGTTACGGACGGAATAGTAGCGCCAGCAACACTGATATAAAGGCACGGCCTGATGGCTGCCGTGACCCCAAATGCAAGCGAAGGTGTATCAGATGTGCGGATGCCTCCACTATGACCCCAAGCAGGATCAGTTTGCGCAGTTCAGCAACGAACCTCTGTGGCATTTGTGCAAAGGGAAAAGTGTGTGATCCCAAATGCACGCTGGGTACTCAAACATCGCGTCCATTGATGGACTTTCAATCCCCCAATATAAAAGAAACGCAGACAAAAAAACGCAAGAAAGTTGTACGCAGTCCTAGGAGAAAATCGGGCACCCAGTACATTTGTTGTCGCTGCATTCCAGAGATTATTGAGACATTAAACCGGGACAGCACCCCACAGAGTCGTGCGAAGACAGCTCCTCCGAGTCGTTCGATGACAGATCCTCAAAGTCGTCGTATGACAGCTCCTCCGAGTCGTCCGATGACAGCTCCTCAAAGTCGTCCGATGACAGCTCCTCACAGCCGATCGTCAAGTGTTATGAAGATGTCCCAGTGCCCCACGAACTTCCGCAAGTGCAATGAATGTGAGCCCAGCGCCAACACATGGGGCGGGCCAGCAGATGGGACTGCCGATGGCCAGGCGCATTCTAGGTGGGGCAGTCAGATATTCGGCGAAAACATATGTCCAAATGAGCGCACAGATTTTCCGAGTCTTCATCATGGACTCCACTCGTCCGAGGCTCTGCCGAGATTATCTTTGAGCAGAGATAAGCTGACTTATGTTGAAAGCAAGGATAAAACGAATGTGGCAACGATCAATGACAATCTGCAAAAGGCTGTGATTGTGTGTGCCTGCGATTCGAGTAATTTGGATCGGACACTGCGCGAACTCCTGCCCAATGAGGAGAGCGGGTGTCCGATGCGCAGGAAATGTTGCAAGAAGAAGCGCCACAAATACGATCGCTTTTCCAGTCCGCCCCCCTTTGTGCTGAACCCCATGCCGAGAGCGGCCAACTATGTCAACACCTGCTGCTATCCGGTGGACAAGAGATGCTACTCCGCCAGCTGCGGTCCTAATTGGTGTGGTCATTGCTGCTGGTAGAACAAAATAAACCCAGTCGCTGGCCCACATACAGCTTTTCAACAGGCTGTTGCTTTGGTTTGCTTTTCTCGAGCTGTCTACACAAAATAGCTACCAGCTCTACCTCAACTGGGATGTGCTGCTCCACTGTGCCTCAACAATGAATGATTTTAAAAGGAAACGGCGTACGGCCAAGCAGTTGCTGCTGCGACGCGCGCTGAGCCGTAATAAACATGACTCCGAAACAAGCAAGCCGGCGGCTCTCTTATCGAAGAGCGGCATTACGGTGCTGCCGTCGCTGTCGCGGGATCCCAAACTGGTGAGGGCCATGCAGCGGACCCTGTCACGATCGAGTCGCGAGAGATCGGACAGAAGGCTCAAAACACAAACAAGACCGAAAATCCTAAAGAACTCGACAGCGTATCCAATGCTGAACAATGATTCACGTTCCTGGAAGAAAGTGAAAACTTATGGTGAGTTTTTTTTACTTTTATTTCGCTGCAGAACTCATCAAATTAAAATCATTTCCAAACCGACAGATGGTCCACGTAGCAAGCACTTGTTGGAGGGTAAGTCCGGCGCTAGTTTGGGCGCTGCAGCTTCACGGGGTAGCAGTCGATCCCGATACAGCTCCTCTGCTTATCCATCCACTTGGGCTATGGATGTGCGCATGCAAGAGGAGAAAGCCCATGAGACGAGCAACAGCCTGGAGGAGGTGTACAACTGTACACCGCTCAATCGCACGCCCTACGATCATCAGCTCAGCAGGCCCCTCAAGTCCGACCAGTCCGTTCTGTGTTCCATGAAGACCGCTGCCAGACGCTTGGGCCAGAGGCGGAAAAAACAGACACAGCCAAAGCCGAAATCAGCACAGGCACAGCCACGCTCAATGTGCGTGGCTCAGACTCAGACGTTGCCCAAACAATCTGCAAAGGGCGAACCCCAGTTGCACCAGTATAAGCCACCGAAAAAGTCCTACAAGCCAATGTTTACATCCGTGGTTGAGGAAAAGTTTCTTGGGAGCAGCAGGAGTTCATCCGAAACGAGTGAGATTAGTTTTAGAAAACGAAAAACCAGGCACAGAGTATCCAGTGGCGAGGATGTGAAACGTTCGAAAGCGAAACCAACAGCCAGGAGAAACCAAATTCAAGTAGCCAAGAAGCGCGATCTAACCGACTATGGGGGCTATACACCATCGGATGTGAGTCTCTCACAAGTTCCGATCAAGCAAATGTCCAATACGGGGCTACCCCGTGGCACTGGCGGCCACAGGAATGAAGACAGCCCCTATACAATGAGATTGCCCACTGAAAAGGAAATACAGAACTACAAAGACGAGGCTGCTTCCGAAGATTGTATGACCTGTTCTGTACGAGGGCGCATGCCAAATCGTTATGCCGAAACCTCCTCCGCTAACAGTTATCCTTCGGGACATTGCATCTGCGAAAGTGTGGACGGGAAAAGACAAAATCCATCGCTGTCCAGAAGGGGATCACGTGCCACCACAACCGATGCCAGCAGCAGCAGCAGCAGAATGAGTCGACAGTCCCGGGGACGCAGCCGTAGGCCAATGACGCGTCGAGCATCTCGATCGAGCATAAGCAACGAGCCAAGAAGCTCGCACAGGCGAACGAGAGACAGACCAAACCGAGAGAGTAGACGGAGTAGGAACTCGTTCAGCACGGATTCAAGGCGCAGCTCAATTGGGAATCGCAAGGAACATGCTAAAAGCCAGCGGAAAAGTCACGCAAGCCATGAAACGTCACGCATAGCCAGTGATCAGGGGCATGCAAAATCCAGAGGCAAGAGCAGTGCCAGTAGAAGAAACAGCCAGCAGCGGGACAAGGGCAACTCCAAGCGACGTGGCAGCGGCATGGAAAAGATCAGACGGAGAAGCAGCGTGGAAGTTATTCCCGTGGAAATTGGTGCGGAAAATCTACGCAAGAGTATGCAATCCCTTCATCAATCTTCCAGGCACCAGCGAACAGATCTATGCAAAGATCCGAACTGCAAACGAAAGTGTCGAAAATGTGCGGAGGCCTCCACACTGACCTCTGAGCATCTGTTGGGCGCTGCGGCTACTGGTTTGAGCTCGACGCGTGGCGGCAGTCTGAGCAATGTGAACACTCCCCGCTATCCAACCAACAGCTGTGGCATTTGTCCAGTGACCAAAACCTGTGATCCCAAATGCGCCGAGGCATCAGCTCAAACATCCCAGCACATGATGATGCGACCAAGTCATAGTCGTGCTTCTATGGATATTCCAAGAGCAAGCAATCATTTGGTGGAGGCTCAGAGATCTCGATTGAGTCGGCGTCCAAGTGAGCAAAGACTGTCTCAGGATCCCCAGAGTCCGGGCTGGTCCAATTTTCAAAGTCGTAGAACGTCTGCAGCCAACGGATCGACAATATCACAGCAGGGGCCATCCTGTTATACTTGTCCCCACGCCATTTGTCCGTTGAAATGTTTGGAGGCATGCACTCAAACATGCTCTTTCAATGCCAGGAGATCAACTACGACAAGAGAGGATTCTTCAGGGATCGATGAGTGCGATGTGGGCCGTATTATTGAGATACTACAAACGGCTTTGGCGGGTCTGGAAATGGAGAAGAGAGCGCGTGTGCGCGGCTCAACAAATCGTATATTCGAAGGGGGTCAATCGCGTGTAAGTCAAAGCCATGGCATCAGCGGTTCCAATGCGGATAACGTCTATGAGAGCGAGGCCACCGATGGCACGTACTCAAGGCCATTCGATCCCTATCAGCATACAATGTGCTATTGCCCCCATGACATGTACATGGGCGCCTCAAATTTGATGGGACAAACGATGCCCTTTTTAAATGTCGACTCCCTGCATCCAGCCACCAAACGAATTCTGCACTATGTCAATAAAATAACTGGCAAGGCACGTAAGTAAGAGTGCAAAATATACTAAACAAAGCCATAATTTTAAAGAGTTATCCCACCAAGCGATTCCAGCCGAAGAGAGGCGAACAAAACCAGAGAAGCAGAGCGGCAGCTCGGAGAAATTTGTTGAACTAATGGGCCAGAGCAGAGATGAGAAAGAAGCGCCTCATTCAAGCACCTCAAAAACTTCCTACCTCCGGTACAATGAGGATCACAGTGATGGCCCGGATAACACACCCGTATATCGCAAAAATCGCACAAATTCGCCATTGAAATCTCATTATGGAACAAAACAACGCTTCACCGCGCCGCATTTGGCGAGTAAATTTCGCGAAACCAGAGGCCGATCAAAGGTTCGGGAATTAGTTGGATCATACTGTCCCGTATTCGGCATCAAGTCCCAGAAGCGCTCAAACATTTTTCTATCGCCAAACCCCTGCTCCAAGTATGTGCCAATCAGACACGAACAAGACTCCAACTATAAAAAATACCTGCTTTCCAAAGGGAGAACAGAGAACTGTCATTCAGAGGGAGAACGCCGAGGGCGGAGGTGCTGTCAAACAAAGAACAATCTGTCAGAGGGAGAACGCCGAGGGCAGAACAATCTGTCAGAGGGAGAACTGCGAGCGCGAGCTCGCTTTCCAGCAGAGAACATTCTGTCAGAGGAAGAACTGAGAGGAGAAACTCGCTTTCCAGAGGAGATTACTCGTAGCAGAGACTCCGACCGATCAACAGACACTTATACCAGAGATGCTGACGTAAAGTCAAAAAGGCGGCGAAGAGAGACCAAAAAGCGTCGGAGCACAGGAAATGCCTCTGTCACAATGTCGTTTCTGAACGCCTATGAAGCGCGAATATTCAAGGACTTTGAGAAATATAAAGAGACCAAAACAGCTGAAGCAGCCGCTCCTGCGGAGGAACCCGAACAAGATGACCTGGTCGCTGCTACAGCCGGCGAGTCGATTTGCCAGCAAGAGCCTGTATGCCCTATATACCTGCAATGTCAACAAGAGGAACAAATAGCCATAGCCACTGCTGCTCCCAAAAAATGCCTACAAGATCCCATATGCAAACACTGCCAGCTAATGCAAAAGGAAAGAGAAAAACGTCGACTACAAAATGAAAAGAACGAAATGCAAACGCAAAAGAAATCCTCAATGTTCAGTGTGAACGAAAAGAAACAACCCCAATCAAAGAAGGGTCCCTCAAAATCTAGCATTCAGACAAAGAATCAATCCAAGGAACCGAAAATTTCCGGCGAGAATCAGCCTAAAGAGAAAAAACCATCCAAATCCAAAGGTATTTTCAGTTGGTGTTTGAAGAAGGACAAAAATCGAAGCGAAGAAAAGCTGAAGCTGGAAGATGGAAAGCTCAAGGAAAACGTGGAAAAGCAAAATAGCCAACAAAACGAGGGAACAATAAAGGAAAGTCAGAGCCAAGTCGTGAAATCCAATTCTTCAATATTGTTGAAGAAATCTCCCTCGTCTCAAACATACGAGTATGAACGGATTCCGGAAGAACAGTCGCCACCCACAAGCCAACCGATACCAGATAAGAAAGTGATAGAGCCCGAGGCCAAAACACATGAAAACACTACTGGTAATATACTCAAACTGGCAGCTAATTTCTATAACAATGAATGTCCCCGCTTTGATGCCCGGAACGATGTTCGGGTGCTCTACGATTCTAGTGCTCGTTTTGCCAGGGACACATACAGTGTGCGGGTGCTGCCAGACCCACCAATACCTGCTAAGCCGCGATTTGGAGACTATTCCACATCTTCCTGCAGTTCAATCGTTGGCCAGTGCTATGGGGGGCAGCAGCAGCAGCAGGAGGAGTACAAAATGCCCCAAAAAAATGTCAGCACAAATGCATTTTATTCAATGTTCCAGCAGCAGAATCCCTTTCTCAAGAAGCGTAACTGTGATTGTGAATTTCAACGAAAGTGGGACATTTTCTGAATAAATTCACAATCATATTTACTTAAAATTCGCACTAACCAAATTTTAATTTCAAAATTTCAGTCAAAATAAACTGCAAATGCAAAAAAAAATGATTTTCTTTCTACACTACATTTAGACAGGTGCCTCCGTGAGAATTTCATCCCTGTGTAGTTGCCATGTAACAAATGTGTAGTTACCATGTAAGGCGAATAAATTTTTAGAAATTTGTATCTGCATTTTTTTAATTAAGCCTTGTTTTCCAAACAATTTAAAAAAGGAAGTACTTAAAATTAGCCAGTCTTGTAGACAATTGATCAGAGTAGTGTGTTAAATTATATATTCAACGTTAAGAGTACCTGCCAGCTAGTAATAATACATCGAATATCAAAATCAACTAAATACGATTCACTTCGAACACGAAGAAATGAGCAAAAACTTTAATCACTTGAGTATCAAAAGCCACACGACGAGATTCGTCACACAAATTCTTGTGTGAAAAATTAGTAATTTACGCTGGAGCGACTAGGTGCGGAGGAATATAGTGACCACGAGGAGCGCTATAATTGGTTTGACGCAGACGAGAAGTCGCGTCTCTTGCCGAAAAGCAGTCGTAAATCGAGTGATTCCGGGCTGCGGCCAAAAATTAGGAAGCTGCTTAAAGTTGAAGAACTGCATCAATTGACCCGTGGAGTGCGTCAGTGTGCATACCAAAAGCTGTCGCCGGAAGAAGTCGACAATATCAAGAACAAAAAACTAAGTCAAGCCATGTCAGCACCGACCGCAGCTTCCGTGAGCGATGCCGCCGCCGCCCTATCGGGCAACTTGCAGTTGGCACCACTGCGCACCCTGGACGATTTCGTGCTCGGATCGGCGCGTTTCCAATTGCCCAATCTGAAGGACTTCGACAAGTGGGGCAATCGCGTTGTAAAGAACTTGCTCTATTACCAAACCAACTACATTCTGCTCTTCCTGGTGATCTACGCGCTGATGATTGTGTTTAATCCAACCAAAATCCTCAGTGGCTTGATTGTGCAGGCTCTGATCGTTGCGGTCATTTGGCAATTCTTCAGCAGCAAATCCAAGCCCAGCTTCATTGCCAGCCGTCTGACGGGAGGCAATGCCAATGCGGCCGAACAAAATGCTCAACAGAAATGGTACATCCTGGCCGGTGCTCTGCTTGGTGGATATCTCTTTTTGCATCTGATTAGCGCTGTGCTGCTGACCGCCTTCACCTTGCTGCTGCCCATTTCGGTGACCTTTATACACGCCTCGCTGCGTCTACGGAACATGAAGAACAAGCTGGCCAACACCATCGAGAGTTTTGGTCCATCTACACCGATGGGTGCCCTGCTAGATGCGTTGAACGTACGTGCAGAAGGTGTGATCAATTAAGGAACGGTTGGGGCCGAGACATAGAATCCACGTTTTTACAGCTAGTTATTCTTTAAATGTTGAACCTTGCAATTCATGTATTACCATATAATCGATTTGATCTTGAGTTTTGTATTGAAATATGATTTTATTACTTATGTACTTTGCTATTATAATTGTCCAAATAAAGTTTTCCCATAAAAGCGTTCGTTCATGAGGTTTGATTCGAGTCTAAAATCGATGTATCATATAATATATTTCTAATTCCATTCTAAACTATCCAGCAGAGCTTCAAATATACTCGGCTCTGCAGATTCTTTGCTCATCACATCTTTAATGGTATCCCGCAGCTGGCTGGCAGAGTTTAATCTTTGTTGATCTTTCGTCCCGCAGCGTAGCCAATCGGTGGGCACATCTGTGGCCGTAGGACACGCTCGTATGGTCGTAACAGTATCCAGAAAACTATGCGGACAGTAGGTGTCATCGTGCAGTTTGGCAAAATTGTGTACCATAACGGAGGCGCGTACCAATTTCTCTGCAATGGCCTTGCTGCAGTAGATGGTTTCGGAAAGGACTCGCCAACGTGACATTAGCACTCTGAAGGCCTTGTCGATTGTCTCCTCCAGTGCCATGGCCAGATTCTGATTGTAAAGCAGTTGGTCGTCCTCCAGCGTCGGTGTGGGGTATGGCGTTATGAGCTGGTTTCCGAGCGGAAAAGCAGAGCTGGCTATAAAGGCATAGCCAAAAGTCGGATTCTCTTCGGATGCAGGACCCAGTTCTGCTGGCTGTTGATCTCCAAAGAGCTGCGTCCCGAATTCATCGTGCCAATCCACACGACATGCAGGTATAAAGACCGAACCAATGTCGATTCTGTTGAAGATCAAGTTCTTATCGCAGGCGGCCAGAAGAACAAGATTTTCTTTTCCTTTGAATGAAATTTCCAATCGTTTGGCGTCTACGGCTCCAAGGCAATGCGGCACTTGGAATTTATCTTGATAGCCCCTGACAATGGCACGCAACTCCTCCTCCGCTTTGGGCTGGTACATAAAGGTGCGGGACAATGTTGTCCACAAAACGTCACAGGTTTCCCGAATTATCGCACGCACGGTTGAGGGGCCCATTTTGAAGGACTTTGCCAAGCGACCGGTGCCTTCGCCACTGGCCAAATACCTAAAAGGGAATTTCTTTGTTCAATGCATTTACATTTTTTTGTCTGCGGGCTTACCTCAACGTCAGGAACAGGCGACATTCGGGTGAAATGGGCGTACGTATAGAGTTCTTGGTCAATCGTTCCGCCACCAGCTCGAACAGCATATCGAAAACTCGGGGTGTCATCCTGGTGTGAGCCTTGAATTCTTCATGGTTATTTTCATATAAATTCTCGAATGTTGTGGCAAAGAAACCCTCCCTATCGCGGTACAGGTACTCTTCTTTCACCCAAATTGTACGATTGATCTGTGGTTCAGTTTTCTGCGATTCCTCTGGCCGGCGCTCAGGGGATGGCGTTGGTGTTGCATGTCGTTTTCTACGCTTCGCCGGCTCCTTTCTTGGTTCTTCCAGCTGTGTCAGCTTCTCCAAGGCATTGTAAAGCACGGGCACTAAATTTTGCAGCCACTTTACGTCGTTTATATCCATATTTTCATAATAGAAAATGTGTCTAATAAGCCGAGTAAGATATGTCGTTGCAGTGTTGCTAAACGCAAAGATGCCATGGAGGATAAATTACTCAAATTCAGAAGGTGGCGCCATAAAGGAGAGTGGAGATAAGTTACCGGTGTTTTGTTTGTATTTAATAGTTGAACAAATAACTATAAAATCCATGCTGCAAGACATGCGCAACATTGATTTATGATTGGCTTTTGATTTGTGTTTAAGTTGTCGTTGTTGTCGTGGTTATTAAGTAAGTTATTTGCTTAATTATTCAGAGGATGCAGCACAGGTGATGCTGCTGCGGTGGCCGCTGCGCTTTCGGCGGCTGCTACCGCATCTTCTTTGCTGCCCGTTTGTGATAAATGCTTAACAAGGTCCACCCAATCCCAGCCACGTACACGATCACCCTTGTGATCAGTTCGCTCCCATTGCCGGCGCTTTTGCGACTTGGTCATCTGCTCCTTTTTGGGCTCCTTCTTCTTGGCATCGGCATCCGCATCGGAGATTTTCAAGGCAGCCACACCCTCATCCACCATCACCACAACGGGGGCAGACTCCAGCTGTCCTTCAGTCAGTTCATCAATGTGGTCCTTAAGACATTCGAAAAGGCTGTACGTCATGCCACAGCCTAGCCATTGAGATGCTTCATTGCAGACGACCGTAAGGATATGCTCCTTGACAGCGGGCAACCTGGGGAAGATAATGAACAACGGGGAGAATGAATATGGTTCCTCTGGGGGCTGTCTAAAAAATACTTACAGATGCCTGTTGTAGAACGTGTTCATATTGACCGCGGGGGCCTCTTCCGGATAGTTTTCGCCCCACTTGAGCTCCACCAGAAATGACTTGAAGTTGTTCTCTTCCCCATACTAAAGATCGGAGTTATTTTAGTTCGTTAGCTCGCCATGGTACCCATGTGGCTTACCTTGTATTGAAATGTGGTGGCGTCAACCTCTTTGAAATTCTCATCGCCTTCGTATATAGACTGCAGGGCCTCGCGTTCCTCGGACTGAGCCTCCTGCGTAGACATAGTTACTGTGCTATTTTGAATTTGTTCTGTCAAAACTTAACAATATTTGTACATTTTTAAGAATAAAATAACTTAAAAATGAAAACCTGCTTGCAACAACAAAAACAAAATCAACAGCTGAGCGGCAGTGTACAGTGTTGCAAAACATCGCATCGACGTAAATCTAATATTCGAACCAATTCAGTAAAAGAACATAAACATTAGTGATTCATCGTTCAGTTAAGCAACAATTAAGTTAAAATAAATAAACCCATGATCGCCACTAAGCAATAACAGTAGCTGGGCCCAACCAATTATGTCGGCCGATTCGATCAAGGAGCCGCCACCAGCAGCACCTGCCGCGGAATGTGCACATTTGGTGGAATTCAAGCAGTTTCTGGCCTCGACAGCCGCCAAAGCGTCCGCCGCCAGTGGGGATCTGACGCGATCTTGTGTAACGCGGACCAGCAATGACACCTACAAGGTGTCGGTGGAGGAGCGTCACGCTGAGCTGGTGTCAGCCATTTGGCAGCAGTTGAATAGCAGAGGGTGCCCGGCGGGCTTCCGCCTGAAGCTGCTCCACCAGGCTACACAGCTGCTGGAGAAGGAGATATGCTACGCCAAGGAGTGTGAAGTCTCTGTCGAGGGTCCCACGCAATATGATCTGCTGAAGCTGCAGAAGTTTGTCGGCAATCAAATGGACAAGCTGCTCATAAAGCTAACAGATAATTCGGAGTTGGAACGGCTGAAGGACTATGCCGACGAGGGTGTCATCTGCCAGAATCCCGAGCACTGCGTGTGCGGACTAACCCAAACCGTGCGGCACACATCCGCCGCCGTCAAGAACAAGCCACGTAAAATGGAGGATCGTCATGTGTGCATGGATTGCTTTGGTGCCATCTATGAGCTGGCCAACAAGGATTGTCGGTTCTTTGGCGTTTTTGACGGACACTCTGGCTCCTTATCCGCCAGTTATGTCACAAGTCAGTTGCCCCAGCTCCTAGCCGATCAGCTAAAACAAACAGAGGACCCACAAGCAGATACCCAGAGCTCTGACTTCTATCGCAATGCATTTGAGACGGCCTTCCTGCTGGCAGACGAACGGTTTATCCACAAACGCATCACCAGCGGCACCACTAGCGTCTGTGCCCTTATCAACCGAGATCAACTGTACATAGCTTGGGTGGGTGACTCAAAGGCCCTACTGGTGGGCAAACGCACACAGCTGCAGCTGGTAAAACCACATAAACCCGAGTCACCCGATGAGCGCAAACGAATCGTGGCAGCCGGAGGTACTGTACTGCATGCCCAGGGTCAGTGGCGTGTGAACGGAATTCTAAATGTGGCGCGTTCCATTGGCGACTACTGCCTGGAGGCGGTCATAGCCGAGCCAGATTTCGTCGATGTTGAGCTAAATGAAGCGCATGACTTTCTCGTACTGGGCACCGATGGCCTGTGGGATCATGTGCCGGAGTCTTTTATCATCGACACTGTTTACGAGTGTCTGGCCGATGCGACAACGAAACTCGATGACATTCCCAAGCTACTGATAGAGGCGGCCAAGGAGCGAGACTCGCAGGACAACATAACCGCGGTGATAGTTTTGCTCAAGCCGCGTCATCAGATTGAAAGGTAGAGCGTAGAAGAATCGTCAGAGGAGATGTATTTTTTTTTTTGTTCTATGTGTAATTGTTAGCTGCATTGTTGACTCGTTGATTTTACTTATTTTCCTTTGTTTAAATGTAAATAATTAGCTGGAATGCTGCCACCAGTTTTGAACGTTGGGGGAGAGAGCATTTGAATCATTTTGTATCACTTTTGTAACCCAAGCGCTCACCCACACGAATCCAGAACTGGTGGCAGCCACACAAAATACCCTTTAATTGTCGCATTCTCACGTGCCTGGTCCTAAAGGACTACTTGGTTGCTCGAATAAGCTCAATCAAAATACGTTTAAATGCAAAGTTTTTTGGCTTTATATGCAACTCGTTGTTAACAAACAATACAAATACAATACAATATAATATACAAAAGTGCACACTTAGAGCATATTTTTTAGTATAGAATGCAAGCCATGCCCCTATTTATATATATACAAGCATTTGAAGTTGCCAAGTACACAAGAATTCTAGTTATAGCTCCCACATATACACATACATATATATTTACACCTATCAATCCATATTCAGATGAGAATCCCACACACACAGAATATTAAGTACCTTTTTATACAAATATGAAATGCATTTTATCGAACAAAACAAACCAGAGCATAACCCTTTTAATGAAACACGCAAATTGTTTAAGAACCATTTTTTATTATTGGAATAATAAAGAGATAGAGAAACGAATCCACAACAGAGATAATCAGCTCTAACTTCCAGATGATGGCGGCGGATGCCTGTTCTGTGGCTGTGCAAATGGTGGCGGTGGTGGTTGCGCGTACATATGATGCGGTGGCGGTGGACCCATTTGCATCATTTGTGGCATGGCGTAGGGCATGCCATAGCCATAGGCTGCCGGTGGCATTGGATAGGGCATGCCCGGTTGCGGCATATTAAAATTGGCCGCAGGTTGATGATAATTGTGATAATAATTCGAGTGCCAGCTGCCAGGATTATAGCTGGGATGATAGTTGTACTGCGAGTCTCCTCTTTGCTGCTGCTGGTGCTGTTGATGCTGGGAGGAGGAGCCCTGGTGGGATTGATTCTGATACTGACGCTGATTTTGATAGCTATCACGTTGGCCACGGCGACCACGCTGTCGCGGCGATGGAGATGGTGCTGCTGCTGCCGATGCCTCAGTGGCCACCGTGGAGACGGAGCTAATTGAATCCGTGGAATTGGTGCGATCTCTCTGGCGTCTCTTGCGCTGATCCTGTTTGGCCTCGCGCTCTGCCTCGTCATCCGAATAGTCAATATAGCGCGCAGGTGGCTCAACGTCGTGCTCCCAAGAGGCATCCGAGCCGCGCACCTGCATCAACTTGGAGAGGATCACAAATTGAGTGTGCTCCGTTTTGGGGGCACAATAGACAACATCACCGATTTTGATGCCACGCTCTTGGATCTGCTGATTGGTGTTGAAGCGGACACAGTACAGGGGATCGGAGACCTGTCCCAGCACATCGAACACCTCGCCCAGCACCTTGCGTCCCTTCTCCAGAAATAGCACGGTGTCCAGATCGAATAGCATCGAATTGGGCAGCACACTGACCAGCACCAGTTGATCGACAATGGAATGGACCTTCCCCAGCTCAATGCACTCGTCCTCTGGCACTGTAATCTCCAACTGATGGATAGGCGGCAGCTCATCCAACAGCATTTCACCCCGCACTTTGGGTGGCTGCCGGCGACGCCGTTCTCCTGTGGCACCATCCTCATCGAAATCCTCATCCTCTTCGTCACAGTCTTCGGTGTTGATTTTCTTATCAATTTTCTTGCGCAAAACTGTCAGGTATTCGCCCTCAGACTCCGAATCCGAGTCGCTGCTGCTGCTGCTTTTCTCGTTTTCGCTACCAGAGCTAACAGCCACTACGGGACGACGGTAGGTAGTTGCAGTGGCAGGACCTGTCACGGGCACCTCCACCACCTCATTGTCGCTGTCTTCAATTCTGGTGGCTTGTTCAGTGTCCGACTCGGCATCGGAGCTGTAGGCAGCCAGTAAACTAAGCCCAGAACGATTTGCAGACTCTGGGGCGGGGTCAGGTGTACCATTTTCTGAATCTACCACTGACAGGGTATCTGGAGCAGTCGCTGCATGGCAATCAATTTCCTTCTCTGCTGGAGGAACAATGGTCGGCACTACTTCTGCAATTGCTTCATCTTCTGGCGTGGTCTGAGCTGTGGCTTCTTCGCAATCCATTGCTACTGTTGGTGTCTCCGCATTAGCAACGACTGGTGCTGCATTTTTCTGTTGGTCTTCGTTTTCCACATGTGTTGACTCATTGGCTGCCGTAATCAATGCTTTTGGCTCCGTTTCAAGGGGTACCTCTGCTGTAGTTGCAGTCACTGTGTAACAAAACCAGTCCTTATTTTGTTCAATTATCTATATAATTCCTTTAATCTTACCTGTTTGGGGCGTAGATTCCACCTTATCTGCAGCTGTTGTTACTTCGGCGACATTTGGTGCCGAGACTTCTGCTACATTTGCGGTAGGCGTTTCTGCTCTTGCATCAGGGGCTACCACAGCCATTGGCTGTTCATTTTCCATATTTATTCACTTCAATAACTTCAAATTTCTCTTTACAAACAAAGCAAGGCAAACCTAAAATGCTGTCGACCAAAACACGATGAGCGCGCACGTGTTGCGCGGATTTACTGACAAAATATACCGCCTGTCCCTCAAAAATATACCCAAATATACCTTATCATTTTTAAAAAATACCGTAAATATACCGATGGACGCGACGACTTGTTTCTTCAATTTTGATATTCGATTTAATATTTCTAGCTAGTTAGGACTTTAACAACTGAACTTATCATTTCATGAGATAGATGAATCATTTTTGTTACAATCTGGCTTATTTTAGGAACTTCCTTTAATTGGATTACTTACAAAATAGGGTTTAAACAAAGTTCAGCAAAAATGTCCCTTTTTACATAGTAAATACACGGTAACTACACATTTAATTTTTTATTTCAAAAATTTCTGTTTTCCAAGCTGCGCTGCTTTGAATTTATTCGTTTCAACATGTTTTTGAACTAGATTAGATTCCTCTCGATCCCGCTCAGTATCTGCAATACTAAAAAGCATATGTTCTTTACCATACCTTTAAAAATAATATAAAAGAGATCGATGATTAATTAAATAACTCAATTTCGACGTCAAACCCATATACCGTCAACGGTCACCGAAAATATATAAAAATATCAATATTTTACATTCGGGTCAAACTTAAATTAATTTTCTTAAAATGTTCAAATTTATTCAATTCTTTTGTTAAAATCATTTGCGTGTTGAGATGTTGTTGCATGTAATTAATATATTGCATTAATATGCAAGCATTATCGTAAGCTAAAATGGACGCCAACTTATCCAATAGATATTCGAAGCTAAATAATTAACAAAATATTGCACATTTAGCGTAAAAAAAGTTATAAAACTTTGTACACTTTTTTTGTTTGTAGGGGGATATGCATTAGAAGCGAGGGGGTTTTCTTTTGTTTTCGTTGTGCAGCAGTTTGTCTGGATTATCTAAAAAAGTACAATAGGCACTCGAAATATCGAAATACATACAATATGTTCTTACAAAATAGATTTTTGTCGAGTGTATTGTTTTCTTTACCAGTTTTTCCAGTAATTCTTCTTAATAATTGAAATTTGCGTAATAAATTCATGTGTGAAAGCAACAAAAAGAAACAAAAAATATCCTATCCAAAACATTACATAGTGCCAAGGCAGAGTTAATTGGAAGATGTTCATGTGCGAACGAGTTCTATGTAAATATCAATAGCACTCAGTTAATATCAATGTTTTCATTTGTTTGCTTCTTGCTCTGTGAGATATGTGAGAATGATTATGACTTGAATAAAATCAAATGTTTTAAAGCAAAGCAACTTAATCCAAAACGTCAAGCAAGGCGACACCATCCTAAACCTTCCAGTCCAGGCGGAACTCGTCCACCAGCAGCAAATGTTGATGAACCAGCCAACCTACATAGAATAATGTGAAAAATAAATCGAACATCTATGAGGAACGCTGTTTAGACATACCCTCCTTTTGTGCTAGACCTAAAAACTCCTGCCATTTGGTTTGTATATCCCAGTACTTTTCCTTGATCTGATTCCTGTCCTGCAGATAGGATACAGCAAAGAAGTACGCCTTGAGCACGTCCTGCTGGCGCGTTTCGAAATGCAAATAGACGCCCAAGTATTTTTTACTCTCGGCTATGATGAAATGCTCATGGGGATCAAACGAGGAGACAATGTTGTCAATGGAACTGCTGGTCTTGTACTCGTCAATCAGATTCTTTACACTCAGTCCGAGCCGTACGTTGAGCGAAACAGACACAGTTTGTCCCAGCGTCACCCTCTCCATGGCATTGACCTGCAAGCGAAAATCTGTAGGAGTCTCTTTTATGTAATGGCTGACATAGGAAACTCACCTGCTGTGGAGTTAGCATACGCGACGATCGAAAGTACTCTTCCAGGGCTATTAGGTAGCGCGATTCGTTGAATGTGCGCAGGCACACAGCACGTACCGCCTTGAGATTCGCATACAGATGCAGGGCGACAACCACATAGAAGACCGTATAGAGCACTGCCTGGCTTTTGATCAGCGTCAACAGATAAAGACCCACAAAAGAGGCCACCAGATTGACGCAAGTCTCCTGCGAACTGTCCTTGGAAGAAACATCAGCCAGGTTTCCTCTCACCGCATGATGTTGGGTCAGAGCCGAACGCGTCGCACCGCCAGCCACGCCCACAATTGCCTTGAGCATGGTGGAACCGCAAAGAATTTGGGTACTGAGATGTGGATATTTGGGAAGCACATAGATTTCGATGCCCATGGCGAGATCGTTGAGGAAATCGGCGCGCAGGCGCCATTTCTTAGAGTCCACGTCCAGTTGGCTGCCCTTCCACCAGGCGAAGAATATTCTACCCACATGACCGCAGCCCTCCTTCATTATCCAGGTGACTGTCGCCGAGTAGGCATTAATGTTCTCGCTGCCCACGCCAATGCCCTTCAGTATGGCATGGGTGCAGAGTGTGCCACAGATGGTGCTGCAGAAGGCCTGGACCGTGTCCCAGATCTGATAGGCTGCATAGTCCTCACTGACGCTGTCTGGATAGCCGTTGGGCAAGAAGATTTTCTGCAGCACCCGAAAGAGCAGAAACTTTTCTTGAATGACCAGCTTATCGCCACGTAGCGGCACCCGAACAATGTTGCTCTGATCTGTGGTGGTGAGATATTGTGAAGTTGGTGAAGGGGAGGGGGGTTAGCAAAGGTCTTTCGCGGACTTTGATCGATATTAATGCTTACCTGCTGGCGTCACATACAGGATTTCCTCACCCTTGGTGCCGTACTGCTCTCGAAAATGGATTTTCATCTTGCCGACACTCTGGCAGCCGGGGGACTGCGAGATATTTTCCTTTTGGGGTCAACGTTGTCGCCAAAAACCGGAGTTTTATTGCTTTTTGTGGTTTTCGTGTATCTCCAAGTTGTTTATGCTAGGCCCAACCGCCACGCCAACACCCACCCCCACCCACCTGGCCGTGCCACCACCCCACAGCTATTTATGTCCTTCTGTCTGTCTGCGTCTCCTTTCAGCCAGCGATTTGTTTTCGGGCCAGAGGTGCGCTTGCCTGAAAATCCATGGAAATCCGTTCCAAAACCAAAGCGTCAAACTATTTACGAACGCAGCAATGCAAAGTAAAGTTTAGAGCATTATATAAACAAGTTAATCTAGCTACGTTAATTAAAACCTGGCAACAAATCGTTGCTAAACAAACAGCTTATCAAAAGAAGATACAATAAACGTTTGGACAAGTGCTGCAAAACGGAAAATTCTATGTGCATAGGTAATGGCCGTAGGACGCTGCACTAAACTACCTCAAAAACACCAAATTACGCTAAAAGCCCACCCCAGTCGGTTCTTTTGACCCCCTGACAGTTCAAAACGATTTTATTTTCAAAAAACTAACGCATTTAGTTGTTTCCCTTCAACTGCTTGCTCTGTTTCTCAGATAAGACTGGTAGTTAAGTGCAGTGTCATACGACCATTCATAAAACTTTCTTAATTTTGCAACACTGCTCCTGCTATCAATCAGCTGTGGTCTCATTCAAAAAGCCTTTATAAAGAAATCCGCAGTACATTTCGGCAGCATAACAGCCAACAAACCAAACCAAAGCAACAAAAAAACAAACCAGTCTAAGTGACAGCAACTAACTAAAAGCAAGCCGCCCTAGTGATAATTTTGTGGGCGTGAACTGATATCAAACTAAATTGAAAGTATAAAAAAGAAGCAACAATTAATTGCTAGTGTGTGTTTTCGACCACCAAACTACACCACAGAACCTTATTTTTGGAGGGCCAGAGACCAGGCAATGTCATTGGAGGATCTCAAAACAACTCTGCGACGTTATCCGAAGCTTGTGGGCCTTGGTGGAGCTGGTATTTTGACCACGTAAGTGAATCACATCACGCCACCTTCTCAATCACAAACCTCAGCGAAAGTACTCCCCCCTCCTGCTGGCAGCAGATGCTACAGGTCACATCACAAAAATAGTTTCTTTTCTAATCACATACACACTTGTAAAGACAGAGAACTTTATACAAGGTTGCTTAGATATTCAGGGGGCTCGTCCCCTTTACACGTTTTATGAAAAATATCCCCACATGCCCCTTGAATATATCGTACGATTTCTACTATATACTCTATGCCCACACGTTTCTATATATCTTGAAATACAAAAACAACAACAACAAGACATTTTCCGCATTCTTCAATACCAAAGCAAACTATTGCGCACCTGTGACGTCATTTGTTTACAAATACTAATTACAGATAACAACATCAAATTATTCATACAAATGCAATTAATGTTGTTGGCTAAATTATATATACATATGTAGGTCAGATCAACGCCATCAATTTTGGTTAGACAAATATTATTAAGATTATTTCTTATCAATTAAAGAATAGTTGCTTATTTTTCCCAACAATGTTAGGAGAAACTTAAGCTTTAAAGCCACATTCAAAAGTATAAACTCAGTTCCCATCCAAAAACGAAAAACTCCTAATAACTTTTAGCCCTTATTAGAGTATTCAATATTCGCGCAATATCACAACACCTTCCTTAGTTGCTCCACTGCCAAACACGATCAAAACAGAACGTACGATTTTGTATAAATGAGATAGCAATATTGGTAAAGTTGTTGTTAGTGCTTTTTGTTTATTCGCTTATTACTCATTTCGCTCTTCTTCCTCTCTGGCTCTGGCTTTTCTTTCTTTGCTTTTAACAGCTGTTCAAGGCCCTCGCACACACGCATACTAAGATAACCGAAAAAACTAACATGGCGCCATAAATGTACGCAGTTATTTTAAAACCCCCCGCGAATTTGATAGTTTGTGCTGCTTTTGTTTATGTTTTTCAGGTAGTTGTTGTTGTTGATTAGAAATTCTGCCGCTGCTCTGCTGCTGCGGCGCGTGCGGTACTTGTTTTTCACCATGAATCTGACGTGCCCACTTTTATTTGTTGTTGCTGTTTTTGTTGTTTATCTTGCACTTATCTCAATAACAAAATAGTTGGCAGATAATGGTATTTTTGTTGTTACAATTTGTTGTTGTTGTTGTTTAAAGAAAGAAGATGTGCAATGGGAAAAACAAAAGATAATAGAAGGAATAAGATAGATAGATCAAAAAGATGTTTACAAAAGGGAATAGATATTAAAGATCGATTGAAATAGAAAGTTACGAATAGTTTTTGAATAGCTGCAGATTACATAATGATATTAATTAAAATCCTTTTTTTTTTTTTGCTTTTCCTTTAGTGCTGGATTCTTACTCTTCGGTAGTCCCCAAGCTCGTCATTTCTTTGGCCAATATGTGGACAAGAAGGCACCCGAGTCGGACAAGCGTCGCGCCGAATACATCTACATCAAATATCATATCTACAGGGAGTCCATGCGCAAGATGCAGCAGCGGAAGGAGGATGAGAAAAAGTGGATCAGCGTTATCATCAATCCGCTTGGCAAATGGTGGAAGACGGCCAAGCATTCGGTGGCCTGGCGTCTGCTCAATATTGCCCAGACTGGCAGCCAGCCCGAGCGTTTGAAGGCAGTCCAGCAATTGGTCTGCATGGATCATCTCAAGGACTGGGACTTTCGTCATTTGGCACAGATCTGTGATGCCCGCACAGCCGTCTCCCTGGCCCGCTGTGGTGCCGACACACGCTGGTTTATGCCCGTGCATCGTCGTGGCTGCATTAAGAATCCCAAAATGCTGCTCTCCGAACTGCATGGAATGCTGGCCCGACTCCGACCCATGGGCTGTGTGCAGCATTTCTTCAGCAAATATTTTCCCGATCAGGATCCCATTGTAAGCAAACAGCAAAAGATGAATTCAATCGCAAATAGATTTCAAGCAATTCTCTTTTTATTTATTTTGGCAGGAGGACATACACGAATATCTAAATCAGGAGCAAACGATTGTATTGTCCACCGCGGACACCGATTTGCTGAAGGAGATCATTTCGTTTCTGCATCACATCACCAAAGATCCCGAAATTTCGGCTAAAATTATCAAAGATGGTGGCCTGGTGCATCTCATGGAACTGCGCAAGATCTTCTGCGATGACAACGAGACCCTGTCCACATTGTGCAAAGTTCTGGCCAACATGTCCGTGGTGCCCGATGTTGTAGAGCACTTCTTTACCTCTGGCTGGGTGGGAACACTAGCCGAATGGCAACAGTGCCCCGATCTCCGGCTGCAAGTGGTCTCGGCCAAGACAATGGCCAATCTGGATCACGATGATCCCAACCAGTGCACATATCCGCCCAATGTTTATCCGCTGCATCCCAGAGTGCGCACCCGTCGCAAGCCCAAGGCAGACATTGTTTTTGTCCATGGTCTGCTCGGCGGCGTATTCATCACGTGGCGTCAGCGCGATAGAAAGCCCACAGAGCTGGGACTGTACGGCAAGAACGCCTTCTACACCAGCGAAACGGATGATGTGTTTCTGGTGGGCGAACAGAAGCGTGTCAATGGCAACAAACATAAGAAGGGCCAAGGCAGGCCACTGGTTCCAGCACAAAATGCAGCAGCAGAGGCAAACAAAACGAATGGCCAGCCCAAAACGGAAGGTTTCAAAGGTAAAAAAGAAAGGCGTAAATTCGATTTTACAGCACCATTATTAATGCCCAATCCTTACAGATCCAGTTTTAAAGGCCATCAAAAAGGTAGAGGAAGAACCTCTCAAGATCAGCGATGCTGCTACCAAGGAATTCGTCGAGACCCTACGCAATCAGGCCGAATTGGACTCTGATTGGGAGGTGGTCCATCCGGATATACCATTGGATGCCAATAACAACTGTGAGGGCAAGTTCAGTATCTCCGGGAATGAGTGGCGTAATCAGGAGAACAGCGAGGAATACACAAACTGCTGGCCCATGGAATGGCTGCCCGATGATTATCCCGACTCGAGAATTCTTGGCATTGACTACACGTCGGCTGTGACCGAATGGTCGGCGAATTTCACAAAATATTGTCCCTGCGAGAAGGGCCAAGGGCATATCGATGTCAGAGCCAGCACACTGCTGGAGCGCATTGCTGTCTCGGATGTAGGCAATGAGCGTCCCATTGTCTGGATAGGTCATTCCATGGGCGGACTGCTCACCAAGCTGATAATCTTGAAATCCATGGATTCGCACGAACCGAAGGTACGACAGATTGCCAAGAACACCAAGGGAATCGTATTCCTGGGCACGCCACATCGCGGCTCATCAATTGCCAAGTGGCAGCAGCACATCCAGATGATTCTCTCCCCCTCGATTGAGGTCAAGGAGATGGAAGAGAATGCACCCAAGCTGCTGGAGATGCATCGCCGCTTTATGGGCTGCCTGAACACTGCCCTGCGCCATGTCAAGGTAATGAGCGTGGCCGAGGGTTCGCCCACAATGCTGACTACCTTTAAATTCCCCCTGCGCATTGTCACCGAGGAGTCGTCTCGCATCAATTTTGGTGACTTTTATCTGCTGAAAGATGACCATCTCAGTCTGTCCAAGCCCATCTACAGGCAGTCCTTCCTCTATCAGCGTCTCCTGCATGTCATACGGGAGGCTGTCAAAGAGCCACAACCCAACACCAAGGACCAGGAGGAAAATCCCCAAAGCACACCCAATCCGGAAGTAATCCTAATGAATATTGTGACTGCCCTGCTCAAGGGTGCCAAGGGACTCTTTGAGCATCTGCCCCGTGTCGCCGTGCGATTCAACACTTAGGAAAGAGAGCTCCCATTCCGCCCAAACACGCCTGTACCTCGACTGCATCGTAATCAATAAGTGTAGATGTAGTTGATCCACCATAGCATATAGTTTTACAAGTATTCTTCACTCATGAGGCTCTACGAATCCATCCATCCATTATGACTTGCAGGGGCAGAAAAAGCTCCTTGTAAATACGCACATATATTGTAGCTTTCTTACACACGAATCTTAATTTATTTCCCCTTGAATAAAAATGCTTAATTTTTACACGTAATTTATGGGTATCTTTAACTCTGCGACTCGTGCTGCTGCTGCTCTTGTTTCTTGGCCAGCAGCCGCTCCTGTGCCAGCCTTCGATTCTCTGCTATGCGAGCCATTTGATCCGCGGACAGTTTCTTGGCCGCTGGCGTTGCTGGCTGCGAGGGCGGCAAGGGCTGACCATAGTCACTCATATCGTGCGCATCCACAGGCGCACCATGTCTATCAAAGCTGGGACCATTCACCACCGAGTAGGGTGTGGATACAACTGCATGGCGGGAGAAGGCTGGAGTGACCAGAGTACTGCCTGTGCTTGTGCCTGTGCTGGACAAATTGGTTCTCTGAAACGTGGCTGCAGGGGTGCGTGGTGGTGCCAGCTTGGACATGGCTATCTGCTCGCCCAGCAGGGCATCGAACTCGTCAAAGGGCTCATCGGCAGCACCATCGTTCTGCTCGTCCTGTCCCTCGTCTACGACGTCCGCTTCCTGCATGATCAAATCCTCTAGTTGCCCCAGACGATAGCGTGTCATGTGCACTTGCAGGGGCTTCTTCTTGCCCAGCCGCTCTATGTTGTTGAGGACGTCGTCGAATGTGTAGGTGGGGTACATGCGGTGTCCCCAGTGCTGCAGGCGGCGCAACACCTCATCCAGATCGGACTTCTCGTGGCCCCTGCCCTTCAGTTTGACATCCTTGAAGTAATTCTCGATGGTGTGTATACCGCGAGGGCCACGCAGGGTGTCCACTGTGAGACGCGGCCTTGTATTGCGCACCGCACGCTTCTTGGGCTCCACTTCGACGCCAGCAGCACCCTCCGGATTTTCATCTGCGTTTTCATTGTTTTCATCGTCGTCGGCAAATAGCTTCTCGCCCTCGCCATCGCTGGGCAATTGGTCGTTGTCCGCGCACACGTTGTCATTGAACAAGTCATCAACCCCATCGTCACCGAATAAAGAAGCCATGGGGACAGGACAGTACCGGTATGCCGCAAGGACTCGACTCGTGGAAAATCAACCACTTTCGGCAACCAAAAACCAACAAATATTTGCCGCCAATTTCTGCTTCTTCTCGAGTGCTAGAGTTGACATTTTTTATCAAATAATCATAAACCTTTTGTTCTTAGTTTTGCATTACATAAGTAGTTGTGTGCCCTGTTAAAATAGTAAGCTATAATATAAACAATTAATTAAATAACTGTAAGGGCCTGTAAGGGCGTATTAAATTAGAAAATCCATTTTCCCGGTGTTTCCTTACGGGTAGCTGGCAGCAGTGCTGCCAGAATTTAAGAGTCAAAATAAGCTAGATTCGAACAAAAAACCATGCGAAAATGGCTAAAACTAAATACACCCCAGAAAATAGAAAATTGTGGAGTTTTACCGATTTTATTATACAAGCGCTAACTGAAGAATATCGTCGACTGTATGTCCTCCTCTAGAATGCTATATTTGACGTTTTTAAATTAAATTACAACATGTTATTAGCGATTCGATTCCGTCGACCGAAATCGGGGATGATATTCGTATAAAACCGATAAGAAATCATCCCTGGGTTTCGGTCCACCGAAAATTTCGCAGCAGGCGTTTCTCAGAACCCACATTAAAAAATGGAAGGAAACAAGTGCAAGCCAGTAGTAATGCAATAATGACAAAAAATTAAATTTAATTAAGACAGTCGAATGAAAGAAGATTATATGTATATTAATATTTTTTAATTTTATACCCGGTACTCATTTAAATTATTTATAAGGAGATAAAAACCATTTTGATTGCATATTTATGCTGCATGATCGGATTTATCCAATATTGCAGTGTATCGTCCTCCAGCTCCACAGCGCCCACAAATAACACATTTCTTTTTCCTTTAATACAAGATTCAAAATTTAAGTCCTGGACATATGCTAATTCTTTTTTTAATTTTTTTTATAATTATTTTCTAGCTATGCTAAACAGGCGTATACATGCGATTTGAAATCTTATAAACTAGTCTAGTTTTAAAAATGCTAGATCTAGCCTGAAAGAGGATAAACTGGCAACACTGGTTGGCAGCGTGGCAATAGCTCGCAACCCTACCTTTGCGCTGGCCTGGCAACACCACACAAACGCCATACTTCTGTTACGGGCATTTTCGTGCGAAGTTTTATAAATTTACGAAATAATTGTGAAAAACGCGAAAAGAACATGTAAGCGCGACGAAAACAAATAACCAAACTAACCAGCTAAATGGTGTCACCACGTGCAATATTGCGGCAACGTAAAATACATTAAAACTGACGCCAAAAACGTTTTTCTGGGAAAAAGCGATGTGATAGGGACAGAGAGAACGCAAAAAAAAAAATTAAGTGTGGTGGAAATTGAGATTTACGCATTCTGCTGTATCAGCTGCGGCGTTGTCACGGTGTGGCGTGGTGTGGCGCGACGAGAAACGCAAACAAAACAAAAATCCAAAACCAAACTATGAAATTCGGATAGAATTTCCGATCAGCAGCAGCCACACACACGAAATGGATAAGCGATTTAAATGGCCACTCAACCAGAAGGCCAACTACTCGGATCCACCCTACCATCATCAGTCGCGTAGCGGCGTCGGTGGCGGCGGTGGTGGAGGTGGCGGTGGCGGTGGGGGCGGTGATAGAGACTACTACTACAAAAAACATCCGCACTCGCACAAGAATTACTCACGCCCTCAACATGGCTATCAAAGCTATCAAAAGCCCAACACGGGGAGCAGCTACTACAAGCCACCACCGCCACAGACATCAACAGAAGCATCTCTGCCCAGGGGTGCAGGCGGCGCCATGGCGCCGCCCGCCTCGGGCAATTCCTCGGGCTCCGATGTGGTCACCCTCATCGTGGAGAACAACAATCTGAAGCGTATGATTGTGCTTCATCTGAATCTGATGCAGGAGCAGACGGACAGCCTGGCGGCCAAGGAGAAGGAACTGGACGATCAAACGGACAAGCTGAACACCGTACTCTCGCAGAACCAAGACCTGAAGATGGTCAATGTACATCTGGAGGCCACAATCGAGGAGCTGCGCAAGCAGCTAAGAAGAAAGAACAAGAGGGGTGGCCCCCACGACGACGACAACAATGACGATGACGATCATCCACTGCCACCTGCCATGCAGGAGAAAATTGTGTGCAATGCGGAGACACAAACGGAGTTGGCTCCGGTGCATCATCTGCCACAGGCGGAGCAGCCTTATCATTATCAACAGCACGCTGAAAGGCAGCCGCGTAGGCCCCGCCTGAGAGTGCAGCAGCAGCTGCAGCAGCCCACTATAATAAGAGTGGAGCAGCAGCAGCAGTCTTCTCTTATGAAGCAGGAGCACCAGCAGCAGCAGCAGCCGCCTCTTATGAGAGTGGAGCCGCAGCAGCCAACTCAAACGATTGAGGAGCGACAGCCACGTCTTGTCTTGAGACAGGAGCCGCAGCCGCAGCCGCAGCAGCGTCTTATGAGAGAGGAGCCACAGACCCGGCTTGTGAGGGAGGAACTGCAGACCAGGCTTGTAAAGGATCTGCAGCAGCAACAGCAGCAGTCTAGACTTGCAAGAGTGCAGCAGCAGCAGTCCAGTCTGATAAGGGAGCAGCAGCAGCAGTCCAGTCTGATAAGGGAGCAGCAGCAGCCCAGACTTATAAGACAGGAGCAACAGCAGCAGCAGCCTGTGCCCGTGAGGGTGGAACAGCGGCAGGAGCAGCCCAGGCCAATGAGGGAGGAACAGCAGCAGCAGGAGGAGGAAAATCAACCGCCACAGCATCGTCAGCAGCAGCATTCATCAGTCCATCCTCAGTCGCAGCACAAAAGCTCCTCCAAAGCTACGCTGGTCCCCTCCGTTACAAATCTGCTGCCGTCGCTGCCAGTCAGCAGTCCCGCGCCCGTCGAGAGCAAATCGAGAGGGGAATACAACGGCAAGAAGGTTAGCACCATATTCCTGCATCGGGTTAACCAGGACTCTAGCCTCACATCCCCTGCACAGAAGCAGCCGGAGGTGGAAAAACCTTTGCCGGAGGCGGAAGAGCAGCAGCAGCAGCAGGTAATCGAATTGGAGGAGCAGCAGCAGGTGATCGAAACGCACGAGGAAATGGACCTGCAGCAGGAAGAGGAACTGGAGCAGGTGATCGAAACGGAGGTGGAGGAGATGGACGTGCAGCAGGTTATCGAACCGGAGCAGCAGATCATCGAAACGGAGGAGGTAGCAATGGATCAACTGGACCAAATGGAAGAGGTTGTTATTGCCGAAGAGGACAACATTTTCCCTGATGCCCTGCAGCAGCTGGATGAAATGATAATTCTTGCCGCCGAGGAGGAGATGTGTGTGGAAACGGTAGAGGAGATTGTACAGACCACAGTATACAATGGCCATTCAGAGGATCGAGATAGCGATCAGCAGGAGGAGGATGATGATGATGAAGACGACGACGATGACGATGAAGATGAAGACAGCGACGATGAGAGCGAAAGCGGGAGTGAAGGGAGCGAGGATAGCGAGCACAATGAAGAAGAGGAGGAGCGAGAGCTGCCCTCAAAAACAAGTGTTAACAATTTAGATGCCTTGCGTCCCCATGAAGGCGGCGACAGTCTCTGGCAGACGGTCAATCATCAGGTAAGTCTTTTGGCATTTTCCATGTGTGTTGTAATAGATTCAAGGAATGCACTTCTTTTCTTCAGATACACGCCATGGATAGTCCGGATCATAAGAGCATAGCACCATCAGCCCATTCGACACCGAATCATCAGCAGAAAACTCATCTTTATTTACACAAGGAGCCTACAGAGACGCTTCAGGTGCTGGAAGTGGAAGAGGAGGAGGAGGACAGCCAGCAGCCGAAGCTCGTCATTGCCGAACCCTTGGAAATGGATGCTGTAGAAGTGCAGACGGTCGAATTGGAGACCTTGGAAGTGGAATTAGAGACTGTGGAACTAGAGACAGGAGTGGACATGGAGACAGTGGAAGTACAGACTGTGGAAGTGCATACGGAGGAGACCGTTGTAGACGCTGGAATAGAAATTGAAATCAAAACAGAGGAGGTCACAACCACGACAATCAGCAAGCATATGCTGCCCAACGCATGTGCTACCAATCCTCCAGCTTCTACTCATGCACCCGCTTCTGTTGCTGTTGCTCCTAACGCTTTCGCTCCTGTTATTACTCCTACGCTGCCCAAGGCAGACTCCGCTCTAGTGGAAGCTAAACACAAGACCAACTCAGCTCTCGTTGGAGCTCCAACCAAGGAAGAGTCAATTGTATCTCCAGCTCCAGTCAAGGAGGAGTTGGCTGTAATTGTACCCAAGGAAAAGTTCACTGTGGTAGCAACTGTACATAAGGAAAAGTCCTCTGAGGCAGCAGCTCCAGCTAAGGAAATGTATGTTGCAGCTGTGGCTGCACCCACGGAAAAGCCCTCTGTCGTAGCAACTTCATCCAAGGAAAAGTCCACAGATGAAGCGACTGTACCCAGGAAAAAGTCCACTGTCGAAGCGACTGTACCCAGGAAAAAGTCCAATGCTGAAGTAGCGACTGTACCGAGGAAAAAGTCCTCTGTTGAAGCATCGACTGTACCTAGGAAGAAGTCTTCTATTGAAGCGATTGCATCCAAGGAAAAGCCCACTGTAGAAGCATCGACTGTACCCAGGAAGAAGTCTTCTATTGAAGCGATTGTAACCAAGGAAAAGTCCTCTGTTGAAGCTGCGACTGTACCTAGGAAAAAGTCTTCTATTGAAGCGACTGTAACCAAGGAAAAGTCCACTGTAGAAGCATCGACTGTACCTAGGAAGAAGTCATCTACTGAAGCGATTGTACCCAAGGAAAAGTCGGTTTCTGTAGAAGCTCTGACCATGGAAAAGTCTAGTGATGCATCGGCTCTATCAAAGGAGAAATCGGCTGTTGCCGAGCAAAAGGAAAAGCCTGATACTGCTGCAGCAGCGTCCAAGGAAAAGCCTGCTGTTATAGAAGCTCCACAGAAGGCAAATTCCACTGTCGAAGCGATTTCGAGCAAGGAAAAGCCCGAAACGGCCAAGGAGAAGTCGATTGTTGCAGAAGCTCCGCCAACCAAGGCAAACTCTGCGGTTGCTGCCGATCCTCCAACAAAGCCAAACTCCACGGTCGTGGCAGTTCCAACAAAGGAAAAGGCCGCTGTTGGGGATGATGCTCTACCCAAGGCAAACTCTTCTCTGGTTGCAGCTGTCCCTAAGGAAAAGTCTACTGCTGTTGTAGCAGCTCCAGCCAAGGAAAAGTCTGCTACCAGGGAAAAATCTGCTGTCGTAGAAGAACCGCAAAAGGCAAACTCGTCTGGCGTAGCGCCCACCACAAAAGCAATAGACACCAAGCAGAAGCGCACCAAACTTAGGGAAGAGCCATTCGAAAAGAAGCTGGAAAGAGCAAAGGAGGCGACGAACGTGATTCTCAAGGCGGTGGCTGGGCATTCAGCTCGCGTTGGAGTTGGAAGTCATGCCAAGGCAAACTCCACTGCGGTGACGGCTTTTCACAAGGAAAAGTCCACTATTGTGGCTGCGGGTACGCTTTGTCTGCCCAAGACAAAGACCCAGGCTGTTGTGCCAGCAACAGCTCAATCCAAGGAGAAGTCTGTTGTGGCAGCGGCAGCTGTACCAAAGGAAAAATCCCTGCAAAAGGAAAGGTCCCTCATGGAAGCTACGCAGAAGTCAAACTCTGCTGTCGTGGCTCCCTCAAAGAAAGCAGCAACAGCAGTTACGAATCCTACCGCTCCAGTTGGGGCAGCTGTGCCCAAAGCCAACGCTGCTGTTGTGGCTTCCCCCACAAAAGCTGCAGCTCCTGCACCAATGGCAGCTCTACCCAAGGCCAAGGCTTCCGAGCCAGAAGAAGAAATATCTAAAAAGGCAAAAATCGAAATCAAAACGGAAGAGAAGAAGCCCAGCATCAGCGGGGATGAAAAGTTATTGAAGGCAGCGAAGAAAGTCGAAGCAGCAGAGGATCTACCAGCTCGATTCGAAGCTCTAAATAGTGTGAAATCTACGGAGCAAGAGCTAAAAAAGAAAAGGAAGAAACGTAGTAAGAGTAAGAGCAAGAGCCCTTCAAAGAGCGAAACCTCACAGCACGACAGGAAGATCCATGTTGTGGCCAATCATCAGTCGTCACCCAAGAAACGCCCCCACAACCTCATAGAAGAGATCCACGAAAAGTCCGAGATTCCTGAAGCGGGTGCACCACCACAGAAGAAACCAAAACGCTTGCAGGTGAAGCTCAAGCATCATGGACTCTCCAATGACAGGAAATTTCATGTCTCCTCCTCCTCAAAGACCAACAAAAAACCGCAAACGGACAAGGAGAAGGAGGTGGCCCGGTTGGAGGAGGAAATGCGTCGCAAACTGCAGGAACATCTGAAAAAGGAGCAGCGGCGACAGAGTCAACAGCCGCTGGTGCTGCTCAAGAAACCTCCCAAGGATAATAGCGCCAGTACGAGTTTAATTTATCCTCCGATAGCGCATGCATCCACATCAACGTCAACCACACCACCACCACCAGCGTCTGAAACGACGCCACCAGCGACGCCATCATCGACGCCACCGCCCACGGGCACAAATCTGATAGTAGAACCCCCCGCAGAGACGCCAACCAAGACAGAGGATAAGGATACATCGGCCACAATAATTGCGGCACCCCTGACCCCTCAGTCGATGAGCAGCAACAGCAGCAGCAGCACCACTTCCAGCACCAGCACTAGCACATCCCGAACGATAATCCAGAACTATGCTCACAAATCCACTTCCAGATATCGCACTGTCCTGTTTCCGTATACGACACGCTCCTGGGAGGATCAGGAGTTCCATCGCGATAACGAGTTCTTCGATGAGGAGGCCGACGAACTGCTGTCGGATCATCCGAGTCTGGAGATACCCAAATGGCGGGATGCACCTATACCGCCCAGTGCCGACAACAAGGACATCGAGAGCTTGACGGACGAGGACTTTGTGAAGCGTCACGAAAAGTATGTAAAGGACGAGATCGAAAGGAAGCGCCGCGATGCGCGCTACATGCGGGAGCAGATGAAGAGCGAAGCCTTGCGGCAGCGGCACAATCAGGATGAGGTGTTGGTCCAACTGGATCCGCTGCCCACGTCCACGTTTTACCCGCTGCCCGAGGACATTGAAGGCGTACAGATTGTCACGGAAATCCCTGTGCAAGCCTTTGGCGAGAATGTGGTCAACATGGAGGCGAGATCGGATTTCAGTCTGCCATGGCTGGACTCGGTCAAAGCGCTGACGGCCATTGCCCGGGCGAAGGCTGAGGCAGTGCCGGTGGCCACGTTAACCAGCAAAAAGATACCCCTCACTGCAGCGGAATCCAGGAGTCAGGTGATGAATTCCTCGTATGTCCTACTCAAGCGGCGCAAGCGACAGAGAAAACGTTAGCCGGCCTTCGGGAACTGAGTTGTAGCTGTAGCTGTGGCGTGCCAAAGGTGGATCATGGTGGCTTCATGACCCAATGACGTTGCCTATGTAAAACACATTAATTATTATTATTATTCCTTGAATTTTTTTTGCTATTTTTAAATCTTATTTAAGCTACTGAAAATATTTAGGAAACGATTAGTTTTTAGTTTCTGGCCCCTGCAATCGATGCCATATGGAACTCTAAAGAGTTTCCACGCTAGATTGATTGTGTGTCTGCCCTCACAACGTAATCCTTTACAATACAATATGTTAAAACTTACGAGTATGATAAATGATTATTATTATCCCATTAATTATTTAATTAGTTTGATCGGGTTCCAATATCTCAGCTTTATCCACCTAAACCCACAGAAAGGACATGCTCTGGTCTCTAATTTTGGCATAATAACAAAATGAAATGTTTAGACTTTTCTAATTTTAAAAACCAATATTTTTTTTTCGTAGATTATAAAGGAAAGAAAAATGAAATTTTTAGACTTTTAACTTTAAAAACTTTTTTTTTAGTCTCTAATTGAAATTTTTTTTCTGTTGAACCCCTCTTATTTATAATCGTGTAATATATCGTGTGTGAGTGTGCGTGTTGATAAGAGTTTTTTTTTTACTCAGGTATATCTCTGATAAAATTATTATAAATATATATCATCACTTTATTTTTTCTTTTTTTTTTTAGAATGTGTAGAAAATGTGTGAAGCTTAAAGTTATTTTTAACGTATTGTTTTTTACTTTATAACTTCTTTTAAACTAAAAAAAAAAAACCCAAAATAAATACAAAAATAAATAAAACTTGATTTCCAAGCTGTAAAAAAAACAACAACAAAAAAGCATGTTTAAACAAGAAGTACCAGGCACCCCCACCATATATACCATTTGTTCAAGACGTCTACTTCTATTTGAGTTTACTTTGAGGCAACGAGATAAGAGGAGCATACATCATGCCTACACCTTGTGCAACGCAGATAGATCCCCAGACAGAGCTCTCACAGGCGAGGGCACTGCACTTTCTCTTTTGTACATTTCAAATAGGTGCTAAGCGAGGAGAGTTATTTGTAATTATAGCCTTAAGTAGATGCGCCAGCAATGGAGGAGTTAGTTAGTCGCGAAAGTAGGGAGAACAAATTGTATATTGGCAGGAAGAACTTTGTTCAAACATATTTTTACACGAATAGGAACGATGATCTGAATCAAATGTAATTAGCGTTAATTAGTTCAATTTAATAATGAAAATCGTTTTCAATCGATGCAATTGCCACCACACTAGAGAACCCAAATTAACAAACGAAACACTTTAACATGTAAGCAATAAAGTAACTACATACAATGTATTTGTATTTGTTTAACAAGTTTTATTGTAAAGATTATGATAATAATATATCGGATAAAAGTAATATTTAATTGACCATTATTCTTCTATTATTTATTTATTGCTTTGCGTCAAGTACTGATGGCCGGTTGTCGACCACAGTTCGTCTACGGATTCAAAACTCTCCCTCCAGAGTGTCTCGAGCAGCTTCCAGCCGTCTTGTTGGGTGGACAGCAGGTAATCGTTGGTGGGATGCAAGCTGTGCGTGTACAGGCCCATTACCAGGCTCTGGACAAGACGAGCAGCCACACAATACTTTAGATATCCCAGCTCTGTGCTACTGATGGGCTTTATGCTGGTGTATCCGGCCAGAAAGATACCACCGCTGGCCAAATCATTCGCCTCCAGCGTCATGTAGGTCAAGGCAATGCCAACTTCGAAGAGAAGCGGCGAGTTGCTCGCGTCCCCAAAGTCAATTACGCCCTTGATGTTGTGGTCCGTCTGATTTGGTGCTGGTTCAATCACAATATTCGACTCATTGAAGTCGCCGTGGATGATCTGATGCTCCAGGGTGGACACCACACTCAATACCTTCGACTCGAAGGCATCGATCACCTCCTCACACAATGCCTTATGCTCCTGATCCTTGACGGCAAACAGAAACTCCCTCACGCCCGGTACATTCTGCAGCTGCCATGTGGTCGTGTGCCTTACATACGCTTCGTGGGTAAAATCCTTAAGAGTTCTGTCCAATTTCGCCAAGTATTCGCCGCTTTGGAACAGCAGATATTTTGTGATGGGAACTTCGCGGAATATTTGGCCAGGAACGAACTCCAAGAGGCGCACCACATGGGCTGTGCCACTTAGCTTTTCCACCGAATAATACTTGCCGCTGGCATTGGCAATAGGACGGGGACACTTTATTTGTTTTTTAGCTGCATAACAAAGAAAAGAAGATTATTAATTTCAGCTGAATAAATAAGATTAAAGTTAATGAGTATTTACATAGATAGAGCATCACTTGATTCTGTGCATCAACAACGTCTTCTTTCTTGGAGTCCAACGAATTCATTATCTTCAGGACATAGCCATTGGGGCAGTGGGACACAATCAGGGGATTCTTTACATTGCTAAAAGTCGAAAAAGCGGTTATAAATTGAATTAAATTAATTTATTTTGATTAATTTAGGCATCCCTGGTATAGTGTTGCAAAAAGATGACAGCAAAATCAGTGTAAATAGCAAATCAGTATTTTGCAGTTATGCAACACCAACGCTCATTTTGGCGGTAGAATAGTTATTTATGTGTGTGATGTGTGATTTAGTTTTTTTTGATTTGTGTTATCATTAAGCGTTGTAAATTGCCCACCCGCATGCCCGACCATGGGCATTACCGGCCTGATACCATTTCTGGAGAAGGCATCGTCGAAACTGCAACTGAAAGACATACGCGGCAGCACCGTCGCTGTGGATACTTATTGCTGGCTTCACAAAGGTGTTTTTAGTTGTGCCGAAAAGTTGGCCCGCGGCGAGGACTGCGACCAGTATGTGCAGTACTGTCTGAAGTATATACAGATGCTGCTGTCGTATGATATCAAACCGATTCTGGTCTTCGATGGTCAGCATTTGCCGGCAAAGGCTTTGACCGAGAAGCGTCGACGGGAGTCGCGACAGCAGAGCAAGCAACGGGCAGCAGAGCTGCTGCGCCTGGGCCGTGTGGAGGAGGCGCGCTCCCATATGCGTCGCTGTGTGGATGTCACCCACGAGATGGCACTCCGGTTGATACGCGAGTGCCGGAATCGTAATGTGGACTGTATTGTGGCGCCCTACGAGGCGGATGCCCAGATGGCCTGGCTCAACAAGGCCAACATTGCCCAGTACATAATCACCGAGGACTCCGACTTGACGTTGTTTGGCGCCCAGAAGGTTATCTTCAAACTGGACCTAAATGGCTGCGGTCTGCTGGTGGAGGCGGACAAACTCTACCTGGCAATGGGCTGTCGGCAGGAGAAGTATCAGTTCGACAAATTTCGACGCATGTGCATATTATCGGGCTGTGATTATCTGGACTCGCTGCCGGGCATTGGTCTGGCCAAGGCCTGCAAGTTTATGCTGAAAACGGAACAGGACGACATGCGCATAGCATTGAAGAAGATACCAAGCTACCTCAATATGAGCAAATTGGAGGTGAGTGCCAGAGATCCCATTTTTATTGGATTACAGCTGAGTAACATTGCGCGTGTTTTACACCAGGTGGACGATGACTACATTGAGAACTTTATGAAAGCCGAGGCCACCTTCAAGCACATGTTCATCTACAATCCTCTGCAGCGTCGCATGGAGCGACTCTGCACCCTGGAGGAATACGCGACAGATGTGAGCTACTGCAGCAATGCTGGCACTTTGCTGGAAGATAGCCATCTGGCACTGCATTTAGCTCTGGGGAATTTGAATCCCTTTTCGCTCAAACGACTGGACAGCTGGGAGCCTGGCAAAGCACTTCCTGCTGCTCCAAAAAATACAAAAAGATCGAAGCATAAAAGTATTTGGCTAACAAACGCATCAACTGGACAGAATCAGGGGAATGAGCAGCCGCAAAATGGGCCATCACCTTGTGCTTTGTTCTTCAAAAATTTGGATTTTGTTGGTCAAACTATAGACGAGGAAATCCAGGCCAATGTGCGACTGGAGCAGGCAAAGCAAACGGAAGCGCAAGTCTTCTCCATGTACAGCTTCAAATCGAAGCGGAGAAGAAGTCCCAGCGGTGGTGGCTCCACGGATAGAGAACGCACACCGCCCCCATCGCCGGTACAAACGAGAAGTCGTCACAATCCCTTTGCCAAGGAGCCGCTGCTACGATCCCCAGTGGTGTGTGAGAATAGTTCTCTGCTGCGTCTGCTCAGTCCTAAGAAATGCAGTCCCGTTGGTGGAGGAGCCGACGAGACGCGTGTGAATTCCCTCAAGCGAAGCATCTTTGCCAAGGAGCAGCAGGTGGAGGTGCGCAGTCGATTTTTTGCCACGCAAGCGGAACAGCAGCAGCAGGAGCAGCAGCCGAAAGAGGAGGAGTTGGGATCAAGTGGGCTCAACAAGAAATTAAGACTGGAAACTTACTCTACAGACATGGTGCTCGCCGAAGAGGATGAAAAGCCATCCAGCAACGAAATGAAGCCATCATTAGAGAGTGATCAGCTCGAAGACAGCAAGGATAGTGCAAATTTACGTATTAAATCCTTGGACACACTAAAGAGTGAGCCTGCCCCTTCAGACACCATCAATCTGCTATCTGATGACAGTTGCAGCTCGGAGGCAACGCTCCCTAGCAGCCAGGAAGCTGCAACCGTTCAACGCAACAATTTCTTTGTGTCGAACACCAGACGCGTGGGCCTCTCCAAGCCCACCACCACCACAACTGCCAAAAAGGGTTTGTCGAAGTCCAAAAACAGCAAATTGACCTCCTCGAGCCCGAATCAAACCAAGCTCAGTATGTTTGGCTTTCAGAAGCGGCCTGTTCTTAAATGATTGTTTGTGCACCTTTTTGCACTTAGTTTTGTAAGCTAATCTAATTTATTAAAGCGAACGAGCGATGACAACAAGCTTGTATGGCATCCGTATCCTCATGAATCTATCAAGATAACAATGGGGATGGGATGGGATGGGATGCTGCTGCTGGCTGGCAAGCAAAGGTGACTGCGTCACAGTCAACTAACGCGCCTAACAACTTTAATTAAATGGTTAAAAATAGATGCTACAGCCAGCCCATGCCCCCATACACTGACTGACTGACTGACACGCTGCTTGGCACGGCGACCCCCCTTGACCTGAATCTCTCTCCAGTGTAAACACTTATTATTTATCAGTCGTGCTGCGGTTACTGCTATGACAACGGCCTGGGCCTCTCCTCTAGATGTGCTATATGTATACTTGCGTCCGCAAAAGAATAATTGATAGGCTTGTGTATGTTTTTGCCCGTTAGATTTGCCATTTCTTTCCATTGCCCCACTTTTCACCTTTTTGTGAATTTTTCCACGACTTAAGGAGCTTACCTGTCTTCATGGATCAAAAAGTTACGATCATCGTAAGCCAGAATCTCCTTGACTTCGCTCACTGTGATGCCATAGAGTCGTCGCAGCAGGCTCTCCACATCGTCCGGCTCCACTTTTGGCCTCACATCAGAGCCAGGCTTTAGGAGCGAACTTTCTGGTTGCTCCTTAGCTGGGATACTGTCGTTGCTGCCATTACCATTGGAAGTCACAGCAGCAGCATTCTCCTTGTTGAGCTTTTCGGCCATATTATAGGCATGATTCAGTGTGTATGACTTTTTGGACATGTTTGTCAGCTCCACATTGTTCCACTGCTCCATTCTGGGTGGCTTGCTGCTTTATCGGAGACGCAAAAAAAAAAAAAAACAAAAAGAAAACAATTGCGGATCAGTAAACGAATACGAATGCGAAAATGTTTTCGGTTGCGCGTTCCAGAGCGGAATGAGAGATGTGTGTTGGGCTTGGAGGTTTCAGTTTCGTTTCAATTGGAACGAGTTCGTTGTCGCAGCAGCAGCAGCAACGACGCCGCGCGTCTTCTTTATATCTTTTTAGCTAGACTTGCGCAAGTGTGTGTATCTGTGTGCTTCTGTGTCTCTGATTCTGTCTTGTCAGTGCACGGGGGTGTGTGTGTGTGTGCTTTGCCGCCCCGCCTGGGTACCAGCGTTAATTTGGTTATTTGTACAATTTCTTAAAGCCTTCTCCCCCTGTTTACTCTTTGATTGCGGCACCACTAGATGGATGTATATTTGCCCAAAGCAATGTACTCCAGGGGGGGCGGGAGCCTTATCATCAGTATCTCTGCAGCCGTTTCGCAACCAGGCCAAAAACAAACTTCAAGTCGTGATCGCTTTCTATTAAACTCACTTAACGCCACGACCCAAAAACTTGAGGCGTATCAATTATATACTGATAAATCTGATAGATGGACTTGAGATTACGTTATGTGTATTAGTAAAACAAACAGGTGCACGGGCCCTAAACGGCCATAAATCTTGGGTAAACTGTTCTATCAGGGTGTTCTAAGTATTCTAGAGCTGTAATTATTTTGGTTCTTAAAGAACAAAGTAACTGGAAAAGAACGTCGTTGGAACGATTCAATCATTTGTTCCAGTCCAAAAAATAACTGATTCACTTTAATTGGAAGAACTGTGACTGACAAGCAATGTAATTGAATTTAGATAAATATTTTACAATCCAAATGGAGTGGATAAACGGCCTTGACTCAATTGCGTGCAAAATAACACGCACACACACGAACATTGAGATTAATTAAAAACCAAATATGAAAACAGACAGTACACACATATATACATATAGAAAATAATTAATGTAAATATGCACAGCTGACTAATCAAACACACCTACAAAATAACTAATACAAGTATTACGGGTTGGCCTATAAACGCTTCGACGACAACACCTGTCTCCCGCTCGAACCACAGGTAAACTAAACTTCAAAATGTAATGCGTTGGATTGGAACAGAGCCACAAAGCGGGTAGCTTGCATTTAAGGCCTATAGATTCGGCTATCACATGCTGCAGTGTGTGTCTAAGCGAGTGTAACTAATTAGCAAGATGATAAAACTTAAAAGTAAAAACGAACAAATACATTCAAAAATTCAAAGCAATGCACCAACACTTTGACCTGTGAATCAGTGCTGCCATTTTAGCTTATTTAATGCTAGATTTAGCATTTGTAAAGGTAGCTTAGCTTAGAAAATTTGAAAATATGTAGATCATAAAAGCTGTTTAACATTTTTAATGAATAAATTTAGCTAGTTTTAGCTTTAAGTGTAACTTCCATCTCCTTATGATTCTATCGTTGCGTAAAAAGTATCGTATCGAACCATCGACTGTTTTAAACCATCGATATTATCGAGAGTGCCATCGATTGTTTTTTTTTGCCCCCCAGCTGATTTGATTTTTTCTGTTCTGTTTTTTTATTTTCTCAATTATTTAAATGATTGTTAATTAAACTATGGATCAGCTGTACTTAGAAATTGAGATAAGCACTCAGAACGCCGAAACAACGATTTACACCAGCGTGTCTTCATTCTTAGCCCTTTACACATACCGTTATCTGAAGATATCTCCCAAGAATATTCAAGTTAATTTTGTGGCCACTAAAATACAGAGTGGTAAGATAGCTTTACGCAGTTCCCAGCTGCGACGCGAACTCGATCACCATATAACATGCCGGGAGGCTGCCAAACTGCCTGCTATTCGGGATCTCCGCCTGCCCATCTATGAGAAGGATGGAACAATCTATATAGCCGGGACATGTGCCGTTTGCCGGGAGCTAATTGCCCGGCAGCCAAATACCGAACTGCGCAAACTACTGGGCTTCAAGGAGAGCTGCCTGCTGGCTCCCTCGGAAGCCTCGATCTGGACACGCTTTTGCGAGGTGGATGTCGTGGACGTTGTAAGTCGTCTGCATGATGGGCTTCTACTCCAGACTGTGCCCGACGAGGTGGTACGCTTTGAGCAGCACATGAACGAGCCCGTGCGCATGCATAATATCTATAAGCAGGCCAGGGAGCAGGCCAACCAAACGGAGAACGGTGCCAAGATCAAGAGGAAACATCGGGTTCAGATCGATGGACGTACGCCCAAGGAGCAGCTGCTGATTGAGCATCGTTTTGCCGAGGGCATTAGCTTCACCATAGCAGATCTCATTTTGTATCCCCTGCTACGTATAGTCTTCCAGCATTGTGGCCAAATGTTGCCACATTTTCCCCTGACCAGCACGTGGTTTAGTGAGGTGAGTGGAAGGAACACTTCGAAGAGGAGTATAATCCAATTGTTTTTGTCACTTGTGTACTTTTTAGATTGACTCCTTTGACGGCACTTGTGCCAAGATCCTTGGCGAGCTATATGTGCCACAGACGGTGTTGCAGTGTGAGGAGCTCCTTGCCATACCCGACTGCGATGCCACTAGTCTCTACAAGGCCGATCCCAAGCGCTACAAGCCACGCAATCGGATCTACACCAGCCAGACGGAGGTAGATCTGGCGCTCACCAAGCTTTCCGAACTGCAACTGGAGTTCAGCACCGATTCGGAGCACACTTATGGCCAGCAGGTCATCGACTGGCAGCAAATCGAGCCCACGCATGCCAAGAGCTCAGCTCTGCCACAAGAGCGCCTGGAACGGAAGCGACAGCAACTGGAGAATATGGCCAATGCTGTGGTGTCGCTGGCAAAGCCAGGAGATCGCATTGTGGACTTTTGCAGCGGCACAGGGCACTTGGCCATACTGTTGGCCCTCAAGCTGCCCCTCTGCACCATTATCGTGATGGAGAATAAGTCCTTTTCACTGGCTCAAGCCCAGAAGCGCGCCCTTGAGCTGGAGCTGAGCAACTGTGTCTTCTATCAATGCAATATTGATTACTTTGTGGGTAGATTCGACATTGGAGCCTCTCTACACGCCTGCGGCACGGCCACCGACATTGTTCTGCAGCAGTGTCGCCGTGTTAATGCTCATTTTGTATGCTGCCCCTGCTGCTATGGATCGTTGCAGCCCATGCCCCACATTTCCTATCCACTTAGTGAACGCTTGCAGCGTGTGCTAAGCACAAAGGATTATCTCTATATAGCCCATACAGCGGATCAGGCCCACGAATTGGGCACAACCAATTGCAAGCCGGAGACCACATTGCAGGGTCTGCATTGCATGTGCATTGTGGACACGGATCGCAAGCTGCAGTCGGAGGAGGCGGGCTACCAGGTGATACTCACCAGGCTCAAGCCCGAACAGTGCACGCCAAAGAATCACTTGCTAGTCGGACGTTTTGTAAAACAGAACTGAACTGATGTACATATTGAAATACTGCCCTAACCGAACACATGAATAAATGTTTCATATACATGTTTAGATACCGATTCGGCGATTTAGATTTATTTGAGTAGCTTGTAGAAAAAGATATCAGCTCGCCTCGCTCCGGCGAGGTGGTAATAATTCTTAACCAAATTTACTAAGATTCAGCAACATCCGAGGCCTAGGCATGACCATGGCCTCCGCGCAGAGCCAACACCAAGTGCAGCACCGAACCACCTTGAACTTTGTAGTCAGCCGCAGTCTTGTCATCGTTCCTGGGTACGGCGAAATAGGGCAGAGTTAATTGACCTATATGTATATATATTGTGATTCTGCCGGTCACTCACATTTGTTTGCCGGAAAAGATTAAACGCTGTTGCTGTGGCGGTATGCCCTCCTTCTCCTCCACACGCTCTTTGATGCGGTCTACCTTATCTGTGGGCTCAATGTCGATTTCAATTTCCTTCCCGGTCAGCGTCTGCAATTTAGGATGGATAGATCCGTAAAAATACACATTTTGCACATTTTGTTGCTGTCTGATGGCCTGCTGACGCATAGCAATGGACGCTACGCTCCAAAGTGCGCGTAGCCGCCAGTGGCTTCATCCAGAAATTTTTGTGCGCAGACTTACCTTCACTTTGATCAACATTTCGTAAGTTGTATTTGCTTTTTGTTTAAAATAATTTAAATATTACTAAAATTTTGCAAATTTCCACAGCTTGCTAGGGTTGGAAGTAAATCGATAGCGCTATCGATATCAACGATGGTCGAAAATTTAGCGGAACATCGACTGTGTCTGTATTTATTTATTTAGCTTTTTTTACTATTTTTTGTTTGAATTTTATAACAGTGCACTAGAAATAAAACTGTGTACTCAAAATTTTAAAATCACTTTCTAAACTTAAAAAAATATATATGATGCACCTATAATTTTTTGTATGACAGCCACACTGTTGATTTGAGTGGCGATCGATAGTTCGATTACTTAATCGTATTGAAAGACGTTACATTTTGTCGTTTTGAATTTTTTTTTATTCAAAATATCTAATTCAAACTTAATAGCTAACTACGTATTTATACACAACTAATTCAAATGCATTTTGTTCGTTACAGTTACTGAGATCCCCAGCTTAAAGAGGCAACTTAAGCGCTCTTCTTCAGTTTGTTCCAGCTGCGGATGGCCTCGCCAATGTGGCGAATATCCCTGGCGTAGGTGCGACAGCAGCCGCCAATAATTTTGGCACCCAGCTGCGCCCACTCGGGCACGTAATTGGCGAGAGGCACACAATGCTCCCTTCCCTCCCAGCCCCTGACGACATCGTAGACCTCTCCGCTGTTGGGATAAACGACCAGCGGGATTTGCTCTTCCCCGTTGCGTTCACCATTCAGGCTCTTGAACAGAGGTGTCACAAATTTGGGATGCACACAGTTGACGCCCACGGCCAGGCACTTGTCCTGGGCATTACGCTCGGCCAGCAAATCCCAGATGGCATTTGCCGCCTCAGCAAAGGTCTCGCCATGCGCCAGCCGGCTTTCATCCTGGCATTGGAACGCGACCCAAAACTTGACATCCGGATAGTCATCGCAAAGCATTTCCACCAGTGCTTCCGCCTCCATTTGGCACGGAATTGTCTCAATGGCCAGCGCATCGACTCCTGCCTCCACACAAGCTTCGATACGAGTGCGGTGCCAATCGGTGATGGTCTTTGCTGGCACATAATCGGCATAGCTGCCGGTGTACTCGGAGCCATCGTGAAGGTGGGCGCCAAATGGTCCAATCGAGGCAATTATCAGAGGATAACCTGGGGGGTGAATGCACAATAAATTAGCACACAAACAATTAAGGGCATGGCCCTGGGCCTGGAGTGTGCTTCGTACCTTCTGGAATCGCCAGCTGGGCCTGATAACACTCTGTCAGATATTTTTCCTTGGCTATGTGCGCCAGACGAACCGTGTTTCTTATCAGCTCAATGCTCTGCTCCTCGTCCAGTTCCAAATACTCCATGTAACCCTCGACACTGGCCTGATAAGTGTTCGTCAATATGATATCAGCCCCATCTGTGGGCACATTACAACAATAAAATCTTGTTGCTAATTGAATGGTGATGGTGGGGTTAACTTACTCTGCAGGAAATCCAGGTGGGTGTTAATTATGGCTGCGGGATTTGTGGCATTGAAGCGGGCACTCCACAAGGGATCCCCATCCACCGAATTGCCCACATGTACGGTCATTTGTGTGCCAAAACCGCCATCTTTCACCAGCACGCGCGTCAGACCCATGATTACTCTATGGTTGGTGCTGAGTAGCTGTGGGGGAAGGAAGGGTGGAATGAGACTTAATCTGGTGTTAGTTTCTACTGATAAGAAGGAGAGGACCGGACCAGTAGCCACAGACATCTTATAGCGTCACTGCAATCAGCAGAAGCTGCAGCTGTGTCCAGCTGTGCTAGCAGCTTAGCTATGTGAGCCTTGACATCTGCTAGGGGCCGCCCGCCCGATCAATCAATTAAGATTGAGAGCGAAAACAATGTAGTAAGAAGAAAGATGGGCTGGCAGCACGTTAAAGCTGCTAGTTTCTAAGCCATTTTCAAAGGTATTTTACACAAGTATTTATTTTTTTCACGGATCTGGACATAGTAATACAATTTATTTACGTGCAGCGAAAAGATTTAGTCAGATATTTTTCATACTAAATGAAGCAAAAAGCTTTGATTAAGAGTGCATAGAATTAATGGGATGCTTCCTTCTCTGTCCCATATATTATGTTATGTTATGTACCCTTCGCAATGGTTTAAAACTATCTGCAGCCATTGCCACACTCCATTAATTCCAATAATTCACTAATAAACACTTCCGACAACTGTACTTATCGCTCAAGTAGAAGTTTGAGTTCAACGAACTGCATAAACAACTTGGGAATCAATAAAGCACTCACTCACCTTGAAATCGTATTAATAGAGATCTTGTAAAAGTCTCAATTCAATAACAACTTTATTAGATAAGTCGCTGTCTGGCCGGGCCTGTAATCAAGTTTTTATTTTAGCCTTTGTGTTTGTCGTCTGTTGAAAACTATGGATATGATCTATTCCACTGTATGTCCGTCGAGCGTTTAAGTGTTTTACAGCGACGGCTAGAAGCTTTTATAGCCTGCTACCCGCCGACCGTCCGCTGGCTCAGCTGTCGCTTATCACAGCAAAAAATAATAAATAAATAAAATACATAGCAAAATACACAAAACAAAGCAAAAAAAAATAATAATAAACATACATACATAGTAAATATGTATGTACATATATGTATGCTAGGTCTGGAACACTACGAGTACACTGGACTGGTGGGCCAGTGCTTGGCGTTGATAAGGCGTTGCCAGCGGTAGCGGCAGCGGGTGCACAGCCACAGCTGCCAGACAACAGTCCAGAGAACAATCCAATCCCCGGGGTAGAAACCTCCTCTCCTCCCGAACAAGGCTGATGAAATCGTCACAGTGCGTGGTCTCTGCAAGAGATAGGACACGGTCACTACGACCGCCTGCGGTCGCCTGTGCATGGCATCTTGCCTGACGACTCTTCTTCGATAACCTTTTGGACAATCAAGCACCAGTTGGTGCCGGATTCATCAGTCACATCTTGTTTGTTGTGACTCTGCCCCTTGGACATGGATCATAGGGTACTAAAGGGTATATTCTGACATAGGAGATGTCAGTTTCAAGCCGAATATAATTTTATATTTTATAGGCTCACACAATGTAAATTACAAAATTGTAATGTTTTATTTTCAACTTTGAATTTTTATTCTGGAGAATTTGTCGATGCGCTTCGAAGATTCAATGGAGAACTAAAACAGAACGCAGCCATTCGCCATGGCTGCAGAGGATCAAGAGGTTCTTCATCATCATTACCAGAGCAGAAATGCTGGCACCCAACTGGGTGGAGTTGAAGTGTCAGCTGGTGGAACTTGGTGTTGCTCATGCCATGAAGGAGTTTCATGTTAAGCAGAACAAAGCGCTGAACAAGACGACGATATTTGTACCTTCTTCCGCTTCTGTTTCCGTTTTGGATTGGAGTCGTCTGCACTCGCGTAGCGTATAATGCTGACTCTCAACGACCCAACGCCCTGATGTACTCCTTGAGCACCAGCAGTCTAGGAGCTCAACGAGCTCCACATCGACTCCAGATTAAATTTTAAAGTGAATAAGTTGTGATGGACTTCAAAATTATCGCCTATGTAGATCACTAAATTTACAATATATAAATCTACATATTGGAATAATACTTTTACTTTTGTTGGTCATTTTCATTGATGATTTAAACAATTCTTTTTATTAATAAGACATGATCTGAAGTGAAATGCTTACAAAATATTCTCATTTTGATTAGAAAATTAATTTCATTTGTTAAAGAAAAAATAAGGAAACAATTTAATGACATTCATATTTTGTTTGGTACGAAAAATGAGCTAAAAAAATTAATTATATTCACGGCTAAAGCGGCCATACTTTGTGTTGGTAACATAATTGGGTCAAAAATTAATTAATTCTATTCAAATTATAAATAGTCGAAACCTTTTAGATTTTGACTGGGTGACAACCAGTGTACTGATTGTGTACCTTTAAATTCCATAAATCTGTCGTCGTCGTCGTCGCCTCGCAGTCGCACTCGCACTCAGTCCACACTTTCCGTACATTGCTGATTAGGCACAACATCGCCAGAGTACATATACATAGTATGAAAAGTATATATGTATTTAGCAAACTAAATAGGTCTAGGTCTAGTAACATGAAACCACATTTCGCATTAACAACAAAAGTCAACAATCAATTTAAGCAATGTCCGATTGCGGCGATTGCTGCTCTGTTCTGTAGCCGATGTTAAGGCTATCAACGCACTTGCGGATCTTGAGCACATCGTCCGGATAGACACGGCAACATCCGCCCACAATGCGTGCGCCCATACGCACCCATTCGGGCACAAATTTGGCCACATCTTCACCCGTTCCCGTCCATTCACCGCGTACACTATCGTAGATTTCGCCACGATTGCTGTACACCACCAGGGGAATGCGATCCGTGCCGGCGGCCGCATTCAGAGATCTTAGGAGGGGCGTCACAAACGTGGGATTCACACAATTAACGCCGATACCCAGGAGGCGAGTCTGTGCCTTGTGGGACTGCACCATACGCCAGACGGATAGAGCAGCCTCTGCGAAAGATTCACCATCTGCCAGACTGGTTTCGTCCTGCAAGCACAACAGAGGTTGAGAGGTGAGTGTTGAAATCAATGAAATATCCAAAAGCATCAGCACTTACCTTGCACTGAAAGGATACCCAAAACTTGACGTTCGTATAGTTCTCGAGTATGCTTTCCGTGATGGCCAGTGCTTCCAGCTGACACGGCAGCGTCTCCGCGGCCAAGCCATCGACTCCGGCCAGCAGGCAGGTCTCGATTCGTGTGCGATGCCAGTCCTGAAGCTTCTCCTTGCTTATCTTATCCGCATAGCTGCCCGAATACTCGGAACCGTCATGCAGATGGGCACCATATGGCCCAATCGATGCCAAGATCAGGGGGAAATGTGGTTTAATGCTCCCGCCGGACTGGAGCAACTCCTTCAGATATTGCGCCTTGGCCTGTTGCGTCAGGTACACGCTCTTCTCTATCAGGGCCACACTCTGCTCACGCGTCAGAGACAGATATTTCATAAATCCCTCCACGCTGGACTGGTAGGTGTTTGTTAATATGATATCGGCACCACTGCGCAAAAAATCCAAATGCGTCTTAATCACCGCCTGCGGATTGGTGGCATCGAAACGCGAGCCCCACAACGGGTCGCCGTCCACCTTTTCATCCACATTGTGCGCCAATTGGGAAGAGAAGCCACCGCATTTGACGAGCACGCGTGGCTGCTCCGGTCGGCTCTGACTCTGGTTATCGTTCTCCTCCTCGCCGGCATACATTGTGCTTGGCCTACGTGATGAGCGTTACTAGTACAGCGGTGCGGTCGTCGCCTTATATCGGAAATCTTTTTACATTTACTTGCCTTGTCTAGTTTTTATTTGATATTCCCTGATACGTGAGATTCTGAGTTTTTCCGCTTTCTTTGTTGTTTTGCCTTCCCCCTGCTTTTGGAATATTTTTCTGTTTTCTGTTCTCTCTTCCCTTTTTTTCGCTTGTGCTGGCACTGTTTGCTACTTTTTTGCTTATCTTATGTGAATTTTTATTCTCACCCACACACACTATAGAACACTAGCGGTCAGCTGTTTTGTGTTTACCGTTTGTTTGTACCTCTGCAGGGCCGGCTTTAAGTTAGGTCGGGCACCAATGTTTAGGGGCCGCCAAATTCCAAAATGATTTACTATTAAGGTGTTCAATCTTTAAGGCCGAATTCCTTCTTTGTCCCAGTTGAAAATTACCAAAACCGACTAAAATTATTATCAAAGGGTCTCATGTTCGACTCGGGCGTCATAACACCTAAGGCCGCCCCTGTCTTGCTGCTTGGGGTAGGAATATTTGACAAAGTATTAAAATATAAATAGCAACAAATGGTTGAGGATTTAACAATAGAGGAGGGAGGTGCAGATTTAGATGCTTCACCGGACCAGCGTCTATGGGGGGAATATTCCACAGAAAAACATTTTTTTGGTGCTCGCTCTGGCTGAACAGTCAAGGCTGAAATATTGTGCACACTTCAGTTTCATGCAAAAAAATAAGTTATATAGGCGAATAATGGAGCAAAGCTGAAGCCTAATCAACAGCAATACATTTTAGCGGATTATCAAATATTATCCCCCCACTAGCCAGTTATCAAAAGATAGTACATACTACTAAGGGGCGTACTGTGTAGCTGCAACCCGATTAACAGTCGAGGCCAAAATATTCTGCACAGAGTTCAAGACCAAATAAAAGACTCAATTTAAAATATAAATAAAGTACGCATATTTTATATAGTCGGAGATAATACATATGCAAAACAAATCGAGTACTAACATATTCAAGTATGTTTGTTGTTGTTCAATATTGGGTAGAATATTCATACATAATATTAACCTTAAATACCTTGGGGTTGTTAGATGAATGTTGCTTGTTTAATAGATAATTAATTAGTTTTAGTTGCTTTTTTGGGTTATTGGGATTATAATCACATACTTTTCTTGTATAAATAAATAATGGGTGTTGGGGGCAAGGGGGAATTTCAAAATGCTGAAAATGCCACACGAAAAAACAAAATAAATGTAACTTTGGTACAACTTACGCATTGTATAAATTCTAAAACATTTCCAGTTTTTTTTTCGGTTATTATAAACGGGCTAATTCTAGTTTACATTTTCCACTAAATAACAATTATATGTAGGTAATATATATTGTATTGTATTGTAATTTGTCTGGATCCATTCTCAACATTTGTGTCTAAGATCTCGTTTAAAATACCATCGCAAATACTAGGCTCCAAAAATACAGTAATTTCTTCATTGAACACACGGAAAACAAACGGCGAAAAATCGAAAAATATGCGAAAAAAATAGAGCCAAAAATCGAACTAAGAAAAGCAAAAAACAAAATGCCAAATATTATTTTGGAAACACTCAGTCTAAGGTCTCTTCGCTCGAAAAAATTCCACTCGCTGATAAGGATAGATTCGGGATAGGTCAGGTCCCGTCCCTGCCTCAGTTTTGTTTGTTTGTCTAGGAAAAAAGATTGTTGCGCCGCTTGAGCGACCCGAACTTCTTCTCAGCCTCCAGCAGCATTTTCTCATTGCGCACCACCTCGAAGGGTATGGTCTTGGACAGACGATCCATCTCCTGGTCGGAGGGAAAGTCCTCGAAGCTCATGTTGCTGAAGCCCGTTTTGGCCGAGCTCTGAATGGTGTTCGATTGGAAATTGCGGCTGGTAGCGGCTCGATTCTCGTCCTGATCCTCATCGTCATCGTCGTCGTGGGATTGATACTGAAGGCGTTGATGTTTCTGCTTGCTGCCGGAGCTCAGGGAACTGGTCGATCCCAGTGCCGCGGCGCTGACCTTCTTGTACGAGTGTCCCTTGACCTTTTGTGTGAGCTTGCCCGGCAGCACCCTCACAGCCAGATGGGACTTCTCCTTCTTGGGCTTGGCTGCAGCGATGGGAGCAGTGAGGTCGGCGATGTCTGCAACCATATCGGCGGCATCACGCAACACCACGGGCTCCTCCTCGTTATCGGGCGTAAAGTCGGAGCAGCGATCTTGAGAGATTTGCACATAGGCATTATCAGCGATGGGCAGCAATGGTCTTAGGTGTGGAACCGTCACCGAAGTCACCGAGACTGCAGCTGGTACAACAGGTGCGGCTATCGGTAAAACGGCGGCTGAGGCGTTTGCAGGAGGTGCTATGGACAGCACAGAGATGGACTGGGGCTGTGGCTGTGGCTGGGGCTGGGTATTGGTGCTGTAGGACGGCACATTCACATAGACACTGCTTGGTCCGCTCAATTTGTTCGTATGATTATTGTTGTGGTTAATCAACGGCTGTGCCGGCTCTGGGGTTTTATTGATAATGATCGAGTGATTTATGGTCACCAGTTGGGGCGCCGCACACACGGACACTGAAGCTGTTGCTGGTGCCGAAATTGTGGCTGTTGCCGGCCCGTTTGCGGGCACTTTGATGATATTATTATTATTATTGTTGTTGTGGTTGTTGTTCTGGTGGCTGGGAAATTGATGGAGCTGAAGCTGGATCTGGTGCTGGTTTTGGTGCTGGAGACCGGTAGCGGTAACGGGTTCTGTTCGATGGGTGCTGGTTGTGGTACATCAATACATTTACGAATTACCTGTGGGAATGGTTCCAAGCCAAAGAGATCACATTGATTGCTATCCTCGTCCTCGTGCTGCCGCTGCTGCTGCTGCTCCACAGCATTTAACTCCTGGAAGGGATTGAATACAGGCTCATTGAACTCATCCAATTGGGTCGTATCCCGTGAAGGCGTGGGCGTTAGTTGTGCCGGAAAGCTGGCAAAATTTGCCTGATTGCCCTCCCCTGCAGCGCCGTGACCCTTGACTGGCGTTGATGTCCACATTTCCGGCTCACTTGGCTTGGGTTTCGGCTTGGGCTTGGCCTTACGCTTGATGGGCACACCCACGGGCAGCTTGAACGGAGCCATGGCAAACACATCCAAGTCTTGGTCTTGCTGCTCCTGCTGCTGCTGCTGCTGTTTGAGAGATTCTGTGCTGCTCTTGCTCTCGCCAGAGCCATAGTCCAGTTCGTCGTCGAGGAGCAGCGGCCTATCACCGAACTTGTGCAACAGATCGCTGGACGTGGGACTGAGCTCCTCGGAGGCCACGCCAACAGCCGCGAGATCGCCACTGGCCGCCACCGTGCGATCCTTTTTCCGCAAGCGCACCTTGACCACCACACGACTCCGATCGTCCTCATGGGTCGTCACGCTCTCGCATTCGGCATGATAGGCCGAGCTGCTGCACGTCTTCACACTCTCGCTGATGCCATCCATTTCCATGGGCAGCGGGCGACGCAGCTTGGTCTGTGTCTGACGTGGATTCTCGTCGAACAGATCATCATCCTCGGCCCGCAGATCGCTGGCTGAACCAATTGAATCCCCATCAGAGTCTGCTTTGGCCTCGGCATCCCGGGCCTCCTGGGCCTGGGCAGCCACGGCAGCGGCCATAATGTTCAGCTGCTGGGCCGCCTGATGGGCAGCAGTCGTTGGCTTTTTGGTCGTCTGGCGCAGCTTCTTAACGATGGGCAGATTGGAGGTCTTGTCCACCTTGTGGTAGGCCACCTGCTGGATCTTGTGAATGGTCTCGGGTATGTTGCTCGTCACCAGCTGCATCTGCTTAAAGATGGCCGCCTTCTTGGCGCTGCCTCCACCGCCGCCGCCGCCCTCGTCGCTGTCCTGCTGAAAGAACTCCGTTCCAGAGTCGGAGTCATCGGAAGTGGGCTGATCATTGCTCCTCAGCTTCTCGTACTTGTTGCGATCCTCCAGCGGCAGCTTAACAAAACTGGTAGAGCCATCACCACCGCTCGCCAGTAGTCCGCATTCCGAGTCTGTCTTCAGTTTGCTGATCAGCGATGTCTTCTCCTCGCTGGACATCTCGAGGGTGGGCGACAGCAGCCACTTGGACGAGGCATTGGCACCGCCAGTCAGACTGCTGGACGAGACTCCGCCTCCACCGCCGCCTCCGCCCGAGGAGCAGCTGATGAATTTCGCTGTGGATGAGAGTGAAGGACTTTTATGCAGTAAGGTAATGAGATTACGGATTTCTGGTTTTTTTTCTGTGTATGTTTCTGGGATTTACGATTGTTCTGCTCTACAATTAATTAGTATATGGACGGTTGGTTAACAGCTGCATGATCGTGTGTGCATGAGAGCGTTTATGTGCGTCTGATCCCCAAGAGATAATTAGTTATTGTGTGGAGTGTCAATGATGATCGATCTATATACTACATTTGTTGAATGAAAAAGCGGAAGATTCGATGTAGATCCCAGGTTGAAGTGGAGTTTAATGCTTGGAAATGTGGAACAAAGAGATGTACACATCATTCGATCTCAGTTTCCACTAAAAGATCAGACAATGAATGTGGGGCCTATGCATATAATTGCTTAATCATTAATTGACCCATTGATTAAATTAGTTTAAGGTGCGATTTCTCAATCTGGAGGATTCAAAAAATGCAGGATACGCGGATAAATTTCCCGCGTCATGCACACGACATGCATGTTGGTGTTGCTTTTTTTTGTTACACTTTTGCAGCATTCGCTTGTGCATATCGAGTCTAGATATTTAGATATATTTAAGTATTGAGAAATCGTCCCTAAGTTACAGTTTGTTTTTGTAAATTGGAGGTTTTTGGTTTTTTCAAAACATAATATAGGATTTATTGCAATTTTTGCTTTAATTATTTTTGGTTTGGTTTAATTCTCATACGAGATACAATTTGCAGCTGTTTTGCCAAAAAAACTTAAGCTCTAATCTGCACTGCCTCAACTTTTTGGTATATAAATATATAGTGCGTGTATGTATCTCTTCTGTATATAATATATATGTATGTATATTCTGTATTTGTTTTTCCCATCTGATCGTTTGCTTGTTTGTGTCTTGGTTACCTGACCGTTTCGTTTGAAGGATTCTTCCTATATATTTTGTAGGCTTTTACTCTTTCTTTGGATTAACTTTATATACAGTTAAGTATTAACAGGAGGTTGTTGTTACGTCTAACAATTGTTGAACATTTTCAATTTCTTGTGTGTTTGTTTGTGTGTCTGGCTGACTGTGTGTAATGGGTAGCGGGCGGGTATGAATCTATCTATATTGTCTTCGGATGATTATTACACAATTAAAGGAGAATTTTGTTTACTCTTATTTATTTGATTGCTGCCACATCCACAGAGAACGCAGCTTGACGCGAACTTTAGTAAGGAAATCGAAATTAAAATAAAGAATAAAGATGAAAAATTTGAGCAAAAAAATGGATTGTAAATTTCCTAATAATCTCTCGAATTGCATATTTTAACTAGAGTATAGCGTATGTATATATTTTTAGATCTTTAGAATTGCACGTTATTCAATTTTGATATGGCCAAAAAATATACGATATTCGGATTGCTTTTCTTTTTCTTCAACAAACAACATGAATAAATATTATTTTGATTTCTTAATTAGCTAACAAATTTACACAAATATTACACACACAGAGGAATAGAAATAGTTATAATCATAGAAATACATTTACATAATTGAAAATTTTACTGCTCTTTTTGTTTGTTTTGGTTAATTCCACAACCGCTAATTGTTTAATGTTAATGACTAAATTTAAATAGAGACTAAGTATATAGATTGATTGGTTTCATTCTAGCATATATATATATATGTATATGTATATTGTATGTTGTACCAGCACCAAATATTACTTTGTTAGAAGCGCTTACGATTTGAGAAGAGAGTTAAGGAGCATTTTTTTTATTGCCTAGATTTCCATATGTTTCCATCACAGAAGCACATGTAAATCGAGCTCTAAAGACAAGCCAAAGTTTACATAGAGTTTTGTCAGGTTATTGTTTGGTTAGTGGGTGCATTTTGGGATATTTACAAATTGTTTGTTTGATTGCACTTAAGTTTAAGTCTAAGGAGAGCAGAGCGTACTGCGGCGGGGCTGCGTCTCTACACGTCTCTGGTCTGGGGTCATGGTTCTATCCATCTATGGCACACTAAATCTCTCTTTTTCTCTCTGTCGTTTGATCATCGAGCAGTCGGAATAATCTAAAGCTGGTAGGGCTCTCTCTCGCTCTCCCTCTACTGGATGCTGTGCGTAAGCTGGCTCATTCTTTATGTTGTCGTTTTATAGTTGGGAAGAGTAGGAGGAGTAGGAGTTGCCTTTGGGGGGCTGCTCTCCATTCTGCTGTGTAGTTCGGATGGCTTACTAGGAAGGTATTTAGACTACGTCTACGTCTACGTTCAAATCTTCACCACTTTCTTCATCATCATCTTCACCACTTTCTGCATCGAGATTGAGAGCGAACAAAAGCAACAATCGGAAAACTAAACGTATTTCTGGCATTTTTTGTTTGTTTTGCAAAAAACGATTTAAGGTGGACAGAATTTCATGCTTTACCTCCGGTTTTGCGCAGCGAACTGGTGGCCTTCTCGCGCAGTCCGGGTGGCAAGCTGAATGGCGCCGAACCAAACGGATCCTCGGATACCTGTGGCGGATGTGGCGAAACAGAAGTAGCCGTGACTGTAGCTGCAGCTGTGGCCGGGGCAGGCACAACCGTTGCACTCTGCTCAGTGGGCGTCAGTGTGGATGTTGTGGATGCCGATTTGGCTGTTATGCCTGCAAACAAAAAATTATCTTGTAAATCGAATCTTTATATAGAAGTTTCCATCTACTTACTGCCTTGGCTGCCACGCTGACGTATCTTGTCGAATTCAGCCTCGAATATATGATCTTCGGTCATCTGACTAAACGGCTGCTCTTCCTCAAACGGATTCCAGGCCTCCACACGCTTATCCATTGACTGACGTGACAATTCGCTGATCGATATCGAGGCAGACGAGGCAAATATACCCGGATTGGAGGTGGCACTTGCCAATGTGGTCTGTGGTCCATCGCCCATGCTGACCAGATTGTTGTTGAATGGGGCCAAAAACTGGCTTGTCTCATTGGCAAACGTTCTGCAGCGCAACGAAAATAAATGAATGATTCGAATGATCAGGCGGAGATGACATCGATATGACACAGAAAGGAGAAAGCAAACGCAAAAGCATTGTAAAATGTAAACATAAAAGAGAGACAAAAATCTTAAGGCTACAAAACATCTATTGACTTTGCGGATCATCGGCATCGTCCCGGTCATTTGTAGCTCTTAAGCAATGGACACACACACATAAACAACACACAGGAAAAGAGACAAGCAGAAAGAGTGAGAGCAAGAGAAGAGCAGAACACAGAACACATAGAGATCGTGCGCGAGAACTGGGAGGGATGGGAATCGCGTCCCTACTTACTTATTGAATGCTGATGTATCGCTAACATTGCGCCGATGTCCCCCAACGCCGCTGGGCTTGGGCGGCGTTAGCATAAGCTTTGTGGGTGTGCCGCCAGAGACAACCAGAGACTCTTGAACAGCCGCCGCCACCACCTGAACCTCCTCCTGTTTGGGTGGCTCCTCGGGGGCTGGAACAGTGGCTGCTGATGCTGCTGTTACTGCAGTCGCTGCTGCTGCTGTGGCCTGCGCTGGTTCATTAAATGGATCCGGATAGCCAGACGACTCGAATAGATTGTTGGTTGCTCCAGCTGCTGCCACAACAGTTTCAGCCGGTGCCACAGCTGCAGGAGGAGCAGGAGGAGGAGGAACTGCTGCGCACGGCATGACTGGGAAATTTGCCTGAAACTGTTCCACAACAGGCTGGTTCTGGGGCTGCGGTGAAGTGATGTTCAGACGTGGCGAGGGACTGGGCGGCAGACCGAGACCCAAGGCATTCCCGCCATGCACGGAACTGGAGCCCTTGGGCCTGGAGCGCGGAGCCACGCTTGTGCCTGCCTCTATAATCGACACATTCTGTGATTTGGCTGCCTTGGATGCGGCAGCAATGATCCGCTTTGCCTCCGATTCGAAAGGCGGCACCAGCAGCTGGTCAAAATTTGGAATGGGTGTTTTCTGGAATACGAGATTCGAGTGGGCATTAATCGTGGGAAAAGCTACGAATAGCTGGGCGTAATCTTACATGCAAATTCTGCACTGGATTGTCCTTGCCGGCGAGTCGAAATGCCACCTCGCACACCTGCCAAATGTTCGGGCGATGCTCCAGATCCGTGTCCAGCATATATTTGATCAACTGATGCATGCCCTTCGAGTACTTGGAGCTGTCCGGTATGGCAAACTGTCCATTCTGTATGGCCAGTGTGCTCTCCCCAAAGGGCAGGGAGAAGAAACACAGCTTGTACAGCATGCAGCCCAGTGCCCAAATGTCGGCTTTTGTGGTGATGCTCTTGCCGCTGTACAGATCGATCATTTCGGGCGCCCGATAGGAGAGTGTGGTGTACTTTTGGATCTCCTCCTCGACCACAGTGACGCCGTGCTGCTGGGGATTCAACGTTTTGGCTGTGGCCGAGCCAAAGTCACAGAGCACAAAATTGCCCGCATCCGTTTGCAGAATGTTCTCCACTTTAAGGTCGCGATGTATAATGGGCGTCTGGCAGTAGTGCAAACGGGAAACAGCCTCGGCAATATCACAGAAGATGTTTAGCACCTCGGGCTCGGTGAAGCCAATGTGTAATCTATAAAGTAAGTAATATATTTTTAAATACAGTGAAAAGGTAAATCTTTAACGTGTGTGTTTGTTACCTTGCATTCATCATGGCCAGCATGTGATGCTTACAGTATGGCATCAGGAGCAGCACCTCGCACACACCGTTCCCAGTGGGCGTAATGCTCGAGTCGACATAACCAATAATGTTCTTGTGGCCACTGAGATTGCTCTGTCAATGGATGGATGGTGGTAGCACAGGAATCAATAATGCACTTATGGGGCAAACAATGAAATTGATTTACTTTTCGTTATTTACTTACAGCAATCTGTATCTCCCGCTTGGCCACATTCAGATCGTGCTCATTGTTCACGTACATGCGCTTCAGGGCGTACTTTCCAGAGGAGGAGCCGGAGCCAACATTGCCTCGTGCCAGAAAGACCATGGCAAAGCCACCTGCGTGAGTAGGATGAAGACAGCAAGGAGGACAGCATTAGTAGGGGGGTAAGAGTTGGGTAGACTGACAGACTAGACGACTAGAGCAGCTGTCAACTGTAAACGGTAAACAACAAATAAGAGCGAATGGGTGAGCAGAGTCGACGCTTTGAATACCCTAATAGGATCTTTTAATAGTTTTTCGAACAGCTGTTAATGTATGTTTAATGTACCTATTGAAATCAATTAAATAATTTTTTTTGGAGAATATTTCATATTGGAATCCAACTTCGCTTTTTTTTTAACCCAAAACGGCACCCGGAAGGCAACTCACCGTTCTCAAATATCACTCTCTTACAGGGTATCATATCGTAAAGCAACGGTGGAAGTTACTGTCGCCATCTCTCTTCCACCAACTATGTTCGACCATGGAACGATTTACACATGTTCTGCCTAACAAGCGATTTGCATGAATTTTATTTCATTTTATTGCAAATAGAATTCAAGTAGTTTTCCCTTCCTCCCTGCTGAACCACACACCTTCCGCTCCCCTGCAGCACAGTCACTTCAACTGTGCTCTACTACACGATAAAAAAAAGCAACGCAATAAAAACTATAAACTATTGAAGGTCACGTACAAAAATAACAACAATAGTAACAACATGCAACACAATAACAATATCAGCATGGCACCAACCCACGGGGTGCGACAGTGGCAGATGGACAGACACCCATAGAGAGAGACAGAGAGAGAGAGAGAGAGAGAATAACGGGGCACACACACCGTATGTAACCGTTTGCTCGACTTTTTTTTTTGCACCGACTTTTTAGTTGGTATTTGTGAAATTTTGTGGCGTCAAATGTTAATCAATGCTGAAGGTTGGCTGCCCCGCGCCACAGCAACAAATCAACAGAAATAATAATAGTAATAAAAGCAGTAGCAATAATAATGCACAATTGTAGCATATCTACGAAAAAAACTTGAGAAGGCAATTCGAGACGCCCAGCTAGGGAGAGAGCGAGCAACCCGACCAGTTCGCCGAAAGCATTGCACAGTATGTGGAGACAGGGGAAAGTGGGGGGCAGGTAGAGGGAACCGTAACCGTCTGTCGCTTAGTCATTTGCATTTGCCAGAGTACAGTATAAGATGGCAGGTAAAAACGAAAAAACGGTGTTTTACCGACTATAAGATACCCAGCCAGCATGACAGAAGAGATTCCCCGTTCAGCTTAATTAAGCTCTGCTTAAAATTGCAAATCCTACACACTGTTACTTAGTACCATAACTGATCAGCCTGCCCCCATTTAGTAAGTGTAGGGTATCCAAGCAGCTGACTGTCGTCTGACAGCGGCGCCAGCGCAACGCAATAACAACATTACCAATCGCTTGCCAAAATCGCACAAAAAATCGAATGTGCGCAAGTAAAAAGCAGGAAAAAGTTTTCTATGACCAATCCCCCGAATGATCAATGGTGTGGAGTAGCGTTTGCCAAGTCATTCAAAGACCGACCGAGCCACTTGCAGTGCAGGATATTAATCACTTCAGAATTCAAGGACAAGCGCAAAGTGGATGGATAGTCGGCGATTCCCAGGCGATTTTTCCTTGAGCGAACTTTGACATTTCACTGCTGCTGCTGCTGCTGCTCCAAAAGGTGACACAGCAGCAGAGACAGGCACAGGGACAGTGGCAGTGGAAGTTAAGTGTTGGTCTTGCCGCTTCATTGGCTAAATTAACATAATTGATTCAATTGATTTGTGTCCATGTGTGTGCTCTCTATGTTGTTCTATTCCATGGAAAACCTAACCTGAACCGGGTAGGCCGAGCAACTAACTCTTTTGTTTCCTGGCGAAATTGGAAATGCACTCCGACAAGTGGCGCCGCGTAACTAATTAGGGGGGTACGATACGATACGCAGCTGTTTCTCTGTACTATGTGTACGCCCCACATTTTGGAGACAGTCGAGATACGTATGTATATTTGTATTTGTACTTTATCTAATCTGTAGCATGAGATACTGAGAGAATGGATCCACTGCCTGCCTCTGACCCCACCTGTAAATCAAACTTGTGAAAACCATAATCAGACTGCTACGTGGGTTACGATAAGACCATGCACATACTCCTTCGTGGGGGCGGGTCGGGGGTAGGAGAATGAGACTGCGACTCACCTTCGGCCAGGACATCCTCGACAGTGACCGTGACACGTCCCACTGTAAAAACCTTGCCCACAAAGCTATTCGTCTCCTTTGATGAGGAGGAGCTGGTGTTGTGCGAATTTTCCAGTCTCGAGTTTTCATTGCGCTCGAATTTCGACAGGATTTTCTTCATTTTCTCCTATTTTTTTTTTTGCGAGATTTGTTTACTGCACAGCGGCAGCGACGTCGACTGCAGCAGCTCACACACACACTCGCATGCACACTCACACAAAATCACACTTTTTAATTGCGTTCGCGTAGGTGTTCCCGTTTCTTTTCCTATTTTTTTTGGCAATTATCGGATGGCGTGTAGAGGCGCGCTACGTCACAGCCGCAAGCCAATTAATTAACGTTTGAGTCGTACTGGTGTTTCTAATTAATTTATTTGCGCACTCTATATTTTTTGCATTCACACACACAGCAGAGGAAAAAGAAAGTTGTTCTAGGGATGTGTTGGATAAATATTGATCAATATATCGATAGATATATTTGGAGGTGATATTTTTCATATATAATTTGGATGTTCAAAGGAACACTTTTCTGAATTTATGGAAAATATACCTATTTTTGTTGTTTTTATATGTTTTAAAATACATGTACCAGGGACAGAAGCAATATTGTGAAACGTATTATGATTAAATACAGGGCTGCATTGTGCAGTCGATAGTAGACATCGATACACTGTCGATACATATGATGTCGATAACATGGTTCAATTAAATTAAAATTGAGATTATTATAATGGTAAATACGGCAAAATACTTTGCCCTGCTGGAGAGTTTAAGGTTCGAACAGGCTCTAGGTAAGTACTAGTGCTTAGTTGTAAATAATTCAATTAATTGGTGTTTCTTTTACAGCAAATAAGACACACGAGAGTCAGTTGGGTGCCGGTTCCACGATTGCACAGAATTTGAACATTTTGGAGAAATATGCCAAACAAAAGGTTAACCAAGAGCTGCATGAGTTATGTACATTATTCCAGCTGACAGCCGAAGAGGAGGCGACCATAGATTGTTCAGATCCCGCCATATGCTACATTATCCGCCTTCAGCATGCGCTCCAAATGCTCTTTTCGAACATTAACTTTGATAGCGATGCCAAGGAAGACCTTATCTCGGTGGCACATCTTAAGCTGTGCATTCAAGCCACCCAGGAGCTGTCATACTATGCACTCCGCTGCCAGCTGCACGAGGATTTCCTTAAATCACCCATTTTCCAAGAGGCACAAGGAAAAGTCAAGTGTAATCCCTTGCTGCTGCTTCTCAGCGTTCAGTTCTATGTCCGATTGCTGCCCATACGTCAATTCCACATAGCCAATTCCATGGAGCTGGTGCAGCGGGATCTGCTGGCGGCCACTATGAGTCTGCGCAGCCAAATGGATCATCCGCAGCTGGAGGCAATCCTTGGCTATCTCTGGCGGCATGAATCCAAATCGGATTTCTTTCGACATGTGCTCCTCCTGAAGGCCACTCCACTGTGCGCACCTTTGGCCAAGACACTACACCAGCAGCTGCTGGGAAAGCTAAACTCAACGCAGGGCTATGCCAGCTTTGTGGATGCGCTGCAGCAGACACCGAATGTGAGTGCCACGAGAAATGCAGAGATCGTTGCGGGTATCGTGGCCAGGAAAGGCTTCACACAAACAGCTCAGCATGCTATGATACTTCAGGTTCTGGAGTTTTGTAGTGGCTCTCTCAAGGATGCCAACAGAATGTGTGTGGGTGTCCTGTCCCTGCGCAGGCTCTACGAGTTGGGTTCACATAATCAGCAGAAGATTGAGGCGATTCTGTCCTCCCATTGGCAGCTGCTCAGCGACCCCGAAGATTTGATAAGTGGCCTGATCCTGATGGACCACGAGGAGCTGTGCAATCGCATCCTACTCTGGCAACATCTATTCTGCAGCTCTAGCGTGGCCTGTCTGCCGAGTAGCCTGCTCCTACGATATCTACCACTGCTGCTGCAGCTGTACGATGGGCTGCCCAGGGAACTGCCTGCCAAGAAGCAGTTGGCTGTGATCATATCCCGCTGTCTGGACAATCTGGAGCGGGAAAAGGAGCTGCCAGCGGTCGTGCAACGTCTGTTCAAGTGGGAGCTCGAAGAGGAACCCATCTGGCAGTGCCTACACCAACGCATATTGATCTTGCCCTCCACAGAAACGGATCGGATACAGGTAAAAGTGGCACCTGCGGATCACCAGCTGGACCACGACATGGGCCGGGTGCTGCCCAGTCTATTGATGTCCAGTTCGCATCATGCCCTAACCTGCAACGTGTTCCTGGCACTTTTGGGCTTCATGATTCGTCAGTTGCAGGAGAAATCCCCAAGAGGCGTGGATTTTCTGTCCACGGAAACGGAACTCGTGCACTTCCTGCAGCACAAATATCAGTTAAAGCTGAATCTACTGATAGCCCTCAATCAATTGGTGTCCCATCAGCCGCTGCGCGCACAGCTGTCGATGCACACCAAAGAATTCCTGCAGCTGCTTAAGGACTTACTGCAGCAGCGATTGGCAGCAGAGGAGGAGGCCACTGACCAGACCCTACTGCTTATACTCAGCCTTTTGCAGGAGCTGCTGGAACGCAGTGAGGACCTGCAGCTAACCGAAAGCACAAGAGAACTGCAGGCGCAACTCCGACAGCTGGGATCGCTGTCAACCAACCGCTTGATCCAGCAATCCGTTCAATCTCTGCTCAACATATTGCAAGGCGAGTGGCGGCCCAGTGAAGCTCTTAAGCTGCAGCCATTTCAGAAAGCGCGCTCCCTCATCGAGGAAAAGGAGTCCCATCTGCAGGTTTATGGCATCCAAATGTTGTTGGACCTACTGCAGCGCAAGGATCCGGCAACGATGGCTCAGGGTCATGTAATCATAGCGCTGGCCCTCAGTACGCTCAAGGATAAGGAGTCCTATACGTTCCTCAATTGTGTGCGTCTCTTTGTGGCTTTGGTTCATGTGATGGAAGCGGAAGTGCTGGACAAATTGAGTGACGAGTATCTGTCGGAGACAGCCGATCTGGACTATCGTCTGGTTGTGGGCGAGGCTATTCTCAAGGCCGCCCAGGAGCTGGGTAAGTGCTGGGCCTGCCATTTTTTATGGGCAGATTTTGTAAAGATTTTATTTTATAGGTCCCCTATGCTATCGGTACAAGGCTGTGCTGCTCAATTGCTTCATGCATGGCTCGCGTTCGCCTCTCCACGAGTTTCGCATGTCCGCCTTTGCCAATCTCGCGCAGCTGTGCCGCCTGCTGGCCTATCAGGTGCAGAACTTTTTCCAGGAGCTGCTGGATCTCATCAACAGCGAACTGAGTGCCACGGGAGGATATTTGCCCGCTAAGCGAGCGGCTGTCTTTGTTTTGGCTGAACTCTTGAATGGCATGGATAACCTCTTGGATTACCAGGAAATGCTGCTACCCATTTATCGGCTGCTGCGAGCCATTGAAGCGGAGGACTCCTGTGACCCAGCCATGCGTCAGCATGCAGCCAATGGTCTAAAGATCTTAAATGACAAGTGTCGGCAGCTCATAAAGAACTGCCTAGAGGCGAGGGAACTGCACAAGGATATAAAGGTAATGGGCATTAAGGATAAGCCACCTGCCAGGAGAAAGCCTCACATTTTGGAACTGAATTGAAAGATTTTATAAAATAAAATAACTTTTAAATGCAAAATCAATGCTTAGGATCAAATTAACAAACATATTTCACGTCAGTATGGGAATCTTCAGCCCTCACTTGCCAATGGAAAATTCCCCCTCAATCTTATCGGCAATCATTTTGGCAATGGCCAAACTGCTGGTGGCACCCGGCGATGGTGCATTACGGCAATGGAGGACACGCTTGGCCAAAGCACCTGAACCAACGCCACGATCAAAGACAAAATCATCGACCAGATTACCCTCCAGATCCATGGCCTGGGCACGCACACCCGCCGGACCACGTTGGATGTCGTATTCGGTGATGTCGGGTATGTACTTCTGCAGGGCCTTGATCTGCAGATTGATGAACGCCGACTTGGACATTTCGCTCACGCCAAAGCCAATGTATTTGCTGGCCATCTTCAGGAAGCCGGGATAGCGCAGGGCATCAAAGAGCTCAAAGAGATTGATGTCGCCCCAGCTATAAGCAAAAAAGGAATCAGAATCAGCACAAGTTCATTAAATGAAGCAGACTGCCCACTCACGTGTAACCCTCCCGCTTGAGGGCCAGCACAGCGTTGGGTCCCAGCCAAATGGATCCATCCATGCGCGGCGTAAAGTGCACGCCCAGGAAGGGGAATCGTGGATCTGGCACCGGGTAGATGTTGCCCTTCACCATGTGCTGTTTCTCCTTGGACAGCAACAAGTATTCACCGCGGAAGGGCACAATGCGCGGATCCTTGGGACAGCCCGTCTTCTCGGCCAGCAAATCGGACTGCAGGCCACCGCAGGTGAGGACATTCTTGGTGCGTACCAACTGACCCGGCTTCGAGCCATGAATGGTCACTGGATAGTCGGCGCTGCCCTCCTTCGTTTCGCTGAACTTTGTGACATTGTAGTCCAGATAAATGCGACCCCCAGCATGCTTAAAGTCCTCGCCATAGTGCTCCGTGACCAAAGCCCAGTCCACAATGCCAGTGTGTGGACTGTGAAGAGCTTTAATGCCTTTGCAGAAGGGCTCAATCTCACGGATGGCATCCCCTTCGATCATCTTGAGATCGGGCACTTTGTTGGCAATGCCACGCTGCTGCAGATCCTCCAGCAGCTTGACCTCCTTCTCATCGGTGGCCACAATCAGTTTGCCGCATTTCTTGTACGGAATCTTGCGCTCATCCAGATATTTGTATGCCAAATTCAGTCCCTCCACGCAGAGGCGGGCCTTCAGAGTGCCTGGCTTGTAGTAGATGCCGGCATGGATGACTCCCGAATTGTGTCCACTCTGATGGAATGCCAGTTTGGGCTCCTTCTCCAGAATGGCCACCTTCAGCGTGGGATGCCGCAGTAGAATCTCTCGGGCAGAAGCCGCACCCACAATACCGCCGCCGACCACAACCAGATCGTAATCTCTATTGGGTGGGGTGGGAGAGGGCAGCATTATTACCTCACACGCGCCATCGAAATGGAACTTATCTATGAATTTCTTACCCAGCGTTGGACGAGGAGCTTTGCCACCGTTTGTGCGCTGCGGTGGCTGTCGTTGCACCACCGGCATTGGCCAAGCCACGTCCGAACAGTGGACCACCCACTTGTAACAGTTGTCGCACCTGTGCCATTATTCGTCCGTTCACTTTGTACGTTTTTCTATGTCAAAGACCTTGTCTGACCTTGCCCAAAAGTGTATGTACTAACCGCCACCGCACGAGCAGAGAGACTAAAGCAGCAGCAACCAGTGGAAGAATTTCGTGGGGCGAGAACAAATATGCTTATGGGGGCCGCAGCCTAGACGATATACACGGGGAATCGTCATAAAGCGTTAATTGATAAGTGTTCTTGGGAGAGAAATGGGTGGGTTGGGTGGCGGGGGTAACATCTGCTCATATCAGCTGTTCCTACCCTTGCAGATAGTACTATAATTTTGAGGAAATGTTTGCAATGCAGAGCGTAACGGATCTTTGAAACTGTTTAGCATAGGGGGTCGATGTTTTCTTGCATTCTTGTCATTCATGTCTCAGTTTTCGAAAAAAAAACTTTGTTGTTTCTGAAGGCATTTCAACAAAACTCAAGAAGATGTATTTTCATGAATTTATTTATATCTAAGTAAAATTATTACAAAATCGGACACTAATTATTTTGATTCCATAGCAACGATCAATCAGAAAGGGTATATAAGTGTCGGCACTCTATTGGTCCACTTGGTATTGTATGGGCATCCGTCGCTTTACAACACTAACCACACGAATGTCAAAACTAAAACAGCTGTTGAACGGAATTTTTTGCATTAATTTTAATAAACAAAACAAATTGTTAAACTATTGCGAATTGGAGCTTATAGTCTGCTAGTGGCCTTACCGAGACATGCCCGCCTATTGCGCGGTGGTCAATTGCAACGATAAATATGCGCACGCCAGCAGTATTTCATTCCACAAGTGGGTTGCTCCCCAGTAAAAAATTGTAAAGCAACTTTTGACCATTTTTATCTTCTAGATTCCCCTTCAAGCGAAAGGATTTGTTCCAAAAGTGGAAGGAATTTACGCAACGTAGTGCCCAATGGATGCCATCCAGGTGGAGTGCTGTGTGCAGTCGCCATTTCGTGGATACGGATTTCAGTTGCAGCCATAACCGGAAAACACTTAAAAAGAATGCAGTGCCTTCAGTGCGTTTGCCGGACTCGGGATCATTGAATGTGGTTGTGGAGCAGGTGACCAACAGTCGATGGCAGGAGTCTGCCTGCAAGCAGACGCTGTCCAGCGCGGCCGAGGCTCCAGCCAGTGGAACAAAGGGCACCTGTCGCTTCTGCGGTTCGTCTGCCATGGATTGTATCTCGTTTGACAACAGTTTCGAGCTCTTTGGCATGATTCAGAAGTGCTTTCCCACACTCCAAATCCTGCAGGATGATACCCTGCCCAAGGATATTTGCTCGGAGTGCTACAAGCAGCTGGAGCGCTTCTCCCAATTCATCGATGTGGTGTTGCAGACACAAAGCGAACTGCAGCGGAAATACCGCCGTCAGCTGAAGATTAAGCAGGAGCCACTGGTGCGTGTGAAGCAGGAGGCCTGCGAGAGCCTGGACAATCTCTTTCCCGATGAACTGGACATGGCCTTGGACGATGGATGCGACCATGAGCCCGGCACCAACGATGAGACGGAACAGAAGTTCCAATTCTGCGATTTTCCCATGCTGAATGCCCAGGACATAATAAACAACTGTGATATCATGGAGATAATTAATCTAGATGATCCGTTTATCAACATACCAGACGATGCGGATGTGGGCCAGTCCCAGGCGAAGCAGTCGCGCACCTCCGGGGATCTGCCGTCGGCCAATGAGATGCTCCAATCGGAGCTGCTCAACGAAGAGCACAATTATGCCAAGGAGGACTGGGTGCTGCCGCCGCATCAGTACAAAACGGAGAAGGTGGAAGGTGTCGAGGCGGCTGAACAGCCTCCACCGCTGTTGCTGCCACCGCCGCCGCCGCCCGCGCCCACATCTGCTCCAGAGCCTCGTTCCTGCAAGCCCATTGTGACGAATGTCAGTCAGATACCCAACCAAATGCTGTGCGAACTGCTGCCGCCGCCACCGGCTGCACCGCCCAAGCCCAACATTGTGGTGCTCAACGACAGCGTGGTGCAGTCCTCGGCCGCCTTTCGGCTGCACAACTGCAGCCTCTGCACGGCCAAGTTCATTACGGTGGATGGTCTAAGTCAGCATTACACGCACGCCCACAGCACACCCACACCGATGGTGAGTGTGCCACCCTTGAACATCAGCCTGCCCAGCATGCCAACGAATCAGCTCAAACTGGAGGCCAGCGGCTGCTCTGTGGGCCTGACGGCCACACCACAGAATGAGTACTGGCAACCAGACTGGCAGAACACCGCCGCGGCAGCCAGTCCGCTGCCCACTCAGCTGCCGGCCAAGAAAAAGATCGACATACTGGACATGCAGCGCAGTTTTCTGCATCACAACGATCTCATACCGACAGCAGCACAGCTGACAACGGCGGCGCCAGTGGCGGTGCATCTTGCCACAGACCCTCAACTGGCGGTGGTCACGGCCAATCTGGCCAAGTTGGCCTTCCAGTATCGTCGTCTGCAGCGAAAGTGCAGGATACTGAAGCATACGACGCAACGCAACCCGAACCGACATCGCTGTGGCCAGTGCGGAAGAGGATTTGGCAGCCTGCAGCGACTGCTACTGCATCGGCAACTGAAGCGTCACTTTCCCAAGCTGAATCGTCCCTTTGCCGCCAGATGCTGCGGCTGTCTGAAGCTGTTCAACTCGCGTCTGGGTCTGCACCAGCATATGCGCTACATTTGTCAGTCCCTGTCGCTGCGAAGCACGCGGCGTCTGCAGAGTTTCAAGTGCCGTCACTGCCAGGCCATTACCTTCACTCATTGGCGACTCTATCGTCGGCACGAGCTCAAGTGCCGACCACGCCAGTCCCCGTCCAAGGCAAAGGTTCAGACAAAGTCGCGGCGAGCCGTTGTCGCCCAATCGCAAATGCAAACGGCAACTGTGACCACCACCTACGCCTGCAGCGTGTGCAAGAAGTCATTCGGATCGCTCAGTGGCCTGAGACAGCATGACATCACCCACACGACGGAGCGACAGCACAAGTGTGGCATCTGTGAGCGTGTCTTTAAGCGACGCAACGGCCTTTCGCAGCACATCAAGGGCTACCACCTACAGCTCAAGCCACACGAGTGTCCAGTGTGTAGGCACTGCTATGCCCTCAAGTGCGATATGCTGAGATGCAGACACTCCCAGCATCGCGGTGGGGCAGGAGAGTGAGCCAGAAACGAGAAGGAAAATTTGCTTCAGTTTGCTGTTGAAAGGTAGTGCGCTGTAATGGTTCTATATGTCAGCGCTGTGAGCTCCATGGAGCTCCAAGGGGTGCCTGCGCTTAGTGGCCTCAACCTCGAAGGCGATGAAGAGTTCTCATTGGCATGGAGCTCTTTGCCTTACGGGGGGGCACTTAGGTTAAAAAGATTTACGATATTGAAATCCCTTAAAAAACGACTAGTATTAATAGAAAATAAATAATAATAAGAGAATTAAATAGTTAAATCATATTATTTGTATTATATACATTTATTTATCAATTTATTCAGTTTGCGTTATAAGTTGTTGCGCTCACTAAAAGTATATTTTGTATTTTGTATTCATATTCATGTTTAATGCATTAGTATTGCTTTTAATTGCTTAATTTAAAATATGAAAATACTGAAATTTGAAACTTAAATTGCATAAATTCCGATTTGTAAACAAAAAAATTGAATATCCAACAAAGGGTTATTTTCATATATACAAAGAAGGTTGGAGAAAAGTTTGTTTATGGTTTGCTTAACAACATTAAATCTATTAGAATTCACATATTTTATTTAAACACAAAGAAATAAAAAAATGGCACTACAATTAAAAATTGCAATCAAAAAGAATAAAAAGTTAGTGAAAATACAAAAAAAAAAACTGAACATAAAACAAAGCAAAATTTCAAAGAACATAATAAAAAAAAAAACAGAGCGAAAAGAAACGAAAAAACTAAAACATTTTCCCCACTTAAATCAAAGTTTAACTTAAATTATAAGTATATAACTTAGGCATTTGGTATGGATCGTTTATCTATGTATGTAGTAGGTATATGTATGTTTTATGTATGTCGTATGTATGTATATATGGACGATTAATATGGGATATTGAATTACAGTAAGTAGTACTCGTATGTGATGTGCTTGATGCTTGAAAAATGCCTTCTCCTGGCTGCTCCCGGCTGCTCCTGCCTGCGTGCAGCTCCTCCTAAGATTAGTTCCACATTTTGTTTAACCTACGCCCAAAAAAGCATTACGCGCTAGACTACAAAAGGGGGGTGGTGAGGGAGGTAGGCTCTTTTTATTGGAAAATCGCCGCCCGCTGCTGGAACTGCTGCCGGCGCTGTAAACGCTCCTCCTCCTCGCGACGGCGATCCTCCTGCTCCTGCCGTATCTCATCATGGAACTTGTTCGTCCTCAGCTGCTGCTCGATCTTCGCCTCAAAGAAGTTCTTGGCACCACTGACGCCCACCTGATCCACATCGATTTCGGTGAGGCGAGCCAACTGATTCAGACCCGATTCGCTGTCCAGCTCGCCGGCCTGGGCCTTGCGATAAATCAGCAGAAACTCACGGAACGAGATCTTGCCATCGTTGTCCTCATCCACTTCGGCAATCATTTTCTTGAGCCCCAAATGGGTTTGCGGTGCACCCAGTTTCTCCATCATGAACTTGAGCTCATTTAGGTCCAAGAAACCATCGCGAGCCGTGTCATAGCTGCAAAAGGAACGAGCAGAACAAAAATGCAAATCAATTAGTCAATAAAGCATAAAGATAGAACGTTAGAAGGGAAATGTCATTGACCCACAGACACGCAACGAGACGAGAGACCCCTCAATGCTACTGTGGGGGTGTTGGGGCATAAGCAATCGATAATGCAAACGCGGCTGCAGCAGGCACAGGCGTCAGAGGTCAGAGTTGGCAACCCAATTTCAGGCTAAATTATCCAGCAATTTAAGCCTTGCATAAAGAGCAAAGAGAATAAAATTAACAAGGGGTTTCGTGACGCCCACAAAAGCGGTTCGTTGGAAAAAGAGCAAGGGAATCTTAAATAAGCGACAGTCCGCGTCTTGCGTATGTATGCAATAATTAGAATGAATTCTATTTAATTATTTAGTTAACAATTATATGCTAATTAAATCTGAAGATATTATCATTAAATTGGCTCTAAATTAATCAATTTTAGTTCCATAAAAACAGACCTTTGCTAAATAAATTGCAATTTAACAGCTGGAGTTGACAGAAAGCTGGCAGACGTAATTTAAACCAAGCAAAATAACAAACACCTCACACAATAACAACATTTTCAACAGCAACAATAGGAGCACACAAAAAGCATTGCCAATTGTCACATTGATGCAATCCGACAGTAGCTATTTGAGAAAACACAGAGAAAACGAGAGAGAGAGAGATGTTGAAGCCATGGGAGAGTGCTGCAATTGAAGTTAATTAGAGGCAGGCATGGTAAAGGGCAAACTATAATTATGGCATAGAAGCCTAAACCTCTAAGGGGCTATTGCTGAGCATAGTTTCATCTGCAGAAAGGTAAGGTGGGTAGGAAGGAAAATTAATCACATTAAGCACATTAATTAATCTTTGATTTGATTATTTTAGCCTGGTCCAAGTTCAAGAATACCTTGTTTCTTATTACAGTAAACAATACTGCAGTATCCTGCAATTTACAGTGCTTTATATAGATGGTCAAACTATATTCTATATTCTTTATTTATTTTTTTGCAGCGATCTGACAGTACAGAGTTTGCGGTCGAATCATCAATAAATTAACTCGATTTATGCTCTCTATCTACGAGTGGGGTATTATCGTTTACATTTCCCTTGGGGGGGTTCAATGCCCACACACTCAAAATTTGGCAAAGTCAAAAGTTCAAGCGTTTGCTTCCGTTTGACTTCCGACAGTAGTGTTCGTATGTGGGCAGGAAATTGTGGATAAAAATGTAAATAAAAACCCATTTACCCATCTAATTGTGTAATATATTAAAAGAGAAAACACCAGATCGCGTGAGCAGTCGAATCGAGTCGAGTCTTGTGGCAGATGAGTAAACCAGAGAGGGAATATCTATCAGGCAACAATGGTGGCGGAAACAAGTTAGTTGCACAGGCTTACTCGACCTTGCCGCCTTGCAGCAACTGAAGGATGTCGATGATGATGATGATGACAACAACTAGAAACGAGTCAAACTAGTTCGGGTACCTGCCGCTCTCTAGCTAAAAATACTACAAACTAAAACTAAAATGCAAGTGGCCCCCCCCCACACAAGGCCAGACCAGATCTCACAGCCTGGAAGGAAGCCCGGCTGGCTCTCCGCTCGCTCGTCTGGACAACACTTCACAGATGAACATTACACAAATCGTTAGGCAATAGAGATACTCGTACAACAGCAGCCAGTGCCACTTCCACTGTCAGTCAACTTTCAGTTTCGATTTCAATTAGAAGCGACGTAATGCCGGGTGCTCACAGAAGAGAAATAATTTGTAAAAAAAAAAAGAAAAAAGAAAGAGAAAAAAAAACTACTATTAATAAAGTTTCGCTTTCGTTCGGAAAGCTGGGGGGGATCTTCATAAATAATAAATAATTGTAAGAGTGCGAGTATCTGTATCGACAAATTGCGTGATTGTGCAAAGGCATTAAGGAGAGGCAAAGCAAAGAAAGATAGTGAAAGTAATTAAAAGAGTTGGTGGGTTGGTTGGATGGTTGGATGTGGATGGGGGAATCATCTCTCAAGCGTGATGATGGAAAGGTGTCACTCGTGTATTTTAAGCGCCGACAAAGATGGGCAATTAATTTGTGGCTGTCTGCCGCAGTGTTACGCCGTCTTTAATTAACTTCAATTGCACTCTCCCATGGCTCTTTCTCTCTTGTGTTGTGTATTTTCTGTTGGATTGCGTCAATGTGACAATTGGCAATGCTGTTTTGTGTGTGGTCCCATTGTTGCTGTTTTTGTTGTGTGAGAGGTGTTTGCTTTCATTTAAATTACGTCTTCCCGCCGCTTTCTGGCAATTCCAGCTGTTCAAATGCAATTAATTTAACGTAGATCTGTGTTTATTAAACTATAATTTATCTATTTAGCAGGGAGTATCTGTGGGTGTGTGGAACTGCACCACATCTCCCGCCCTGGCACCTGCTGTGGTCGATGTGTGGTAACACTTACACCCCCCTCCCAGCCAGTGGATCCCCATTTACCCTAATTTTTATCGATTGTTTTCATTCCAATGAATCGAATCGAAACTTCACACTTCCTCCAGCAAGTTATTTCTGGTTTGGGGGGTGTTGATGGGCCTAAACAAATCTTTATGCCTCATTGCATGTTGTGGCAGGGCATGCGATTTTCCTTTTCAATTTCAATTTTCCTTTATCTTTATAGTTATTTCGTGTACAGTTCAACAAATAACGGGGTCAGCCGGCCATTGTTAGTGTTGGTTTTCGTTCGTTCGTTCGTACATTGTTGTTTATGCATTGCCGCAATTTGCATCGTAAATTTTTATCTATGTTTCCATGTTTTTTTTTCTACATACGAGTACTCGCAAGTGTTCGAGTACTCGGCCGCCTTCTGGGGCTCTGCTGCTGCTGCTGCTGCCGCCACAAGTTGCAATTATCGAACATACAGCACATACGGAGTGCCTCGTACTCGCATAGGCTCTTCTTTATTAGCAACTTAATGCATCGCTATTGTCCGTGTCCAACAGTGAATGAAGTGTGCTTTAAGCTACAGGTTGTACTTCTCTAAAGGGAAGCTACTCTAAATTTCATACTACACCCTTATTTATTCCAAATTGAGTGCAAATTTCGAAGAAAAATTCTGGAACATTTGCAAATATTTTCCCCTGCAATCAAATTATTCAAATTGCTTTAATTTTGAACGGAAAATCTTGATTGATGTGCACCAAAAAACTATGCAAATTCAATTTTTATTTAAACCCGAAAGGTCATTCTTAATTGGTTGTATTTTTGCGTTACATTTAAAGGTACAAAAGTCAAGTGGAGCAAGTAGAGGATTGAAGGGAATAAAATTATCCAGAGTCTCCTAATAAATTTGGTTTAATTAAAACAAGAAAAGTTATTACAATAAACTATGGAATGGAAAGAAAATTGAGTCTCAAAAGTTTGTTTCGAAAACTGAAACTTTATAAATAATAATTTATAATTATAAATATATCATTGATGTTTTTTCTATAGCCAAAGAAATATTTTCGGATTTCATTAATGAATTTCCAGAGATTACAAAAAATATTATTCACGTGATACTACCCTTAGAGGATTAACACGATATTCCCACCTTATATTCCAATGCTAATTTCAGATAGACTTTCGTTTGTGCTACAGAAGCTTTACTGTAATTGGTTTGGTCTCGCTTTTTGCTCAAGCTTTTGATGTTCGAAGCAGGTTAATGCCAAAGGGAGAGCGGGAGGAAGTGAGTGAGGGACAGAGACACACACACACACGCACACACACATCACATGAATGGATAATCGCATACAAAACGATAATATTTGCCGCTTCTTTTGTTGTTGTTGTTGTTTTTGTTTGCAGTTAGAAAACGCGTCATGTTCTTGAACTTTATTGTAACGGTGCTTTATGGGTTTTGTAAGTCTTTGAAATGCACTGCACGAAAGGTTTCATCATATGCAGTGGAGGAAGGGAGGGGTCTTCCTCTTTAATCTATTGTATTATTGTAACCCCGATAGAAGGAGAAATACTCGTACTCGTACTCGTACTGGTGCTGGTGCTGGGTATGTATGAAAGCTGTGTGTATGATGCGATGTCTCTTGCATACCCAATTGCTTGTTTATTTCGCTCATCACGAACACAGACACGACTCGAGGTCTTTTTTGGATCGTTTCTCACTCATTTCGAAACCAAACATGCACCTGTGCACATGGCCTACACAAATATACAAAAATACAACGAGCATTGGTACACCTGTATCCACTCGTACTCGTACTCGTATATTTATGCTTGTAAAAGATGTAAAATTGTTAATCAATAGGAAAACATTGATTGTTTTTATTTTTTGGTTCTAGAGCTGGCAGATTGCGGGTATTTTTGGTAGGTCTTTAACGAGCTCCAAAATTTACAATCTTTTATAATTTTTGTAGATCAATGTACATTTTGTTCCGGGGAGTAGGATTAAGAGAAAGATCTGTTTAGTCTTTAAATGAAGTAATGCACTTTGGTGCGTCTCATTTCACTACATTGAAGATAAATCAAATAAAATAGAAAATATCTAATCTCCATTATTCTGTACTCCATCAGAAAATCCGTAGCTGTTGTAAGAATTAAAAAAAATGTTTATATTTTTAAAGATAATCCAAGAAAACTTTATAATTCTGAGATATTTATTTTCTACATCATTCAGAACAGTTAAAAAAAATGGGATTATATTTGTTCTATCCTAACAATCATTCCTTAGGGTAATCCTTAATTTGTGTATACCCCACGCTATCCTTTAATATTGGCTGTTTCACTTCCTTTTTCAGACCCCCAAAGATGCTTGATAAGTGTAATCCCCAGACTCCATTATCTCTTCTCCGTACTGCTCCTACTCACCCCACATAATGGTCATAAAATATGTGTGTATTGGACCTGCCGACCAAAAATAAACTCTGCATATTTTGACATTTCGAAATTGGAGCAAACAACAGCCAGCAAATGGGTAGAGTAAGTAGGCAGGGGTAAAAGGCGTTGCGTGGGTCGGTTG